TATTAGTAAGAAACATTGATGGATGGAACTGCAGACCGTACAGTCACAAGTTTGAGTTTCAATGACTCTGGCCAGCTGCTACAGCTGCTGTATACTTTTCATTCTCTTCCACCCCTTCTCTAATCATTCAGTTCTATTTATTTTTCCATTGTGTTTTTCTTTTGTTTTCTTCCGTCACACTCTCGTCATATTTTTATCGACTATGGTACACAAACAGCTCAGAATGAGTGTGAACATCCAAGCAGAACGCTTCTGAATCCATTGGTTCAAAGACTTTTGTGTATTTTGGAGCAAGGATGTTGTTCAACTCTAAGTCTTAAAGTAAAAAAAGAAAAAGAAAAAGTTTGTTTTTTCTACAGTCTGTGCAAAGCCTTTCATTTCATGGCAATGCTCTGTGCAAAGTAAGGTAATGGTTTTCTGCGTTTGTTTTTTGAGGCATGACTTCACAGAGCTCTGACCTCAATCCCAAAACCTTTGGGATGAATTGGGACAAAGACTATGGGTTTAGCCTTGGCCCAACATCACTCACTTATGTGGTTGAGTGTGAGAAAATCCCTGAAGCCAGGTGACAAAATCTCATGAAAAGCTTTAAAAACAAAAAAAAGAGTTTTGACTGTAGAAGTAGTAGTAGTGCACTTATAGCTGTAACTACTAATGCATCCATTCTAATTTGTGTATCCATCATGAAGAAGAAGTAGAAGGAGGCTACATGCCCCCTGTGAAAATGACAGATTATTATGTATGTGTAATATGACAAATAATTTTCACAGAGTTATAGTGTGTGCATGTTTGATTGGACAGCCCAGCCTTTGAGCCATTGAAGACAGTTTGACTCCACTTGAGTTAATAATGTGATCGTGTTGGTCTAACTTGTTGGCTTGTATGTATGTTAATTGTTGTCACTCAAAGTACATAACCATCATAATCTGGACTGAAGGAAGACTAATTTTCATTAAGTCTAGTTGAAATGATGGTTTATTGATTATGTTTCTTAACAGATCCATTCATATGGCTGAGTGTAAGTGAAAAAACAAAATAATAATCTTTTGTGAGCCACTTACAAACCACTTTGTCAGATAACAAATATCCAACAAGCCTTTGCTTTTTCACCGGTGCATTTAAGATTTCTGATTGTTGTTCTAGACGTCTGATCTCATTTCTCCCATGAAAAACCTGTACGATCTGGGGCTCCGGTAGCGTAGTGGTTAGTGCATATAATCCATGTACAGAGATTATAGTCCTCTAAACAGGAGGCCCGTAGGTGTAAATCCGACCTGTGGCCCCTTTCCCATGTCCTTCCTCACTCTCTCTTTAGCCTACTTCTGACTCTGTCCACTGTTCTATTTCTAAATAAAGGCCAAACCCCCTGCAGATCTGAGAACAGACACGATGATGAAGCCATGGTTGCTCACATGTTGTATGCATTGTGTTAACACTTAAAAAAAGGACCCAAAAAAATGTGAGCTAGATATCAGAACTTTTCTATTGTGACGCATTTACATTTATAGATATTGTTTCCAGATAAAGTTAGCATTGTATAACCAAGGGTAACTGGGGTCAACATGACAAGTGTTAATGGGGAATATCTTCTAGGAGTTATATTAGACTTTGTCCACATACAGTTAGTTGGTCATGTGGTTTTTAATGATCAGAGTATTTTCAGGTGGTTATCACAGTAAGGGTAGAAATACTGGTCGATGATAAAGTATTAGAATTGGTCACAGCAATATTTATCTTAGTGTCATTCATTGGTATGTAAGTGTATGCGTCTGTGTGTGTTTCCTGATGTTGCGTCATCACTGATTTCCGTTCAGTCAGACAGTATAGCCCCAGGCTATTCTCTTCAATGATGTGTCTGGGGAGAATCAGTTTGTTCGATAGTGAAACAAACACTGTGTGACTTTGTGTGAGTGTTATTGTGAATACTTTCTGTGGGAAAAAGAAGATGTTTTTCTTTCGCTATTGTTACACACTGCTGTTTGTTTACCTGGCACTTCTTTAAGATAAACTTCTTCATATTACCTTCAGGATCATGTTCTGTATGTTGAGTGTGTGCTGAAAACTGCAGTGTTTGCTTGGGATTGTTTTGTGAAGAATGGGGATATTTGTCTAACTGGTTGTTTGGATATGTAGCAGTTTTGACACAATATTTTGGGTCTTTCTTTAGAAGAAAATATTACCTCCAATCTCACCACATTTGTTATAAATCTCCTCCTGTCATTTCATCTTGATGGATGCCATGCTCTCCTGAGTTACTGTTTCTGCTCTTGTCACCTAGCAATACATTTCCTGTGTATTTTACATTGACTTTACCTCTTGAAATCAGATATTATTTTTGAAACATTTTTAGAAACTTTTTTTAGAAAGCTTTCACTTGGAATTGGCTGAGTGGTAGAGTTGATTGCTCTAAAGCGTTAGTCTTACTACTGTTGGACAGTTTGGCACTTTCCGTTGCGGCCTCTACCATCAGTGTGTGAAGGTGGCCGGAATGGATGAATGTACATGAGTGTAAAAGTGCTTTGAGTGGTCAGCAGAAGACTATAAAAGCTAGTCCAAGTCCATTTACCATTTACACAGATAGACATACTGTAAGCAAAAGTCTCATTGAAGCCAGTCCTCATTTCAGACCTGAAATGACAACTGTCCCGTGCAAATTCCGGTCAGCTGTGGCTAGATAGCTTATTAAGTTACCATTAGCTCAATGAGTTGGTAAAAGAGGTTGTCTTGTCTCTAGCAAGGCTTTTCTACAGAGCAGCTGCATGATATAGACATTAATATGACTTTCTTGACTAAAGCTGGCAAAGAGTCCTGGCCTGATGGAGATGATATAAAGATAAATACAGCGTTATTGTATTAAAATCTTAAATTAGTTAGTCCTAGCTTCAAAAACAAATGTAGGCTCTTTCAACTTTCATACAAATCCGCTGGAAGTTTGGAAGATGCAAGCGCTAGCATTAGCTTAAACTCTGATAGCATCCAATATCTGCCACACATGGGTAGGGAAAGCTGGCAAAATAGGTGCTAACCATAAACATAGCCTTTTTAATACAACACCATAAACACCAAAGACCAGTGTTAGCTTGAAATCTGATATTCTGGCCTTTAAACTTGGAAGTACTCATAGGTTAATACTGTAGGTACTAAGCTAGTTAGCCTGTTGGTAATGTTAACTCAGACGAATACTTTGAATTCCTTTCTCTTTACTGCTGAGTTTGTTGTTTTTGAAAAAGCATGTGTACTCCTACAGTCCCTTCCACACTGCTGAGGTATAAGCACAAAGATTGACAGGTCAGCTCTACATTATAACGGTCTGTAGCCTAAGCTCTGTTTGGGGGATAAGAGAGGTTTTGTAAAAGGTCAGTGAAAATGGATTAATACCTTGTTGTTAAAAGGTCTTTAACATAAATTGAGTTCAATGCAACATTTTTATCAGTAGCTATGGAAATCTGTTTGTGAAGGGTAAATGTTTCACTGTGTGTCTATCCTTGACATGTGATAAGCAAGACCTGGCTTTGATGATATTCCAGGGAGTCGTGCATCACACCGCTCTGGCATTTTCAAAATTACTGTGTTTGGCCCAAGGTGGGAGCAGCAATTACCTAGCAAACATTTTAATAACCAGCCATATCTCACAGACTGCTGGGGGGGAATAAAATGAAACTTAGAGCACATATCCAACTATCCAAGCTCTACAAATTTGTCTCCAGGGCCAACAGTTTGCAACATATTGGATTTTATACTGTTTTGAGTTGCTTCAAAACCAGTTTGCCCTCTAGCCATTTTTTTTTATTTTTTGTGAATAAAATTAAATTACTGAACACTGCAGGAGTCACTGCCTCATTTGAACCTTCCTTCAAAAATGGGGCACCACAAATGAAAAAATGAAAAGCCATGGAATTTATCATATTGTTACATAAGAGACTTGGAACTGGTTCATTCCACAAAAGCCACACTTCTAGCTCCTTAGGAAGAAAATAATGAACTGCAGCTCACTGTAAACTCAGGAAAGTGTCAACCAAGGTTTGCTTGGTGTAGATCATTTCAACACAGTGGAACTACTACTTGACAGCAATGCTTTTAATCCTCTTCAGTGGTTCCAAAATGCACTTAATGCGGCTCTATGCAAGATGCCTGTCACCTAACCTTTTATGTTAATGACTGCGTGGGGCTGTAATATAGAAGAACATCCTATTTCAGACTTAGACTTTTTTTTCTGGTGTATGGTAAGATAAATAGCAGGAAATGTTTTAATCTGCTCTGCTTTTAGGAAACAACAAGTTTAAAATGCAGAGCAAAATTCAGACTGTAATATTATTTGATGGCTCTGAATGTGTTGGCCTTTGTGGTTACTTCCACAAATACAGGTTAGGTTCTTAGTTTTTCATAGTTTTCCCTTCTCAGATCGTCTCTTTCAAGGATTTGAGTAGGCCTGGGGAGACACAAATATCGTGAATTTTAAAAGAAAAGACAAAAAGGAGAAATTAAAGATAATGAAATGGACAAATTGAGAAACTTTTTTGTTCTTCTTCTTTTTAATCTTTTCTTTTTTGTTGTTTTTAATCTTTTGATCCTTTGACATTGTTTTCATTTATCTGCTATATCCCTTACCCTTCGCTCCACACTCTCAGGAGGCTAGTACTAAGGACAGAGTGTAGTGATCCAGATTTATCAGATGGATTAAGATTCCCCAAAAATCTGTGTTCATTTCAGATTTCAATATGAAAATTACAAAAGGGTTACTTTAGAGCCTAGTGTTTATATTGTTTTGTGCCAAGTAGAGGCTGTAGTCCTTCAGTGGTCCAGGTTCAACTCTGACCCTCTGCACTTTGCCTCATGTCATCCCCACTCTCTTGTTTCTATCTGCCGTTCTTACCTCTGAATAAAGGCCTCAGAAAAAAGGTTGCTGCAGCACCGATTGAACATGACTGTTTTATTATATGTGTGTATGAATGTATTTTGTTGGTAAAATAAGTGTTTAAAAATATGTGCTTGTTTTTCAGAATATCCCAGCACTGCCTTGTGGTAAAGCCCTCTACTCCTATGAAGGAAAAGAACCAGGAGATCTCCAGTTTTCTAAAGGTGACATCATCATCCTGCGACGCAAAGTGGATGACAACTGGTACCACGGCGAGCTCAACGGCTGCCACGGTTTCTTGCCCGCCAGTTACATCCAGCTGCTGCGTCCCCTGAGCCAAACTCCACCTCAGGGAAAAGCGCTGTATGACTTTGAGGTCAAAGACAAAGACCAGGATAAAGACTGTTTGGCTTTCAGCAAGGTAACCAAGCACACAGAGACACAAGCTGAACACACACAAACTCACCTAAGGACACTATTCATGTCAGACAACAACTCTGGTGAAATAAAATATGGGTGAAGAGATTGGAGGGATGACTGTACTCGGGGTTTACAACAACATAAGCACAGAAGTCAAAGAGAACACTTTATCTGTGTTGTAAACACAGACTGGTTCTTTGTAGGACCACTAATAATTTATCGCCACTGACTCCACGCTTCAGACTGGTTCTCCAAATGTAAATCACAGCAACTTCAAACAGGAAAAGTACATGGTTTGCATACCCAAAAGAACAGTTTTCTACTTTTTCTCCTTCTAGTTTCTTCTGCTCCTTTTTTTTTTAAACACACCGCTGTTTACTGTTCTGGCTGTTACGATTGTTTAACCTTGCCTTAAGGAAAGTCACTTCTCGAAGCAGGGTGAGAAATTCTTCATACGTATAATACCTCTTCTCACTGTAAGAAAACATACATCTCTATCTTGGTGTAGTTTCATTATTATAATTGTGGTATACATTACATCGGCCTATATGCTGCACCGCTAGCTCAAATATGAGAAAAATATGTGATGTCAGATAACATTTTTCTTTTTTTGCGATAAAATCAAAGATTGTAGTTACTCACAAATCATTACTTGTGTTTGCCACATGTCCCCTTTGGATCCATCACAAAAGTAGTTTTTTTGTTATATTTCGCCAAAGTTTATCCTGAGGGTAGATGGTAGTAGGCTTGGGCTTCATTTGACTGCATGAAAATGGTTGGTGTGAGACCATGAACATCATACTCAGGTATCCTTCCATCCTGTGTGCATGCCGAGAGAGAAAGTTTTGTTTGTTTACATACAGTTTTTTTTTTTGATTTTCTTTTGATACATTCAAATTTTTGCAATGATTTTTTTTATCACAAATGCTCATATCCGATAACAATGAAATCGTGATTAAGTTCACAGCACAGGGTCCCTGCTGACCCTGTGTACTGAGCGTTTCTTGACATGCTGTACAAAAAACACACATTCCACTGACTCTGGTTGTTTGTTCAAGATTTCTCTGGTGGGAATTCTGATATCAAAGTAATAATAATGACTTTCCACTAAGTGCAAAGCGTTACCTTCATCTGGACTTCTTAAAGGATCCTCTTGTTTCCTAGTGAGAAAGACGCCAAGCAAGACCCCAAGGTGTTGTGTTTAATATTATTTAGTCCTGTCATGAAAAGTAAACGGAGTCCTGCAGGGTCGTGGGTGTTAAGTGTGGGCAGCATGTACTTCTGCTCTTTTTTAAACCAAGGCTATTGTTCATTAGTGAAGTGTCATGCTGCTTTCAGTGCCAGTGTTTCCCTCTCTTTGGAACTGTTAAAGGTGATCACATTTAGGATTAGAATTAATTATCCATGCTCTGACTGTTCTCAAGGCCCTGCCAGCCTGGGTCAGTCTTTGGTTTTTGGAAAGTTAATTCACAACAATCTGAATTTAGTTGGTATTCTATGGGCTGTTATGGATTGATGGATGACAGAGTTGTTGACATCTCCAAATCATCCCCTTGCGTCAAAGTGTCAGTAGAATTATGCTTTGAAGAGGGTGGAAATGGAGAGACATAAAGACAGACGTGAGTATCCAGGACGAGTTTTTTGTGTTAACAGTGATTTGTATTCCGTGTACTGCTCTGTTCTTCAAAGCTTATCATTTTGTTCCTGCTGCTACACAGACTCATTTGTACGACGACTGAACACTCGACACATTGTCTCACTCTGCACTCTGAGTGTTTCCGTAGAGAGAGAGATTATTAAATTATAGTACATTGTACCCTTCGCTGTAGGTGTTTGCCGCATAGTCATGGTCAAACACTAATACCATGTTCTACAGCCTGAATAACAGAAAGCGAAAAAACGTTTTTTTTTTTAGGGCTAAACTAATCAAAAGATTAAAGATTCCAGCTTACACAAAGCCATACACTCAGGCAGAGGCTCACGCCCCCTGTGGTGTGCTCTATGCGTGTTGTCATGCAGAACCAGTGTGTGTGATATTGTTTTCTCAGTGTGAGAGGTAATTACTCAGTATGACTAATACATAGTCATTTACCACCATTATCACTGCCGTCCCTAATGGTCTTACTAAGACCTTTGTGTTCTTGTGAGGAGCAGAAGAACAGAGGGAAAGTGCTTCTTAGTGAAATCTGTGGGTGTATGTAGTGAACAAGAACATATGATTACATGAGTGTTAGCTATATTACTGATGGTATAAACAATATGTCTTACTATATGATACATATACAATTATAAGTCTATGGAATTGTAGCTTCGTGCTGATCTATGTCTTGCTTGTAAGTTTAAACCTTACACACACTTCAGTTTTCAAACAGTTGGATTTCAACTTAAAGGAGCAATATGTAAGATATTTACTGAATCAAATCATACAATGATCTTACTATATCATCAGACTTTAAGGGAACATGCTGTGTTGAAGTGCTGGCTTCTCTGACAACAACGCCGCAGATGTATGTCCTCCTTGATTCCGGTGTGGAATAGTTTGTTTTTGTTTTGATCAGAGAACGTAGGTGGCACTCCCCCCCCCCCCCAAGGCCCCTCAGTTTGCCACGGCCATCGAAAAAAAAAAGCAGGTGTTGTAGAAATGAAAGCAGGCAAGCGAATTGGTTCTGATATAACTGAATAAGCTCCACATTCAGAAACGTAGTAAAACTGGGATAAATATTGGAGATGCTTTTGAGAAACAAAGGGAGGTAAGAACGCAGAAAGGATTCAATACAAACGCAGAGATGGTTAAACACTGAAGCGTCAGTTTCTGTGACATGGCAACCTGCCTGCACATCGACTTTAGGGAGGAGGGGGTGAGGAAAGACGGCTCTCTATTGTTTTGAGTTTGGACTGCAGTACCAAATGTTAATGCTATGTTTCAGATTAACATATTGGTCCTTTAACATAAACCAAATCTTCCATAAAGTAGTAATTTGTATTTATCCTAAAAAGTTGCATATAGATCCAAGCAGTCTTATTTCTCATTTGACTATATTTGAAAGCTCCAGCACTGTACACTGTTGCCAATAAACCTCTGAAATATCAGAAAGCATTCAATATATAATACATCACAGAAAGACGCTTCAATGGCTTGATCACTTCTTGTTCAGACTTACAATTATTCATCCTTCCCTTTATTTTTCAAAACCACACCAAATTGGATACATAGTGATGCACAAGCACTATTATCTGGACACACAAAGTGAACCGACAGTGTGCGCAGGTTTGTTTGTACGTGTGTCGTCTCACTCATTTCCTCTCTCTCTCCAGGATGAGGTCCTGACAGTAATCAGGCGAGTGGATGAAAACTGGGCAGAAGGCATGTTGGGAGACAAGATTGGCATCTTCCCCATTCTCTATGTGGAGGTAGACCAACAGACATCACACACAAACACGCACACACACACACAAAACACAAACACACACACACACACACACACACACACACACACACACAAAACACTTTTAGATAGTTACAGAAATAGCTGATAAAACAACAGCAGTGTTGCAGCAGGACATGTGTATTACATCAAATCATTGATCATACTGTGACTGTTAATAGAGGAGGCGGGAGAAAACATTTCCTGTTTGACAAAAAACAACCTTGTCTAATGTTTTCTCGTCTTGGATGATAATCAGTCTTCTACTAAAATTTAGAAACACACAGCTGTAATCCATTGAAACTGAATTCATATTTGGTTAAAAAATAAATGTAAAAAAACATTTTTTGTGTCGATAAGCAGAAGTCAACTCTATTTTTCAGCCGCTACACTTTATTCAGATGACACTGGGACTTTGCAGCCTTCTTTTATAACCCTCTTATACCTTTTTATACCTGTGTTTTAAAGCTCCCAGACATTGGGGTGAAAGTATATACATGGATTACATATTGACATTGAATTGCTATCAAGTATCAGCAATATTGTTTCTTTATTATCCTCTATCAAACATGGTGAGGGAAATTAAATCTGCCCTAGAAATTCGACTTTCATTGGAAATACTGTTTGAAGCCTGCCTGGCTGTGGTGCAGATTTCTTTATGTGCCTCTGTGCAAAAGGATAAAACCCCAACACCCAAAACATTCTTCCTTGTGCAACTGAAAAAAACTATCATGCACAATTTGCTCTGGATCACATGTAATGCTATTTAACTGAGGTAAAAATCCATTGGAAGAAACATGAATGATGTTTCCTGCCTTAGTTCTTGCTGTTGTTAAGTCTTCTCTTTTCTCTCCCCATCACCAGCAATTTTTGCACTGATTCTCTAGTGGCCCCGTCCAGAACAAATGATGAAACCTTCAAAACTGATGGCAGGTTCAAACTGGGAAGTAGTGCGATATAAGAGTGTTTGTCAGGGCAATAAGACTCTTATCCGGTGTATTGTGTGTTCACAAAGTGTAGCATAGAGAAATCCATTAAGGTAGGGATTAGAGAGACAGAGATACTAATGGAATGACTCATCCCTCATGCTGCTTTTCGACATTATATTTCTTTTCATCTGCATGCATTGATACCTACATCCACACACATTTGAAATCACTGTTCTTCTTCAAAACACACTCTTACTTTCTTTGAGGTCGGACCCTTTGTGGGTTTGCACGAAATTAGCAGTTTGACCTCACTCCTCTCTTTAGTGTCCATGATTAAGGCTCAGATTGAAAAAGTCATGACACACACACACACACACACACACACACACACACACACACACACACACACACACACACACACACACACACACACACATACATACATACATACATACACAAAACACACACAAGACTTGTCTCTTACCCCTGCTGTGTCTGAGTGATGGAGAGCTCTAAATGATTAATGCATCTCAATCTAATGGGAACCCCTGTGTGTGTGTGTGTGTGTGTGTGTGTGTGTGTGTGTGTGGGTGTGTGTGTGTGTGTGTGTGGGTGTGTGGGTGTGTGTGTGTGTGTGTGTGTGTGTGGGTGTGTGTGTGTGTGTGTGTGTGTGTGGGTGTGTGGGTGTGTGGGTGTGTGTGTGTGTGTGTGTGTGTGTGGGTGTGTATGGGCTTAGTTGGAAGGCCCCAGCTGGACTACTATCTGAGTGTTCATACTGTATGTGTGTTTGTCACTGGATATTAATAACTTCTCATTGCTGCTGTGTCATAGCTCAGATGTGAATTCAGATTACTTGCTTTAATATTTGGTATCAGGATTGATTGACTGGGGATGAGGGGAAGATGATAGAAAATATAGTGTTGCTCGGGCCACATATTTTTGTCCAAACACAACTGGTGGTACTGAGCACGACACATACCCTTTGACTGGTTTAATTTTATTTCTATTTTTATTTTTGATTTATTTTGAATCAGACAGGACAGCTGAAGACAGACAGGAAATGCTGGGAGGAGAGAGTGGGGGATGACATGCAGCAAAGGGCCGAGGTCAGATTTGAACTGCCATGAACACTATAGCCTCTGTGCATGGGACGCACAACATAACCGCTAGGCTATCTGACGCCCCCAACCATTCTATTTGTTATGGTCAAATTTGACCCAAGATTAACCAAGTTGTCTTAAACCGGAGCACTGTGTTGGTTTTACTGTAATATGCCGTTGTCTCTCATATTTGAGTCTTAACCTTGATAATTGTCCTGTCTTTCTGATGAACTCAACTACCTCTGTAAACGTAAACTATACATATCCCAACCATTGTGGTTGATTTGGAGTTGTCATGGAGGAAGAGAATAGTGTCTACTGTGTTTGGCTTCAGCACTGTCGTCCTTTTGTCAATGTTTTTTTGGCAGCAATGCTAAAGTTTGCTGCTACTGCTGCTAGCTGGAATAGACAGAATGCCCAAAGATTTACGTTGTTCTGTATGACGTGATTCTGTGTTAATGCTATCCATTCTGCATAGTTTTCAGTCATCTTAAACTTCCCAAGTGACAAATTTGTTTAGTGTCCACCATCCTTATCACATGAGTATTCACCGCCTGAATTAGCCATGTGCTTTGTTACGTAGATAAACAAACCTCAGCACTGAGCAGGAAGTAGTGTAGCCACATAAAGAAAGTAGATAAATGTGTTTTTACACTACATGTCTGTCAAAATAACCATTGATACGTAGAAGACTATCCTAATAGGTAGTTGAAAGTGAAATGTTGACTGTGTATTGTTCAGCTTATGTGACTGAACCCAACCAGAAACCAGAACTCATTTATACATTTATGCTCGAACCCAGCCTGACCCATCGGGTTCCGACAGGCTCAGGTCAAAGGCCATTGAAACAGACAAATTAAGCCGTTTTCACATATGCACTCCGGATAATATCTAGACAATTACAGGAGGACTACTCTGGAGATTCTCACGACCTAGCCGTTCACATATGCTCCTCACGGCGGGGGACTTTACCTGTCATTACATAAGACGTAATGTAAAAAAAAACAGAGTCCGCTACACGACGTTATAATGAGAATATTTGCCTTTATATCAATGCTATGTGTAATCCAATGGAATGACAACATCCACAAAAGAGAGGAGAACAACATACTGAGGAACAGAAAACAGAATGTAGCTGTTTAATTACGTGCACGGAGATCGTAGTGGTCGCGTGCAGACACTTTCGACAGTCACTGTAGATAAACATCATTCTCTTCCTATTGGCTCAAGGTGAATTCTCTGGAGTATATGCTGCCGCGTTCAGACATCAGCTCACTTGGACTTTCTGCGGAAAAAATACTAGGGGTCTGGTCGGAGAAACTCCAGGTAAAGTCTGCACAAAAAATGTGGCTGTTTGCATTCACAAACAAAATCCATTTTTAGTTAAATTTGTGCAATCTGACTTTATTGCAAGACAACTCTGAAATGGTTTCCCTGCATTGGGACCCCTCTGAGAAAACTTTGGGTCACTATGGAATGCAAGTGGGTGGAGTGAAAGGCTGTTTTCTTTTTTTTACTGAGCGCATTTGTCACTATGAATGAATCCCTAATAACTTGTTAAAACAAACAAATCTTACAGACCAATTTAGTGGTCCAACTATTTCATATGGATACCTGTACAAAAATGGTGTTGTTTTTCTCTTGCCAAGCAAAAATGATTTTGATAAATTATTAAGAGAAATAATGCACATATTTACCAAACGTTTTGAAGTTTACAAAAGAAAGGAATTACACTTTAACACAAAAAGGGAATGCTCAAAATGTATTTTTATACAACTTCTGTACAGCAGTGAAGTGCAATCAAAACCAATAAATTAGTGCATTGTTTGTATTTATATAGCTGGGTTCAAGTAGTGTTGGTGTGCTTGTTGTGTTGATTTTCTTTGGTTTTATGACAATTTGTCTATCAGTATCTTGATGAATTGTGTTTTGTTGGGTTCACATGCACCTGGGATGGATACGAATGACCTCTGTTACTTTTTTTGTGGTGAGCAGGTTGGGTTGTTTGTAGCAGTTGAGGTGGATCGAAGGTTACCTTTGTGTGCAGATGTGAGGACATTTCATGCAAATAGGAGAGAGTTGTGGACAGCTTTATGATGGATTTTGGGTGCCACATTATGCCCTCTGTCTAGGACATCTTTCTTTCTACTCTCTGCTTCTCTTTAGTTATCTCACCGTCTCTGCAGCGGGAAGAAGTTTTCACACACCTCAGGTTAATGTGTGTGTGTGTATATGTGTGTGTGCATGAGCATGCATGTATCTTGCTGGCTTATCATTTTCGCAGTGCAGATGTCAGCTCATCAGCTCGTGTCTCACTATTACCTGGAGAGACCCCCACCCCTTGTCCAAAAGTAGAGTACAGTTAGCTCTACACATAATAGATGACCTTGGAGATTTCATTCAGCCAAAAGCACCAAGTGAAGAATTGTCTCTATCAACATCCTATCTCTTTCTCTCCCTCTAAATCTACACATGCACACACGCACTCACATTCCCTTATCTCCCTCACTGCAGCATGACCGGGCACTGTAGTAGTGGTGGAGACACAGACACAGGAGACATGGTGTAAGGATGTGTGTGTTTTGTGTGTGAGTGTGTGCATGGGAATAAAATTATGATTGGTTGCAATTTACTTTGTTGTGAGTCTGTTTCCTTGCTGACCTTATGCAGGTGTTCTTGTGTGTGTGTGTGTGTGTGTATGTGTTTGTGAGTTTTCTAGTCCGCCTCATGAGAGCAAACTGAGTTATATCCGTTGCATCAATCCATCATGCTTATTAGCATATGATTTGGCTTTGATTAGCATATCTATTAATATGGAAATGAAACATCACCAACACTGAGTCCAGACGGGTTTGCCCTGTACACTCTGTCTCTCTCTCTCTCTCTCACTCTCTCTCTCTCTCTCTCTCTCCATCTCACATACACACACAGACGCACACACAAACAAAAACACACGGAAAAAAATGCTGGTCTTTGTCTCCAGGGATTATTCAGGAGTTCTGAGGTTACATCAAGCAGACATGATTGCGATGTAAATGTGTAAGGGGCGGGGACATAAGTGTGTGTCTTGTTTCATTTTGACCTCTGTGTGTGTCTGTGTGTGTGTGCGTGTGTTTGTGTGTGTGTGTGTGCGCGTGTGTGTGTAGGTGTGCTCATGCCTCATATCTTAGACATCATGCCCTTACAGATCCTACAAATAATTTCCATTCCAGAACTTTACATTGATTACTCAAAGTCATGTACTGGAGGTGTAATGTTTGTTTCTACACTGCAGAGAAAAGTGCTGAGTACTATGCAGAGGAAATGTTACCTATATATAGATCTCCACTGATGCAGGTGTTGAACAAAATACTGTTACAAAGGAGAAATCTCTTTCCCACTTGTTTCTGTCAAGTAGAGTATATACATCACACACTGCAGAATTATATCACTTTGAAAAAGTTGAAAAGTCAACAACACATTTTTAATAAATGGTTGCCTCAACCATATGTCACTGGAGTCAAATGACAAACAATAAGGTTTTAACTATTCCTTTTAACAATTCATTTGAATGTGACAGCTTTAGTCTGTCGGAAAGTTTCACTGGGACAAATTTGAGCCACTTTACACAAACTATGCCTGAACTTTGACAGAGACTGAAATATGCAACATTGATGAACATGAGCACATTTAAGAAACATACGCCTTGAAACCAGCCATATAAATGCTGTTGATTGAGGCTGGTGAGGCGGAGGCAGTTACATTGAAAGCAGCAGGAGATTGAAAAGCAGTGTGAGTGTTGGAGTATAGGCAGAATGAATGACCCATCCTGCTTGTGGTGACTTTATGGGTGGATGATTAGACAGCCCATGGGACATGTGACAATAAGTCTTCCCCTGTGATTTGCCAATACATGGTGAAGCTCCATAGCATAACAACTTACTGCTTAACTACCAAACTGTAGGATTCTCCCGTCCTTAATAATAATAATAATACATTTTATTTAAAGGCGCCTTTCAAAACTCTCAAGGTCACCTTACAGAGCAGAGATAAAAACAACAATGTAACAACACAACGATAAAATTAACATTAAAAAACACAAATGTACAGGATGTAAAGGAGTTATGAGACCGGTTGGAGAATGATCAGACTGAATAAGCCAGTTTAAAAAGATGTGTTTTGAGATGAGATTTGAAAATGGAGAGAGTGTCGATATTACGGATTTGTGGTGGGAGGGAGTTCCAGAGGTCGGGGGCAGAGCGGCTGAAGGCCCTGGACCCCCATGGTGGACAGGCGGGCGGGTGGTGCAGTGAGTTGAATGGAAGAAGAAGAACCTGAGAGTGCGGGTAGATGTGTTGATGTGCAGGAGTTCAGAGAGGATAAACAAACGTCATCTCTAAAGAGCCGAAATGACCCGGGGATTATCATGTGAAATGACAGCCAGTAGCATTGAGATGTGACCTGCACCGGTAATAACTTTGTTGTTGCAGGTGTTGAGAAATGAGCACATCCCCCACAGTGTCTCAGAGCAAGAAGCACAGAGAACACAGATGACCCCATCAACACCTGAACACAGTATAAAATCCATGCTGTTTGACAGCACAGTTGAGTGATTCATAATTGATGTCTTGTGCTTATAAAAGTGTAAGTCTCACTCATAAAGCCGTGTCAATGCTGGATTCAAAAAGTTAAGTGATTTATCTGATGCAGGGGAACTTGAAAAGAGACTGCATAAACTGACTGGAGGAAGGAATACCTTGCCATTTTTGTGAGGCGCTGTGAATTAATGAAACACTTAATGGGAAAAGATTATTTTCTTCCATTCAGCAGAGCTTTGTTAAAAGACCAGGCAAACTCTGCACTTTGCATTAAAACAGACAGAATAAATGAAGTTTACAGAATGAGATGTTAAACCTTAAACCAGGTGTGAATTCCTCAGCATCTAATAAAAACATTGGTCATGTCTAGAGCTTGTCAAGACCATTGGATACAAACAGCTGATTGTGTATATACTGTAACAGAATTTGGTAAAAATTCAAACAATTCTGAAAATTCATTTTTATTGTTGATAAAAAGATAGAACTTGAAATGATCCGATTTTTCCAAAGAATAAGGTGAAATGAAACTCAGGAGAGAAGGAATACTCTTGGAAGAGCAAAAGGGATACTGTCATTTGGGTAGGAAATGTGTGGGAGTATTTGTGTATTTGACACAGAGACAGTGAGAGTGTGTGTTACACTGAGGGAGTCTCTCTGGACCAGCTGTTATAAGTGATGATTGTTTTGCTGCTGGTTTGAAAAGCTGCCAACAAGAACAAGGGAGGAAAGGCCACACAAAAGCCCTTCTTGTGTGTGCTGGAGGTCTTGTTATGAATGTGAACCATTGAGGACTGAAATCTAACACGTGAACTTCTCCTCCTCTCTCTTTCTCCATTTGCTCTCTCAACCACATTGTTTTTTTTTTCCTCTTCTCCTCTTAGTTGAATGAAACCGCCAAGCAGCTGATGGAAATCGACAAGCCCACGTCAACTAACGCTCCAGGTCCCAGCTCCGAGCCAGCCCCATTGGGTCCTTGCACCCCTGGCCCCTCCCCAAGCGCCTCCCCGTCCAACGGGAACGGCTCTGGCCATCGAAGAGGTGAAGGGAAGAAGAACGCAAAGAAGAGGCATTCGTTCTCTGCGCTGTCTGTCAGTCAGAGGGCAGCCCAACTCAACAACAGACACAGCATGGAGATCTCCCACCCAGTCCTCATCAGCTCCTCTGACCCCAGAGCTGCTGCACGCATCCAGGTACACACACAGAAGCTCACACATACACACTGCAACAAGTATGAAATGTGGTCTTCAGATCCTTAACTTGAGTAAAAATAGAATTATTGTGAAACCAATAAATCAAATACTGAACATAAACAAAACCTGGTATAGATGCCGGTGCATTGTTGTAATAACTCCTCTAATAGACCCTTCCTCTTCTACAAGTGAGGGAGTGCAAGTGTATGATGTGAAGGGGAGCGGCTTTTATTGACTTTTTATTGAATTTCAGTTAAAGTACAAGTGTTGGACTTGTTGTCAGGCAGATACCTTTGTCATTAAATTATTTGTTTATCAATCAAATCAATCAATCATTTTTTTTTTTTAAAGATTTATTTTTGGGCTTTAATGGAGAGATAGGACAGTGGATAGACTCGAAAATCAGGGAGAGAGAGTGGGGAACGACATGTGGGAAAGAAGCCACAGGTGGGATGTGCCGCTTGAGACGACAGCCTCCATACATGGGGCGCGCGCACTAACCACTGCACCACCAGCGCCCCAATCAATCATTATTTGTATAGGGCCTATTCATAACAAGTGTTATCTGGAGACGCTTTACAAAAGAGCAGGTAAAATACCTCACTCTGATGCAGGAAGCTTTTCTCCTTTGTATTCCTTGCGTTCCTGTTGTCCCCTCTTCCTTGCCGCTGAGGTGGAGGTCGGAGCAGGCCGTGCATTTATGACTGCAGAGCAGCTTTTTACTGTTGGCTGTTGAAGTTGAAAACGGTTTAAACTCTTATTACTAACTTTCCATATGCAGTTCAAATACATGTATATTTGTCAAACCAGAGTTCACTGTGGACACTCCTTTCCACTGGATTTTGTAATATTTTTATGTCCCAATCCCCCACTCTGACTTTTCGATGTAAATAAAATCATTTCTCTTTTTGATAGCTGTAGACTGGAGACACATTGCTGTGATGTTTATTGCCTCTGCTTGCATTCACACCTGGGTTTAATGTGTTTTGAAATAACACCCTAGATGCATATTGAAAAGCTGGAAGTGCCGCCGCCACATATTGCAAGCAATGTTTTATCTTAAACAGAAAACTTCACTGAGCTTGTTTGTGTGTATCTTTATGTGTGTCTTTAGGATGCATCCCACCCGGGTCCCTCTCCCTCTTCGGCAGGGGTACTGGTGCCCCCTAAAGTGGCATCCATTACCTCTGAGCTGCTGGCCCATGCCAAGGTGCAGCTGCCACTCAACATGTGAGTATATCAGCTCACACACCTGAGACCTGGGTTTCTAGTCCCCTCTTCCAAACACCTGTTCTGCTCTTCAACACACTGGATTTGTTCGTGAGATCCATCACGATTTCAGATCGCCTCCTGGCAGCGTTAAAAATATTTCCTCTTTTGTGCCCAGAGTTATTGGCCATGTTCCACCACCTCTGCAACCACATTTACTCCTCCACCGGTCAAGGATGAAATTCCCCTCAGGAAGGAAAAATATAGTCACACACTGTTCACTCAGTTGTGAGATGTTTACAAGCATGCAGCAGTACAGCCGTACGGCTTTTACTATACACTTTCTTTTTACAAAGTGTTTCATAGAGATGAGCCTTAGGAAACAATTCACCACCATCAGTACAATAACATACTTTGTATATACTAACAAGTGCAGCATTTGATGTACCTTGAATTTAGATCTTTCATTCTGACTATTTTTCATGTTTTCAGGGACTTTTCTCTTTTTGATGGTGGAAACACTTTTTGCTTTATGAGGGCAAAGGCATCTGTCTGTCCCTATTGTCTGAACATTCTTAATTCTCATATCACAATATGACTCTCATTTTAACACAAAGTAAGATTAAACAGGCTTTGGTTGTAAGCTTTGCTGTTGGCCCTTATAACGTTATAGTTTGTTCATTTCTTAAATGGATTTAAAGCCAAAAAAAAAAAGCACACACACAAACATAATGATGTTTTTTGTGGAAATGCAACCTCACTTGTCAGATCCAGATGGCTGGTGAGTTGCCAATGCTGAGAAAGACTGTTCTAAAAGTGTACCTCCTAATTAATCTAGCTGGTTACTGCCAGAAAGATACAGGTATCAAGGTGAGTGTGTGTTTGTGCCTTTTTTTCACATCTACCTTGTGAGGACCAATTCATTTAAGACCTTGTGAGTGAGGACAATTTTGGATATTTTTGGAAAGAGGGGACATTCGGTCATCTTACTTCTTTCAAGGTTAGAATTAGAGTTATGGTTTAGGAAAGAGGCTCGGGAATGTAATACACCAGGGAGGCTTTATAAGTGTACAGCACATTTGTGTACTGGTGTGTGTGCTTGTCAATGTTTGTGTGTGTGTCAGTGTGTGTGGTGTGTGTGCGCTATTTACTATTAACTGGTGTAATTTCCTGCAGGATGTGAGTGAAATACAGCAACATTGTCAGCTTTAATGATATCACCTTACAAGGCACACACGTGCACACAAACACACACACACATACATACACACTGGACACACACACACAAGGGCTCAGACACACATACACACTCAACAGACATGCACACATGTCCGGAGTGGGTTTGTTCCACTGATGAGGTCGGACATTTCCATCTTGACCTGGCAACTATTCCTGTTGCCATGGGGAGACGGGGAGACAGTCCCCACACTGTTACCATGGCAACGGGGGGAGGCAGCACGTATAGGGCTTGTTTGCTCTGTGGTCTTATCGTCTTCTGTCTGCCACAACATACGACGAATGTCTCCAAGTGACAGGACCAGAAACTCATTTATATGTTAACACAGATACACTTTACAGCGATAAATACAAAAACATATTCAGATTTACCGAAAGGCTTCATACATTTGTCATGTACCTGTAAGTAGGAAATGTAGTTACACAGAGACACACCAACCCATTCACACACGATGGGATGAACGACCTACGGTAGCGCTCTGTCTTGCAGGGTGGGTGTCTGAGTCTGCTGCTGAAGGAGATGCTCAGGGCCCCCACAGTGTCATACAGGGGGTGAGAGGGGTTGTCCATGATGGATGTCAGCTTCACTAACATCCTCCTCTCACCCACCTCCTCTACAGAGTTCAGAGGAACTTTGTCTCCTTTGTCTTGCTGGCGTTGAGCTGAAGGTGGTTGAGCTCACTCCAGTCGACAAAGTCCATGATGACCTGCCTGTACTCCTGTTCGCTCCCCTTAGACACACACCCCACAATGGCCGTGTCATCGGAGAACTTCTGCAGGTGGCAGCTCCCAGAGTTGTAGCAGAAGTCTGAGGTGTACAGGGTGAAGAGAAAAGAAATGAAGAAATGAAGAGCCACACTAATATTCCCAAGGTCTTTACTTGTTCATAAATAGCAGTTCACTATATTGTAAGAGAATGGATGTTTGATAGCTTACCTGCAAAGTAAAGGAAAATTATTATTACGATATTTACTGTATCTTTTAGAACTTAGCTTGCCTTATCTTATCTTAAAATTGTTAATGCATTCGAATTAAAAATAATATGCCTTAGTATGTCTAAATGCATTTAGACATACGGTAATTGAACCAGACAAGCATGTCTTTGGACCGTGCAAGGAAGCTGCAGTACCAAAAGAGAACCCACATGCACTGGAAAAACATGCAAACTTCACATAGAAACGTCCCCTGTTTAAAAGAGATTCAAATTAGGAACTGTGTTGGTGTGAGGCAACTGCGCTGACCACTGCACCACCGTGCATCCTTGAAAAACAATCCTGTTTTACAAAGTGTAGTGTAAAGCTAGTCTCACAACACACAATGAAAATGTGAATTACTTACATTAATAGAGAAACAGCATTCACATTTATAGTCTTCCTCCCACCTCTTCCCTGTTATATTTCATGAAAAGCTGACATTAAGAACAGATATAACTGAAAATAGATGGCAGAAAGGAGGAGGACCAACCTGCCACACCAACCACAGTTTCTCTCTTTGACCCTACAAAGATCGTTTGTGGATCAAAATATTGTTTGATTGACTAATAAAGGAGTTGTAGACCATGGACAGTATGTAGACTTGTTTCCCTCGGTTCTCTGCAGTGTACAGCCCAACTAACTTTTTTTTAAGTGGAGTAGTCTGATGAGATCGTTTCTGCTTGTTTCTGTGAGAGTGTCAGAGGAACGTGTCATGAATTTTCCTCAGTCATTTTTATACCAAAGGAGTAATTTGTCTTCCGATGCAAAAGAGCAGTAATATTTGTAATTCCCTTCTCCCTTTTAAACTCTGACAGGAACTTTTTTTCTTGTTTTTCCGAGGATTCATTTGCTTATTTTTTATGCATTAGTTTGCTTGTTCATTTATTTGCATTGTGCATTTCTAATTGCTTTGCTTCGACTTCTGAATAATACATTCCAGAGTTAATCCACATTAGAAAGAAGTGATACTTGGTGAGCAGTCAAAATTTCCTGCAGGCTTGAATTGATTTAATATTCAACTCTTTTTTTTTTTGTTGTTGCCTGTCTCTTTGTTCCCCAGATATCTGGCTCTATACGCCTACAAGCCCCAGAAGGCTGACGAGCTTGAACTAAGGAAAGGGGAGATGTATCGGGTGACAGAGAAGTGTCAAGACGGATGGTTCAAAGGAACCTCATTGAGAACTGCTGCCTCCGGGGTCTTTCCAGGGAACTACGTCACCCCGGTGTCCAGGTCAGTGAGCTCAGGCTTAGGCACCAGGAAACGTGTCATTGTAGCAGTTATATTAGCTTTTTCGTAGCTTGATGAAGCTTATAGTGCATTGTCTTCAATAGCTGAAGATGGAAAAGTGACAAATGAGTTTTCTTCTGTAACATAACTCATCTCTAACTGCTACAGTTGTGCAGTAAATGTAAGAAATACAGCCTGGTGGTGATAGTGATTAGACGGCATGTTGGAACGAGTGAGTTCCTAAGCTGATTTCGTAGCTGCTATTTCAAATCCATGCTCCGCTTTTTATTCAGTGCAACCTATTTGTCACATGAACCCAGCAGTTCAATACAATCAGACTCTCTAATTTGGTCCTCACACAAGCAGTGATGGGTATTTCACAATCTTTGCAATTGACGTTGTAATCTTCTGTGGTCAAGTCTTGGCTACAACTAAACCTTGAATGCACATCAGATGGAGCAGAGTGATTCTCCTTCACTTGTTTTGTCATGTGATTGCACGCACATTTCAATGCACTATAAAGGTACAAGCAAAAAGCAGTTTTTCAGATCGTAAGTTGACAGAGGTTTAGGGTTATGCTTTCATCTGTCAAAATTACTCTTAATCACACTAGAAAGTATACCATTCATATTCTGAGATGCCAGTGCCAGGAAAAAACTGAGTTGCTCTGGACAAAGCAAAACAAAAAGACACACTTCAGTTGTTTGATTGAAATCCTTTTTTGTCTAATCAGGGATTTGTCAGAAATAATTGAGAATCTTTTAAAAACTGGAATGACGAAAAGCATTCTCCACCAAAAAGACAAAAGGGGATGCTAAATTAACTAAATTTCAATAGCCATGACTGGGCTGCATTGTCTTAAAGTTGCCGGTATCGTCTCCAGATCGAGTCATTCGGCATATCAAAGCATGTGAAGACATAGTTAATGCATTATGATGGGGCAATCTGACTTCAGAAGACAGTTAACATTTTGTCACTCATGAAAAATAGCCACATTCTGTTGCAGCTAGGTAAGTCATTAAACGTCTTTAATTCTCAGGCAGTAATGGTCAGCTTAAAATACTCGTATGGACTTGAGTTGCGGTGTGTGGCAATATCTGGATCAAATTGTGCAGTAAAAAAAAACATATTTGTCTGAGTAGTCATAGATGCCTCTGTGTAGTCGTGAGCGCAGTGAGCTGGATGGGCTCATGTAGTTTTGCATGGGAGGCGGGGGCGGATCCAGGGTCTGGCCTGGGCCCCATTTGAAATTGAATGTGTCAAATCTGCTTTGTTGCAATAGACTGGATCACATTTTGAGTATTTTACAATTTTAAAAGTAAGTACAGGTATTTTAAATATGTAATTATTTTTTCTTTTATCATATCTGCAGTGATTAGTCACAAATATTTTTATTTTATGATTGATTGACATTACTCGTTTTATTTTGAAAAGCAATGCATGTGTTACCCATTTACCCATTGGATGGAGGCCTGGGTACAACATCCATGCCATCAGATGAAGTCAGAGGACGCACACACTCGCTATCTGCTACCCTCAGACGAATTGGTGCCATTGAGGTGTTAAAGATCAATCCTTTTTGGAATTTAGTTTTTTTTATTTTGATTTAGGAGAATCATGTATCAAACACAGTTATAGTGTTTTGCATGAAGAACAGCAGATAGCAAAGTAACTGTGAATTATAGCAAATATGCACCCTATATTTTATTTTATTCATTGTGCTTTATAGTGTTATTACAATATTAAACAATGTTATTGCACAAGCCTAATGCTATTTAAGATTTTAAAAAAAACAGTTAGTTAATACTTTCCCTGTCTTTTTTATGTTTGCTGACCAGCAAAGAGTATATCATTATTATCACTCTCATCATAATCATCATCATCTCTACAGTTACTTGTGGCAGCCTGAACTATGTCGTTGATAGCTGTTAAAACCACATGAAACAAAATAAACTGAGTGTGCTGAGATCATATTTGGCAATTTAATTACTCGCATTATTCCTTTATGTGTGATAACATTTGTAGTGCCTGTTCAGCTAATCTGTATTCTGCTCCATAATGCAGACAAAGAAAAGGAAAGAGAAGAAGAAAATGAAAGAAAGAGAATTATTATAATAGCAAGAGAAAAAAAATAGAAAGGCATAAATGAGGGGAAGAAAGATAATGAGAAGATGAAGAGCAAGATATGGATAAACAGATGAAGGGTGAGGCAAAAAGAGAAATGAGCCAGGAGAAGGGGGGGGGGGCATAGGGTAAAATATTCAATATGATGGAGAAAGAAAAGGTGAAAAGAGTAAAAAAAAAAAAAAAAAAGACAGAGAAATATGTGAAGAAATAGAAAATAAAAGAGTATTGAAAAAGACTTTGGCAGAGTGGGGAGGAGGGAGAGAGACAGGGAAATCAAAATATAGAAAATGATACAAAGAGATGAGAAGGCTTGAAAAACAGCAGGTGTCCCTCTCTAGTGGATATGAATGGCCGCTTCACATTCTGCAGTTATGCAATTTGATCAAGAAAGAGAGAGAGAGAGAGAGAGAGTCAGAGAGAGAGAGAGAGAGAACGAGAGAGGAAGGCAGGATGGGCGAGTAATCAAATGAGAGGCAATTTGTTATTTTTACGCGAGCGCGCTCTGTCCTCCTCCACCCCCCCCCTTGTCTGCAGTGCAGCTTAGAAATTTCTCAAAATGTTAATGAGAGGCTGCCAAAGATGCACACACCTACGCACACACACACACACACACACACACACACACCTACGCGCACACACACGCGCACACAACACACACACACACACACACACACTACGCACACATACACACACCTACGCACACACACACACACACATACACACACATACACACACACATACACACACACACACACACACACACACACACACACACACACACACACACACACATACACGTACATTGTCATTTATATGAGCACAGAATGGCAAATGACATTTTCATGTCATTCTCATGGAAATTCAAGTAAAATATTTTAATATCAGAGATTTATTTTTATACGATAATTAAAGACGTATATGGAATTTGTTAAGAATCATACGAGAACTCTAAGAATGAAAAGTTGATTGTCTCCCCTTGTGAAATTAAATAAAGTAGCCAAAAATGTTTTAATAAGCGACTATAAGCTTTTGAGTTATTGAGTCCATCATGGGAGACGCATAACTTTAGAGCATGTGTACTTTGTCTAAAAGAGAATCTAAAAAGAGACAATCTGTGAATAGCATCCCTGTTTCTATAAGTACACACACACACATATACACACGGAGAGAGAACCATAACTCTGTATGTGTGTGACAGGAAAGTCAATGGGCAGCCATAAGAGTGTGAATACCGTTGAGTCAATAATGTTCAGCTCACTGTTCTGCCATTCAGCACTCTGCAGACAAACCTGAGCAGCCTGAAGCTCCATATATGCTACACTGGGACACCGTGTCGTGCTGATCCACAGACCAGATAATAGCAGTGAAATCACTCACTCTGACAGAAGATAATAGCACCATGTGTAGCTCCTGCTCTGCTATTATGGACTAAATACTGGCTTTTAAGACTTTGTACTAAGCAAGAGTAAGAACCTACAACTACATCACCATCATTTTCAGGCTTTACTCAGGCACTGTGTTGCTTTGAGCTTTATAGTAACATGATGACAACTGGATAAGAAGGTATAATTGTAACCATGTTTACAAGCATACTTTAGTTTCTGAACATGCTAAAATGAAAGAGCTTAAACACATATAACATCCAAAGGCTGATTTGAATGTTAGACGTTTAGTTGTACATGGAAGCTTTGGACAGATTCTAAATTTGACCTGAAGACGGGACAAAATAAAAGTAAATGGGATCACTAGACTTATTACAGTGGGCAAATGAGTTTCTTTAATAAATCTTATGGCAGTCTTTATCCATCTTATTGAGATTCTTCAGTGTTTGCTTAAAGGTTCTATCAAAATGACAGACCTGGCAACCATTGAGCCACTCTGACTAAAACTCCTTCATTGGTTTCTATATGTTCACTGTTTAAGACGTGTATGTTTTTCTTTAAGAAAGTGAATATTAACAAATGTTATTGTATGATTGGACTTTTAATGACTGATTTCTTGGTCTCCTCTCTCCCCTGCAGGGCTCCTTTTGGAGTCAATTCATCTCGGGGTTTGTCCAGTCCAGTGGCTGGAGGAGGAGGAGGGGGAGGTGGATGCAGTCAAGTGGGGAGTAAAATCCCAGACCCTTCATCCCCTGGTTCCCCGGGGCCTTCTTCGTCCCGTCCCTCCACGCCGCTGATAAACTCAGCCAACTCTGTTAACTCCACCAGTCCTGCCTCCTCGCCGCAATCTGCCGCCGCCCAGCTGAAGAACTGCCTGCGCTCCAGTCAGCACACGGTTAACCAGGCACGCACCTCAATGCAGCTGGGTAAGCAGAAATGTTGACACACAATGTAAGCATAATGTGCTTTAACCATTAAGCATTTCACACTGGAGTCACTCATTAAACATTCAGGAATGCCTCTTTTTGTCCCATTATAATCAGTTTATTGATCACTACCAATCACATGTCCACTGATTATCATACATTAGCATCATGGCATCGAACCAAGTTACATTGGAAAGTTCAAGATTTATAATCATCTGACCAAAGGGGTTTCTCTTCAGAGAAATGTTGAACAAGTTTGAAGGTAGTGTATATATTAAGCATGTGCCTGTCTTTGGTACTTTTCCAACTTCATGCTGCAATATCACACCCTGCAGTACACTGTCCACCAGCCTACAGGCTTAAAGAAGCAGAGTCCAGCTCCTTTGTGACCATGCAGAATTTTAGCCCCTTAGTCCCTGATTAAAGAATAATTGAATATCGATCCGTCATTAATTCAAGTAGCCTGTAAAAAATATTGTCGGTTTCTGCACACAACTGCCTCCTTTAAACTCCAGTTTCCTCATTGTTGTTATTCATGTGTAAAAAGAAAGTATACAAGAGTGAGACTAAATTGAGAAAAGAGAAATGTGAGCTTCAGTTGGTGGCAGTCACATGCTGCACATGTTTATGGAGTATGAGAATCTGGCTACTTTAGGTAATTACATTAATTAATTAAACAGGACGCCCTGTGCAATTCCTCTAGTATCCTAAACAAGGATTTATTTGCTGATGACATATATCTATTCTCACCAAACAGTAATCTCAATCCTCTTTAATACAACCTAAATCAGGAACTGATTAGATTGGATACTTGGCTGATGTGCCGAAGGTTTCCCTGAGAAATACAATAATCAGCGTGATTTTTCTCTCAAGTAGAAATGAAATAATTTTGAACTTTTTCTATCAGAATCCTTCTTTTATAGAGTCTGAAGCCCACTGAATTCCTGAAGGTACATATTGATTGAGTCAATGATTGATTTGAGACTTTAAGGGCCACATTGGTCAGCTAGTGAAAAATGGGTTGTTTCTCAAGTGTAACGTTTCGTTGTTGTTGTTGTTGTTTTTAAACTCAAAGAATTTTTAACCTATATCTTATTGGACAGATTTGAAGAAGTTGTTGTACTTTTCTTTCAATTTCACTGCCCTACTGACCCTGTTTGCCACAGCTTGATTCTTCTGAAGCTTTCTGAATGTGATGTCTTTCATTGTGCTTGTATACGTACAAACTTGTAACAAATGAGGAGGCGCCTCTGAGCAATTTCAGGCATTCAAAGTCATGACATGCGTCGCTGTCAAAAATCACCTGACAACACCTCCTTCCAATTAGTTGTCTATTTAGGCTGCAAGATTTCCGTTCTCTCTCTCTCTGCTATTTCTTTGCCAGTTCAGACCTGCAGCAGTACTGCACTCTCTCTCAGCCCCTCCACCACTATAGACAGCATCCACCTGTAGGCTCCGACTGGGGGGTTTAACATATCATCCCATCACTCCTCAAATTTCTGCATGGAAATTAAAACTGCGAGGAGTGATTAGGTCGGAGCCTAATGGAATCAAACAGCTTAAGGCAGCAGTTTCACCAAAATATGCAACAGCCCATAAATACTCTTATCAACTAGGGGTTCAAATTGCAGTTTGTCCACATTTATTGTATCCTGCCTAGTATAGATGCTTGGTAATATGTAGCTATATCTAAAGCTAATGTAAAGTTTAAATCCATTCACTTTTTCAAATCTCAATATCTGTGATTAAACAGTTTATTTTAAGTAGTTTATGCTTTCTTATATCATTTGATTTTGCTTCATATTTTAACTGTTTTCTATGTTTTATGAAAAGAAACTAGCTAGCTAACTCATTTCATGCTCTTTGCCTTTTAAAGGTAGGAGACTCGGTACGGAGCTGATAGTCAGTGAAAGGAGAGATGATAATAGAGGATGACATGCATCGCAGACTGGGACTTTGCAATTATATTGTCAGCTTGTTAAATCCATTTAGGCCCCCAGGATGGTTCTCACCTGCTGCTTGTCTTTGGACTGTTGGGACAAAACACAAACAAAACAGAGCGCAAATCCAACAGAAGGAAGCGAGAGGTCTGATGTATTCTTCTCATACACTCTGTTCTTCCCCTCTGCACTATATGAGCCTTCAGAATCATCCCTGGAAATAGCCACTAATGCACAGTTGTTACAAGAATATACTGTAAGTCACAGGAGGATAATTAACATACATACATTAAAGCTCTAAGAGCGCTGTTCACTCAGAGGTAGTGCTACCATGCAAACACTTCTTCTACACAACTCTCACCAACACACACACACACACACACACACACACATGCACACTTGTGTCGTTGCAAGGTCTAGATTATATCAGCCTTGTTCTGCACTCAGAGTCTATTCATCTCTCTAGAACCCCTCTCCATCTTTCCCTTTGCACTTTTTCTTTCTCCTTGTGAGAAAATAATGGTGAAGGTTTCTTAAGGGAGGCTGTAGAGTACACACTGTGAGAACACTGCCAAGAATAACACTCAAACACACACGCAGACATGATTGTGCTCTCCCACGTACATATACACAGAAGGGAACACACTCGCTCCCAATCGCACAGCTGAATGACATCACTGTGCTTTTTGTTTTATGGAGGCGTAATGACAGAGCTTTATGCCTCTCTCTCCAACTCTTTCCTTTTTTGTTACTCTCTCGCCCTCTCTCTCTCTCCCTCTGTCTTTCTTTCTCTCTGTCTCTCTCTCTCTCACACACACACACACACACACACAGATACACACAACAGACATACATCTGGTCTCCATTACAAAGTAAAATATGTGCATAGTTTGGGCGTTTAGTGGTTTCCTCACATGACCAGCGCTGCTCTCAATGGGTTTTTGCCTAAGTACTGCAGTGGAGAAGAGCAGGTGGCTAGCAACCCTGTGTGTCTGTGTGTGTTTACATGAGTGCATTGTGTAAGTGTGGGTGTGTATTTTTGTGTACTTTAATCCTCATGAGCTTCAAATGTCCTCATACGGATGAAAGGCTGGGAAAAGTGCTCCGAACTCAGGACTTTTGAACCAGTGTTTTTGGTCTACAGGGGACTGGGGAGTTCTTTGGTTCCTATTTTTGTTTTAGTCGGACAACAATGTGCAAATGAGTTGAATAGAAGATTCCTCAACACCACTCTTTTACACAACTGATAAAAACTGCATTTTGCTTTCCAGTATATCAGAGAGGGTATGACATTGGTACAAAGTTGGCTGGTTGGCTGTTTGAGTTAGATTTCCTAAATATTGCCATGCTCCCTCAGGGGACGCTGTGACTGATGGCTACACTGCTCTCACAGTTTTAGTAACACACACATGTGTTTGTGTTTTTTTCAGTCCACAGTCCTCCTGCTGGAAGCCCAGAGCGCCCCACGTCAGCCATCTCCCCCCTGCGTCCTCAGAGCTCCTCCCCTTCGCGCTGCTCGGGCCAATCAGGTCGCCCACTCTCAATGGTCTCTCCAGGACCCAGCTTGGGGCCCTCACCCCTCTCCTCCCCTGCCTCGCGGCCCCTCCTCCCTCTCTCCTCCCCACTCTCCTGCCTCACGCCTCCTAACGTGTCAGCGGTGCTCCTCAACGGGGATCCAGCCAGTCCCCTGCAGTCGCCTTCGCCGGGTCCCTCCCACGCCCCCAACCAGGGCGCCCTCGCGCCAAAAGCAGAGAAGGTAAGCCTCATTCTCGTGGATATTCTTGGCTTGTGTAAATATATGCAACAGCATTCTACAAAAATACTCCAAAAGTGTGCTGTAGAAACAGCTCTCCGCTGCAGCCGACACTTTTCTACCAAAGAATAATTGGATCTCCTGCTATTATGCAACTTTTATTGTTTTCTCCATATGCATAATGAAGAGCTGAATACAGTAACTTCATATTTAATTTAGAGGGGATTATAGGATATCACTTGCCTGAGTACAACAAGACTAGACAGACTGAGGGAAAACTTGTTCCAGACAATGAAATATATGATCACAGAGTAAGTCTTTGAATACTGACAAGTGCAACATGTTGTAAGTGCTGTGTTTGTGGGGGAAGTCTGACATGTCATTAACACCTATGACATCAATGATGTGTACATATCAATACAGATAAGACAACTAAACAGCCAATAAATGCCATTAAAAGAATGCACACCATTCTGACTTTGGTTGATAATAATTTTCAACATTGATTTATTCCTTTAGTCAATAAAATGTACCAGTGTTATAGTCAAGACCTCAATACCAGAGACCAGGTCATGACTGATAGCACAGTGTGCCAAGACCAAGACAAGAATAAGACATAAAGGGGTCGAGATCGAGTCAAATCCAAGATCATTATGTGAATAAGAAATCATCATGAGTGTGAACAAAATAAAAGAGTTTTCTCTGTTTTAATTTAAGTTTGCTTTTAAATCAACATATCAGCAACAAACAAAGTCTGACCATTTCACTGTTGTGTTTTCAAACCACCATAAGACACATTTATAGTTTTACAAAGAGGAACATATGAAGTGACCTTTCACAGCAGGTGTTTAATTCTTAAAACTTAATTAATTGTGAACAACTAAACTTATCACTGACGGTTTTACTGACATCTTTGGTCCCAAACATACCGATACACAAAGCCTCTTCTGGTGTCCTCTCCAGCCAACCCTGGAGGGTTAAGGCTGTTACAGAGGAAAAAAAAATCACAATGTACCATAAATGAATATAATATATTTGCTGCATTTAGAGAGGGACATTTTCCTTCTAATCACTGTTAGGATGTGGACATGTAAATCAGTTGTGGTCTTGACGGGTCGTGCTGTACTTGCATGATTCTCCACATTGTGGAACATCAAAGTTCTATTCTGTTCTGTTCTAAATCCTGAGTCCCCTTCATCTAAGACTGAGACTAAACCAAATATGTGTTTAATTCTGAGTCTGAGACCTCCACAAGTGGTCTTAGTCTACTCTTGAGTACCACAACACTACCAGAGAATTAGATTTTTGTGAACTGTTTCTTTAAAACTTTTAGATCAACAGTGGTGCTGGTTTAGCTCAGTCCATAGAGCAGGCATCACACAGGCAAAGTCCTCGACACATTGGCTGCCGGCTCCACTCCCGGCCTGCAACCATTCAGTGCATGTCATCCCCACTCTCTCTTCCCTGGATTTCCTGTCTCTTGTCCTATAATAAAGGCAAAGGGACTAAAAAATAATCTTTTATAAAAAGTTAGATAATATATTAATGAATTATCTCACTTTTTTTCCGACAATAATCCATCAATTGACTTACTGATAAACAGTCATTTTAAATGTGTCCATCATTGATGATGAAAATATGTTCCAGGCAGATGTTTGATTCCTGAAGTATCGATCATCCTGTAAAGAAAACTCACTTTATATATTTGATAAGTTTAAAACTACATCTGGCAAAAAAAAGGAGCTTTGTCCTCTAGATTTAACATAACTTACGAAGGTGCAATAAGCTGTATGTTTGTGTGTGTGTGAGTGTGTGTGTGCGTGCGTGCGTTCGTGCGTTTGTGTGTGTGTGTGCGTGCGCGCGTGCGTGCGTGCGTGCGTGCGTGCGTTTGTGTGTGCGTGTATGTGTGTGTGCCTCTCTGTATTTGTATTTGCCTCATGTGTTTTGCTAGTAGTCCTCTTCAACCTCAGTTTATGTCACTTGTACATGCTGCTGGCTCTAGTGCTGAGCTCCATCCTGTATGCTGTGGGATCCGGGATGTTAAAGCTGTGGATGTTAAAATCAGCCTGCACTGACAGTGAAGGATGGCACGGAAAGCTCGCATCTGTCTCAGCTCCATTTGTTTCACTGTTGGCTCCACTGTCTGGGACAGCTAATCTATGGCTAGCTGACAAACAGCTCATTGACTATGGAACAGCAGGCAGCAGCCTTGTTTACATCATCACACTCTAAAAGATAGCTTAAACTCATATTTAAGATGACTCACATAGTGAATATATCTCGTGAAAGTTGGAATAACACAGTGACATTACTCTTGTGCGAGGTCATTCGTTTTGTGTCTCTGCTCCCAAATAAGGTAAACAACTTTATTTAAGTTGATTCTTAAACAATGGTTCTACTTTGTTTTAGAATGATTTTTGTCATCTGTCTATACATTGTATGTATCAGACTGCCTTGCTCAGCCCTAAATAAGCTGCTTTTTTTATCTGGATTTGGATGTATTTGTAGCATCCATTCATTATCTTAATGCTGCTGTTAATCTTTAGAAGCTTTTATGTGATCACAGGGTTTCAACTCCATTTGTATAGCACCAATTCATAACAAATGTTATCTCAAGACGCGCTTCAAAATGGGTATAATTTGCAGGCAGGATTTCTCCTTTGTATTCCTCGTGTTCCTGTTGTCTACACTTCCTTGCTGCTGAGGTGGAGGTCGGAGCAGGCCGTGCATGAATGAGGACGGCGGTGGTTGTTGTGGGGACGACACAGTCGGATGGTGGTGGCTGAGCGTCAGGGACGTCGGGTGGTGGTAGTGCCAGATCAACCTCGCTGTAGGTTGGGGGAGCTCCGTCTAGCCGAGAGCCTGGCTTCTGCTGCTGGGACAAGGCCTGGGCTTCTAGTAACGGAAGAGGGGGCAAGGAGGTCCCAACAACTGTCAGACCCAGTCCCAAAAAGCAGTTTCATCATTTGAGTCCTTGAAGAAAAAAAGAAAAAAAAGCTATGGGTCTATTCACATCACATCTGTGTGAGTTGTAGCTTGGCGGAGCAGGAGCCTCAGTCTTAACAGAGGAAGTGATGAAGCAGCTATCATAACTGTCGTGCAGACACATTTCGGGTAATCTCTGTTCGACACACTGTCACACTGTCAGTATTGTGGACACATATCATGTTGGACAATGAGATGTGTTTTTAGACTGCTTCAAGGAACTATGCAAGGCAGAGCAACTGCCAACTAAACGGCTGTCAGAAATGCTTGCAGAATTTCAGTCGGTCTGTAAACCGTATAATGGTTTAGTAAGAGGCATGGAGCTCAACATAGACCTGATATTGCGCTTTTGCTTTACTCTATGGAATTTTGTTTTTAAGGTTATAGACTTTTAAGGTTTTCATTTTTTCATTGAATTGCTTGAAAGTACACTGACTGAACTGAACCAGGATTTGTCAGTTTTTCATTCTCAGATTTTTCTCACTTTTTACTTCTTCTGTTTTTTTTTCACATCATTTACCTTAAAAGCATCCAAAGAGTTCTGAGCGTGGGTGAGTTAATGAGAGTAATTACCTTGGTGGGTGCACAGAACCTGGTGTCCTGAACATCTTTCCTCTCAATACCCCAGAATTTAAATACCCATGCACTCACTCTGAAGTTCAACACCTGCTTTTATCCTCAACTTATCCTTGGCACTAATTATTCTGAGATGTGATTTTAATTTGTACATCCAAGCAATTTCTTGTGTATGGATGATAAAACATTTTAACATATCCACACAAAAGAAAATATGTTTCTAAAGTGAGCAGTTTGTATTTGAACAGAGATGGAGAAGCAAAACTTGACAGGTTCAGTTCATTATCTGGATCCTGCCGTTGGCTGCAGAGCAAGGCATTCCACTAGTGTTAAGTCAGAAGTAAAGTCCTTTTTACAGATGAAAAAATTAGTGTACGGTGCCATCTTGTGGTTGGAACAAAAACAGCACACTGGATTGTATAAAGGCGCGCACACACACACACACACACACACACACACACACACACACACACACACACACACACTCGCAGGAGGCAGATTAAGCCTTTAAGCCTGCAGATGAAAGAAGAGAGGGAGTGATAATTCACTTTTTCTGCCGCTTTCAGTCCCACCTCCATCCTTCCCTCTGTCTTCTCTATCCTTGTGCTCTCTCTGTCCCCACACATAATATTATTCTCCATCCTTGTCTCATTGTGTCTGCCCTCCCTTTTACCTCTCTCCCTTTTCATACCCTTTCCCTTCCTCCTCTTTCCCCCTCTTCTCCGTCCTTCCATTTTCTACCCTTCTATTCATCTTTGTTTTGCTCTCCATCTTCTCCTCGTTCAGCATGATTAAAATTCCAAAAAGCTTTATTTGCATGGCAGAACGAGACGCAGCGGAACATTTGAAGTGTGTGTGTGCGTGTGTGTGTGTTTCAGTGCCAAAGCATTATTAGATTCAGGTAAACATGATTTATGTTTTTTGGGCAAACGCTTTAACAAAAAGGTCTGCACCTTCTTACATCCTGTGAGAAATGATGAAGAACCGGTTTCCTGGGCGATGCATATATCTCCAAAGAACTGGTATTTAGAGTGCAAGAGCAATTAAAGCTGTTTGTTTTCTATATACCGTGTCTGCTGAGTCAGTGTGTTTATGCAGCGTCTTGCTTTGTAAGCACTTTTTTTTCCTGCACTGTGTGACATGTATGCTAACAAGGTTCATCAGGGCCATGTATTGTTTCGTGTCCTTATTTGAATTGTTGGATTTTTTTTTATCAGAAATTGCAACAGCTTTATGTCACTCTTCAATGGTCGACGTGACGATGATGAAAATGATTGTTAAAGTGTTGTTGTGTAAAACATTCCATTTCCTGTTGTAGTCTGTCAAATAGCCAAAAGACATGTTTTTACTTTAAGTCAGAAAATGGTTACATTTTACAAGTTTTTTTTCACCTTAACTTTATCTATCTCTTATAGTGTTCGCTTTTCATCCTTTTTTTTTTCTATTAATTGATACATCTAAACTTTGCTGGTTCCAGAGCGTGATCCAAGTTGTACTGGGCCTCCTCTGTGAGAAAACTTCCTGCAGTGTTGTGTTTCTCCCGAGGTCTGCATGTTCCCCTGACAGATCATTTCTTTGATCAGCCCCATGTTTTCTGACAACTTCTGCTTCTTAAAGCAGTCGCGGAGCACAGGCGGGTTTACTCCAACCCTGGTGCTGTAGTCGGCAGTATTACCGAGCCATCTGCAAAGGCTTGCATATTTGGTGTGACAGCCGGGTCTACCTACCTACCGCAGGAGCGAGTCAGCAGCACCGGCTGTCAGCAGAAAAAACAAGTGATAAAGAAATAGGTATATCTGAGATTTAAAAAATACAGTCTAAAGGATTTTAATGTCATGATTATTCCAAGATAAACTCAGTGTTGGTTCTGACATTGTTAAGGTGCTGTACAATATTCAGTGCATCACATATGTTCTGTGGCACATTTAATAACAGATATTTGAAGAGGGAGAAGAAGATGGAGAGGACGACAAAGATGAATAGAAGCATAGAAAATGCTTAGCTGGAGGAGAGGAGGTGGAGGAGGAGGACAGGGTATGAAAAAGGAACTGAGGTAAAAGGGAGGTCAGGCACAAAGAGATAAAGATAGCTCTAAAAAAACAACACAGAAAAGAAGTCATTAACTTTCAATTAAACGCATCCTTGATTCACTCTTTAAAGGTCGTAAGTCTTGCACTGCAACTGTGATTCACAAAGAAGATTAGAGGTTCAGGTGAAGACGATAAACATGTGACTCTGTGGTTTGTTAAGGAGGCACCTTATACACATATTCAAATCTGTTTAGATTTTTACATTTGTTGCTGGTAATGCATATGCTCTGGTTGCTATCTGCCATGTTAGCTGCAGTTTTATCATTATAAAGTTACACATTTCAGTTTTAAATCAGCTTCTTTTTTATACATCTCTCAGAAGCAAAAGGTTTAATTTCTACGTTTATTTGATAACTCTCGATAAATGACGTGGTCAGAGTTTAGCCGGGTCTCTATTCATTCTGATGTCACCTGCCCCTCTCTCTGATCCTTTGCATTCGTACACTACCTTTATTTTTTTTAGAAGCATCTTCTTTTCCTTCTCGTTTCCTTTCTCTTTTTAGTCCTTATTTAACAGAAATGGGTGCATTCAGAATTTTTTTTTTTTTTTTTTTTTTTAACTTCCATGTATGCAACCCCATGCTGTTGCTATGACAACTGTCCGTCATAGCCGTGCAAAGACAGTGTTTTAATGGCAAATGAATGTTTAAGAAATCCAATGTTTCATCCAGCAGCCCACGTATCACAGAAACAGATGGCTCAGGCAGAGACGGAGCCGATATGGAGGCTTCATGCACCCACAAAAAAAAAATAAAAATGTAATTATGCTCAGGCATGCTCAGTATTGATCCATGTCTTCATGACTGTACAATCATGCCAAGCAGCAGACAACACAAAGCTGTTTTGTCCTCCTGGAGTCACATAGAGTCCGACTGAATGGGAGGCATTGTGCAGCGCTTGTGTTATAAACTTCGAATCAAAAATCTGTGAATGTGGCCTTACACGTGGCATTTAGAAACACTCTCACTGGAATCAATAGTCTATTTCAATGGCCATCACAGTGACTGCAGGTGTATTCAGTTTGAAGGATCGTTACTAACCACTCGGCACATTGTGACGAGCAGCCATTCACACTATAAACCCTCTGTTATCCATTCTTCTCTGAGATCTTTGAGTAATTACTGTTCACATCCCCGTTCTTTCCTCCTTTCTGAGCTGTGATCGAAGGACAGACAGGAGAAGAATCAAGATGCCAGCTTCCTTTTTTTATTTAATTATATGTGATGACTCATGACTGACTTTGAACTGCTTGTTCCGCTCAATAGCACATATGACAACAGCATGTTTCAAATCTAAACTAACCATCTACTAGCTCCAGTTCTGCACTTGGCTGCAGACATGAGAGTGGTATGAATCTTATTGTCTAATTTATTTTGAGGAAGGGTAAAGGCATTTGAACTATTACTTCAGAAGGACTAAATCAGATTCAATGTGCAGTAGACAACTCCCTGATGTCCCTCAAAACTTATCGAGAAGGGGTTGAATGTTAAATGGTAAATGGGATTGAGCTTGTCTTTACTACTCAAAGCGCTTTTACACCGCAGGTCACGCCCATTCACACACTGATGGCAGAGGCTGCTATGAAAAGTGACCATCAGAGGTAACTAATCCCATTCATACACATTCATACACCACAGACGAAGCAGTGGGAGCAACATGTGGTTAAGTGTCTTGCCCATGGACACATTGGTCATGTAGCTGCAGGAGACCAACTCTAGACACATATATATGTACCCTTATATCCCCTCTTACAAGCCACATCTGCCCCATGTATGGAGGCTAACAGTCCTCCTAACATGGGGTGCTAGAAAAGTGAAGACGTATTCCTGAGGATGTTTTCTTTCCCTTTACAACAAGGTGTTCTTACTTTCACCTTGTTGTACTTTCTGCTATAATATTTCTATTACTTGTTTTATTCCATGTGTCTTTCTGTGTGATATTCAGAGTCAACAGGAAAATGATTTTGTGTTTTTTTCTTAAATTGTTTTTGATGAACGTGCAGGGAGTTTATTCATGCTCTTGTGTTCTCTGTATAGAGAAGGAAAATGCCATATTCTGAGACTGTTTACAGACCTTTTTATTACTATGTTGTCACTTTCAAGATAGACCTTATGAAACCCATATTTATATCTCACCAGCATCTCTGGTATTTGTCGTCTTGTTCCTCCCCCTCTCTGACCTTATCATCTTCTTCCTTTTACTTCTTTCACCTTTCTCCCTACCCTCTCCCCCTCCCCCGTCCGTCTTCAGAAAGAGAGAAAAGCAGCCGGTTTATTGAAGCTCCTGTCGGGGGCGGCAGCAAAAAAGAAACCTCGATCACCTCCCTCCTCCCCGCCAACCCACGACCCCTCACTGATCGGTCACTGCCCTGCGGCCACCGACCCTGCCCACCATCCTCACCACCATCACCACCATGCCCGCTCAGGTTCCTGTCCCATGGCGGCCCATGGGCGAGCAGGCTCCTGTCCAATTGAGAGCGAGATGGGAGGGGCCATCGGGCTGGAGCCACTGCACCGGAAGTCCGGGTCTCTGGACACCAACTTCCCCTTGTCCCCTCCACCAACACGCGCCTGCAAACCTTTGATGGTCCTCCGGCCTGAACCAAAACCCCTGTCCAGAGAGCGGTGGGCACACACACTCAACCACACAGACAGAAATAAGACACATGTTGCATCAATTCCTTAGCAAAAAATGTCCTCACAAATGTGTTCATAAAGGTGTCTTATATGAAAAGATTTAAATTCAACTCCTGTAGGAAAATCTGTGAGAGCTGCTCAAAGTCGGGGTACCTGGAACCTTATTGGTGAAAAATTGAAATTGTTAACCTCTGCCTTATGTAACTTGTGAGGGGTCAAACTAGGGTTTTTTTCAGGATTCTGAATCCTTTGTTAACATTTGTTTTGCACAAAACCAACTCCTTAGTGAAAAACAGCCACGCCCACTTATACATGTACATTTAAAAGTAGCTTTATTTGTTAATTTCAATAGCTCAAATACTAACTTAGAAAATGATACTGCTCCACATTGTCAAATGTCTCAAAACGAAAACGAAAGTGATGTGTAAAAAAATCCCATAAGTGTAAGTTTTCACACACTGTAAGTACAACAATGTACAGTAGGTGTCTGCTGCTCCCGATGAATAAAAATTCACACAGACAATTCTACAACTACACAATTCATTTAGCAAACGCTTTTATCCAAAGTAACGCACCTGTTTATCACATTTTGTATGTCCACTCAGTCCTACAGCTTATACAAGATTACTTATAATAGTCACCTACCTGACTTCCTTTAGTTCACTTCCCTGGGGTGCGCTAGAATTGTCTTTTTGTCTGAGGAAGGTTCCTAACTGAGTAAAAGAGAAGCATTTAAGTGGCGGCCATGATAAGAGCCGTTCTCTAAAAGCTAAGGAAAGGTGCGTCAATGCTTCCTTTATAACCTTCTTTAGCATAGGATACACTGGACCATCCTTTACCAAAGGAGATGAGATATGCCGTCCCACATTTCCTTGCGGTCGCAACAGTAAACACAGAGTGTCGCGCGTCCGACCGTTCATGAAAATGAACGATGATCGTAGAGGGACGCAGGTCATGTAAGAGACATTTTTAGCCAGATTAAGTTTTATTCAACATATTTCATTCACTTAAGAATGCTTTGTGCAGTAAGTTGTACATCTGTATGCTTAAAACATTATGTATATGTATATCTTTCATAAATGTAATAATTAATTTCATACAATCATACTTAGGTTATTTTGGATGAATGTTGATTTATGAGTGGACAGGAAGGTGATGGTTTCACTTTTGTTACTCGTAGCCTGGAGAGCAAAAAAAGAGGTTGCAATGGAGTCAGAATCCTGAAAAAACCCTAGTTTGACCCCTCACAAGTTACCTTAGGCAGAGGTTAACATTCTCAATTTTTCACCAATAAGGTTCCAGGTTGCCCAACTTTGAGCAGCTCACACAGATTTGTTTCTACTGGATGGATTTAAATCATTTTACATGTGTTATAACTCACCTTTATGAACACATTTGTGAAGAAATTTCTTGGTAAGGAATTTATTTCCAGATTGGCCAAATATCTGATAAAAATTCCCTCACTAACAGCCACAGTTAAAAAAACAGAAATGAATAAAGTCAAGACCCGATCTCTTCTAACAATTGTTTGATTGATTGATTTTATGTGTTTGTTCGCATGCAAGAGCAAACCCCTATTATTTAAAGCAGTAGTCTATTGAGCATCTATACTCAAGAATATGTTTTTTTATGATACTGTCCAATTCTCACAAACTCCACTGATCTTTAAATGACAAAGTGATGAATTTAAATGGTTGGTAGAATGACACAAACATTCAGAATAAATATTTTAAAAATCAGGAACACGGGAACACAATCACAGTCAAAATGACATTGAAAGCATTTACTGGATGCATTTATAGTTTCAGCAGCAGCATGCTGATCTACTGGGAACACTGGTTATCAAACCAAACCAATGCAAACTGCTCAACCTGTGTGTTGGGGAGAGAAAAAGTGGAAGCCAGAGACAGAAGAGAGAGAGAGAGAGAGAGAGAGAGAGAGAGAGAGAGAGAGAGAGAGAGAGAGAGAGAAAAGAGGAAAATGAAAGCAGTCTACAATGTGTTCAGAATGAATGTTCACATTACCTGTTACTTCAAATGTGAAACATTTAATGACTTTCAACAACTTCCTCAAGGTTTGACAAAAAGCATTCAGAGAAGAGAAAGTGACATTTTGAATCGCTGTAGGCGATGCAGGCTGAGCGAACACTTCAAATCAAAGTCGGGGAAAGTACTGAGAATAAAAATGGTGTGAATAAAACTCTTAACTGAAACCTGCACAAGCTTACTGCTTATGTGTTTTAACTGTCTCTGCATGTGGCAGGTATCGTGTGGTGGTGCCCTACCCGCCCCAGAGTGAGGCGGAGATCGAGCTGCGGGAGGGGGACGTCGTGTTTGTCCATAAGAAGAGAGAAGACGGCTGGTACAAAGGCACCCTGCAGAGGACAGGACAGACGGGCCTGTTTCCCAGCAGCTTTGTTGAGAGCTTCTGAACTGGGAAAAGTTCAAGAAGAGCACACACTGATCCTGACACTAAATACACACACATACACACACACACACACACACACACACACACACACACACACACACACACACACACACACACACAGCCTCACAGCTACATACACAAAGAATGGACCGGCAATGGTTTCCCACAATTATATTCCTTAGATGATTTAAAAAGTTGTTTTAACTAGATACTTCACATCATTTTTAAATATCAAATATCAAATATTTTAAATATGTTATAAGTTAATTCTTTGAACAGTCTGTTAAGCAACACTGGAATTTAAAGTATGGGGGGAAAAAAAGTACAAAAATCTCCTGTCTTCTGAAACCATTATCGGTCCAGCAACCTCGCACACACATAAACACACACCTACAACCATGTGGGAAAGTCAGCCCTGGCTTCAACCAGCCATGCAGGAAGCAGCTTTTGGGTCAGAGGGGCTTCACCAGACTCGTTGGTATGACCTGTGATGTTGACTACTGAAGGCTCAAAGAGCACAGAAGGACAAACCTGCCTCCCAGCTCTCCTCCTTGGCATACTCCACCAGCAACTACTCACACAAAAAAAAGCATTAACTGTGCTTTCCACTGAGACCTCAGAACCTGGATTTGAGTGCTTTCTTAGTTTGAAACGTGAAGATTTTTTGAGCAGGTGCTGCTGGAAGTGTTAGGTTCCAGGATTGTTTTTAAGCACATCTATGTGTCTAGTTTGTGACAACAAGCACATGTCTTTCTTAACCCAGTATGTGTTAATAACAGTGCATGTAGCATTCTGATGTTTTTTTTTTATATGTCGAAATAGATGTTTGTGTTGTCCCAAACTAGTCATGCTGTGAAGCTTTTCCCCAGCCTTTGGTTTCAAAGCTAATTCAATTAGGTGATTAATATTTCTATTTATATATATCTTACTAAAAATTTATACAACAATTTTTTAACTTAAAGTTGTCCTTTATAGACCCACAGAGCGGGAGGGGACTGAATTAACTGGCCTTCTGAATGTAGGAAGAAACAGAAAATCATGCCAAAACTCTTGAAACAACTGATTTGTATTGACAAAGTTTTTTTTTTTTATTCTCTGTCAGATTTTACAGACAAAGAATGCACTTGGTAATATTTGATACAACCTGCCAATATATCTACTTATACAGTATTTTACATCATTATTTATTTCTCAAAAGGGGATTTCTATTGCTAATAGTCGGATGTTTCTGTTTCAGGCATGTTTTTCTTTCTTTAAAGCAGCAGGCACAAAACCTCTCTGGTAGGTTGATGAATCCTAAAGTCCTCAGCAAAAAAAAAAATGAAGTTACCAATGCAGTTGAATTTTCCTATTGGAAAAAAAACACACATACTGTTCATAAATATTGCTAGCAGTAATTCCTCGTGAACAGCCTTTTCTGAACTCCAACTGCAGCAATATTATGTCCCTGAATGTGTGCAGATTCAATGTGCATGGATACATGTACAGTCGAAAGGTCAGAAGGCAGAGACACAAATTGTTCATCACACAACTGCCAACCTTTTGACAACTTCTCCCCTGATCTTTACCAACCTTTCTTGAGTATTTTTGTACGGCTTCAATGCGTGTTACCGTCAGTCTGCTTTGTGAATCTCTACATCCTGCGTGTGGATCCAGGCTTGTCTAGTTTACATCCACCCACAACCATCTACCTTTTTAATCCTTCTTTCTGGAGATAGAAGCACAGTGAAACTCAGAGACACACTGTGTTTAAATATGAGTGTGTGTGTGTGTGTGTGTGTGTGTGTGTGTGTGTGTGTGTGTGTGTGTGTGTGTGTGTGTGTGTGTGTGTGTGTGTGTGTGTGTGTGTGTGTGTGTGTGTGTGTGTGTCAGAGAGGTCGAGGCCAGCAGGACTTTAATGGTTGTTCAAATGTTTTTTTTTTCCTCTCCTGCTGCTGAGCCGGCAGTCAAGCACAAACAACACCGGCCATGTGCACACAGGTGAGGCTCCCTTATTGGCCGAGGACACAAATGAGAATATAAATATGATTATGTCCTAACCAGCTGAGAGTCTGTCATTGGCACAGTCTCCTAGGTAAACAGCACAAACAATATATTGAAAGACACAAAAAACAACAGATTTCAGTGTAGACAAATACAAAATGTCTTTGTAGTCTCACGTGGAACAAACAAAGAATTTTACAGAGACAACAAAATGCCACAACCTTTTTAAAACGTATATCTTATTCTCTTACGGTGTGACTGAATAATAAACATGCAGATGTCAACTCTCCAGCGACTTGCAGAGACAAGCACATGACAGAAGTAATGAGAGAAAATGCAGCTTCTCTTCTTTCATAATCAAGTCTTTACACGACAGATGTTTGAGACCCAACATTTAACATGCAATCTCTTTATTTATCAGACCTCAACATCAATTTTCACTTGTTTTTCCCCAGCTATTAGATTCCTTGAGGAAACAAGAATCAATGTAGACACACACACAAAATCACTAGCATCTTGCTCTGAAATCATCTTCATGCTGATTGCAGTGCAGTATCGGTAATCCTGTGCATTTTTTTTTTTTGTTTCCTTTTCTCCAGCAGGTCAAAATCCACTAGCGATTGTAAATAAGACATCAAACACAAGTTTAAAAGTGTGAGACAAAACTGATCCTTAATGAGATAGAATAATGGAATCATGGCTCTTCTGCAGCTGGAGTGATTTTTTTTTTTTCACATTAAATACATCCTGTAATACAGAATGACAAGTGTTTTAGCACAGCCAATATTAACCATGAAAATCTCCCCAATAGAGGATGAAGTCCAAAAACAATATTTGCATTGGTCTTCAAACCTGTCAGTCAAACTTGTGTGCCTCCAAATGCCAGCACACACACACACACACACACACACACACACACACCCGGAAGTATATATACATCAGGCAGAGCAATCCATCTGTATCTCCTCTGTGTCTTTGTATCCGTACAATGAGCCTGCTGGTTGTTTTTCTGTCAACTCTGTTCTGTTGGACTCGATGACAAAAAAAAAACCCAGCAGATCCCAGAACAGCTTTGCACAGGCGCTGAGCACAGTTTCTCTGTGTCTGTGTGTACTGAACAGAGGACTCTCATTTCTTCTGAGTCGAGAAATGTAAGCACAAGTCCTTGTTTTTTCCGTCAGAGATCATCAGATTAAAATGGTCTTAATATTATTTGAACGAGGTCGATGCTGTGAGGAGGAGCAGAGTTTACAACAGTCGAAACATCAGGAACAAAAACCACTGCACGGTGGTCACTTTACGAAAACAAATATCTTGAAGTGCAAGTTTTGCTTAATGTTTTCCATGGCGTTTGTGTTTATTTACGTGATGTAAGCTTATCTTTGGTCTCAGCTTCCTGGATGTTAAAAAAAACAAAAAAAACAGAAAACACTTGAGAAGTCATGGTGACAGCTTGAAAAATGTAAACAAGCCACCAGCAGCGGCAGCAGCAGTAAATTGGACTGGACATGCACATAAAACATCAAACCCATCAGTAGACGATACATACAATGTTTCACTGAATTTAATATCAAACTGCTTTCCTCCATGGCTTTTTTTTTGTCCCTCCAGGAAGCTCTCACCCTGCCATCTTGAATTAGATGTCGGCCATATTTGTTCCTATGGATACTTGTGTGTTTGAATATGTATGTGTGTGTGAGGGGAGGGGGGGGGCCTCTGTATGTAGCTCTTCACATGAATAACTTGATGACTAAAGTTTGGTGCGGCGTGAACACTCATGCCTCATCACGACTGAGCGAATAAAGCGGTACAATGGGAGAGAAAGAGAAGAAAGTATATATATAATTCTATATTGTGCAGAATATTTATAGGCCTTTTGTGCCATTGAAGTCATGCTCTGCGCTGGACACACCCAGCACTCTCTACCATGTGATCATTATACATCGTCTTGTACTGATGACCCGTGGCTGATTTGATTGTTTTTTTTTCATGTCAAGTGCATTTTTCGCAATAAATGCCTTTGTTTTAAAACAAATTTTCCCTTTTGTCTTGTTATCGTCTGCCTGCAGCGTTCTGATAGCACGGAGAGTGACGGGAACGATTCACACTTGTTTACTCCGATGCAACGCAGAAGCATTACCTGTGCGGCCCATTCGGATTTTACAACCCTTTGGAGGATTCATCCAGAGAATCATATTATATCCTGCTCTAATCATAATTACGTGCACTCACAATGTGCTCATTATGAGCTGATGAGGCCTCGTGAGCGCCACTCATGGGTTCAGATGTCTGACAGAGCGTTTTACGGTCTTTATCGTCACACATGTCGGTAGAGAACGTTAAGAAATAACGCTCTTTTCATGGCTCCCCTCATCTTCTCCCCACGTCCTCCTCTTTCTCTTTGTCTTTCTTGTGTTTCTAAACCAACACCGGTGTGGACGATTTGTGTAATTGGTAATTTCAGAGCATCGTCGGCACTCCTCTTAAATGACAACCCCATCTCTCCAGCAGCCGGCCTGTCTCTGATGATCATCTCCATTTGCATTTAGAGTGACTCGCAAAAGGTGACAAGGGTATGTGTATGTGACTGTCTGTTCTGTGTGTGCGTGTGTGTGTGTGTGTGTGTGTGTGTGTGTGTGTGTGTGTGTGTGTGTGTGTGTGTGTGTGTGTGTGAGTGTGTGTGTGTGTGTGTGTGAGCAAATAGATTTTGACAGCTATCTTGGATGTAGGCTCACAGAAAACCTCCACAAACACACAAACTGGGGCTGTTATATTTTAGGCGAGCAGGAGGCAGGCAGCAAAATTTAGACTTTTCCGATTTCTGCTGTGCACAGATAAGGATCACCTCCGGCAGCAAAGCTGAAAGAAAACACTTCCCGCCCAGATGCTGAACCACCCAGAGTAGCTAAAGGTGTTTGTTCACACACACACACACACACACACACACACACACACACACACACACACACATTCATACACACATTCTCACACACACATTCACACACACACACATTCACACACACATTCACACACACTTTCTGCACAGTTGGTGAAATAGTTCTCCTCGGGGCGTCCTCTTCCCAACCTGCCAGCGAGGTGCTGCAGGATCCTGCAGGGAATCGATCAGCATTCCTCTACTTTACGCCAAACCTGTCTGTCTTACCTGTCTGTCTGCCTGTCTGTGTGCCCGCTCTGAGTCATATCAAGGGCAACAGAGCCAGGGGGTAAGACACTGCAGGGGATAACACCTCTACCATCAGAACAGGGCGGTCCCTGTGTGTGTGTGTGTGTGTGTGTGTGTGTGTATGTGTGTTCTGATTCAGCCAGGTGATGGTAAGCTGCTTCTGTTTCCCAACATTTTTTTTTCTAAAGCAAAAGAGAAGCTTGTGATCATCCTCTATCCTCTTACCTTCTGATAAAAAAAGCAAAATAAAAGTAGAGCTCTCCACAGTGGACATTACTCTTATAATGAATCACAGGGGAACAGAGGAATCAGGTTAGGAGGTGTGCAGGTCTTTCAAAACTAGAACCATTAAAATTGTGGTTCATTGTGAATAACGGCTGATATTTCCCAAAAAATCTGATGTCTATGTGAAAGAAAAAATGGACGCACTGATAGCCTGGTAGTTATGTTAGGCGCACCATGTAAAGAGGCTATAGTCCTCATCGCAGCAGCTGTGGGTTCAAATCCTACACTAGCCCTCAGCTGAATGTCGTCCCCCACCCTCCTCTCCCGGCATAGTCTATCCCTTTACAGCTGTCAACTCTAAGAAAGACAAAAATGCCCCAAAAATACCTTTAAAAAAAAAAAAAAAAATCAAACAAAGCACCCCCTCATGAGGTCATATCAGAAGACACTGTACAAATGTAGTGTCTTTGAGTTTCTGAAAAGCGCTTTATAAATAAAATGTATTATTATTATTATAAGAAGGTAAATCCTACCTGTTAACCAGGTCAGATGCTTTAGATAGAGAGGCTTTGTGCAGCATGAGTGAACTGATACAATCACAGACCTGAGTGATCACCCTGACCTCTGAGCGTGACCTTACTCACAAGGCTTGAGCAGAAGACAGATCAACATTATGTTAGATAAAACCCAATCCTGATGATGTCCTACATTTGTTCCTCTACATGTGGCCATATGCTGATTATTACAGTTGATTCTTTTCTTTGTCTTCATATCCACTCACAGGAAACTGGTTTGGTATTGTCTTTGTGGTTCATGTAAATGTTTCGCAAACTAAATGTTTATATGATTGTGTGAAACAAAAATGTTGACCTACCTGAATCAAACCAGAAGAATAACAATCACATGTATAAGTATCTTTCTAGGTGTGATACTGCATATTTGCATTTCAGTGGTTGAGGTCCAACTAAATACATTTAGTTAAACAAGTTCCTCAGCAATTTAACCGAGTGTGTCTTAGTTTTAAGCTACTTTATACTTCATAATTGTGCATTATGTGTCTGAACAATGGAGAAAAGCTGCATTACAATATTATTTACTATTATACTACTTGCAGCATTAGAATGTAGTATTTACATTATGACTCTTTTTCTGCTTTATAAAATGAAGCTCAACGTAAGTTCTCTCTACTCTACTGATCTGTTTTTGGATCAGCTGAAGTGGTTACTGTGTTACTTTTAAGTATTAAACAACCACATTTGACCATGACCTCAATTAACCAATCATCCTGCTGCTACCAAACTTAAAATCTGCTCTTCTCTCTGCTCAGTCAGTTTGCAACCCTCCTCCACCCGTCACCTTCAGTCCATCTCATTAGTGTTCGTATTGAGTTCCCCAGAAGCCCCCCACTCCATCATCCCATCCTGCATCTTTCATCACCCACCACCATCAGTGTCTAGACTCTCAGCCTCACTACCGCTTTGAACATAAAGCGTCATGGTGGGGTCTTACACCTCAGACATACTGTAGCACATTTCACTTCCTCTCCAAAACTTGTAAAAAATATTTTAAAAAGTAACGCAGTTGGGATACACTGATTGGACGCCACATTGTGGAATAAAAACAAGACGACAAGCAGAGTTTATCATGACAAAAATACAAAGATTTATTTAGAAAGGGTGAATAAAAAGCTCCCAAATAACACTGTTTAGTCCTTAAATACAGAAAGCAGAAGTACTAAAGTATCTTCAACAAACTTAACTTCGACAGGCATCAGTGTGTTTCCCTGGATGTAAACTTTTAAGTGGATAGTGTTTGTCGTCGTATTGTTCACACAGATAAGGCACTAACACGTGGTGAGCACTAGTGAGAGGATATAAAGTGGCAGTGTTTGTGAGTACGTGTTGATTTACAACATCACACTTTACTGGAGACCAGCAGCACAGTGTTCTGGTCGAGTCTGTACTGTTCTGTAAAATGCTTTGAGGAGTGAAACCCAATGTCATCATCTTTCCAGAGACAGTGAAGAAAGACAAAAAAATCACTAAGTCATCTTCCCTCTCCTCCTGTAGTCCCCGAAAAACACTGAAAATCACAGAATGCTTTTCATTTCAACAAGTCAGTTCTTTTAGAGAAAACTGCACTGAAAGGGTTAACAGTTTGTGTTAAATATAACAGAGCAAGTAAACAAATAGAAATATGAATATATGCTTTAACATGTACCTTGTCAAAGTAAACTGTGAAGCTGTGATCACATAGAAGTTTGAAGGTTTTAAATTGGCTCCTGGATGTTTCTGTAATGCTGGTGTGTTCTTGATAAAAGCATCAAAAAGTGGAGAGGAAATGTTTCATATATGATACAGACAAGGTAGCTTATAATGCCACGTTATAACTATACTTAATGCTTATTAAAAAACTCCTCAAGGTGACTGTAACACGTCTGCCTTCACAAATCACCTCCTCAGCCCCCTCTCAGACACGGTTCCTGTAACATTTCTGGATTTTAGCACCAGTTCTTTGTAATTTATTTGTCCTCGCTGCAACAGCTCCGCTCCAAAACAGCTGTGAGTTGAATAAATAAAAAGGGATGAATTGTTGATTCGTTTATCTCTGAGGCTCTTAATGACCTCCTCTCTGCTTCTCACTAGGTCTAACCTGCTCTGTGGATTTCCTGATAAGTTTATGGAAATTAATGGAGATTATTAATAGAACATCAACTCCTGCTTCCTATTAGTTACCATCTGTTAAAGCTGAAAGGCGGTTACAAATAATCTGTTGTGTTGTGGCTTGTTGTGTCGGAGGTGTCTGCCATGAATAAAAAATGATGGCACTCATGTTCTGATTACAAATGTGGCCGTGCCAGACATTTGTTTTACCCTCTTTTTCAGAGAGACTTGAGCATTTGTTAAGATTCTGAAACTGAAATTGAATCATGAATGTGTCTGAATGGGTCTGAATGGGGGTTTAAATTGAATTTAAAGCATGTTACAGATGTTTGACTGTCTCATGAACAGTTAGAAGTGTGTATGCATTCAGAGTGTCTACATTATATACTGAATATATTGCTGCCATTCAATGCAACACAAGTCCCTCATAATGTTTGTACCTGTCTGAGCCCTTTTGTTCACCGAGTGAGGACGCTGTGAGGATCAATACACTGAGGTTTAAAAAAAAATAAGATGATAGTATCTGACAAATAAAGGTGTTACATAATAATGAAAGGATAAATATAAAACATGACACAGATATATAAAAGCCATAAAGAAGATTAAAAATACCACTGAGGAAAGTGTACACAGGATTCATGATATTAAACTTTGGCAAATGATCAAACTCGGACACACACACATACACATACACACTGTGTGGGGTGCCCCGTTAGTGTTTGAGACTGGCCACAAAGGGCAATGTGGAGGGGGGGGGGGGGTATGGGAAGAAAGTCACTGGTTACACTGGACAAACTGGAGGCATGCTTCAAATCCCAAAGTCTTCACATGAAGCCAGAACTGAATGAAAAAAAAAAAAAACAAGAGGAAGTTTAGAAGCCGTGTGACAGCCATGTTTAAATAATCACTCCATTCAAATGACTGTACCAGTCTGGATCTATTACACAGTTTGTCTGTTAGCAACTTACATGTTGACACCTAAACACTGGGGTGCTGATGGCCTAGCGGTTAGGTTGCGCCCAGAGTCCGAAGGCTATAGTCGTACAAGCGGACAGCCCAGGGTTCATATCTGACCCACAGCTTTCCCACATGTCATCCCCCACTCTCTCTATCCTTGATTTCTTACTCTATCCACTGCCCTCTCACACAGAGGCAAAAAAAGCCCATACATAAATACATATTTCAAACTAAACCCTGGTGGTATTTTTTATTTATCTTGTAGTACAAAAAAAAGTTCTTCTTTCTTTGTTTTTAAGTGTATTCTTACTTCTTGCGGTCCTTGTCCTTCTTGCCGTTGGCAGTGAGGCTCTGGGCCTGCAGGAGCTGGGCGGCAGCTCGCCTCTTGCCGAAGGAACTCTGGTCGTCATCCAGGAGTCTCTTCTTTTCCTCCAGAGCGGCTTTCTCGTCTGCATGGAGGCGCTTCAGCTGCTCAAAGCGACTTTGCAGCTGAAACACACACAGACAACAGTTGCATTACACGCATGAATACATTTTTTGACCCGCCGACAGGCTGCAGTAAAACCCATAAACCCTGCCTCCTCCGTGTAAACAGATGAGACATTAGTGGCAAACTTTACAATCTAAATACATGCCATACAATTATTTTCTCAAACCCAGTTCCTGATTCTGATTGTTCTGTTAGTGGAAAAGGGTGGATGTCAACAACGAGGCAGGTTCTCTACTGCATAGATCTAGTTTCAAACGATGTCACCAATGGATATTGTTAGGGCATGTTGCAGGGTTATTTTGGCTTCCCTTTTGTACAATGGGTCGTGTCGTTCATCTATATTCAGTCAATAGTATCAGAACTTAACAGCTCTGACTTTCTCTGTAGCATATCTAACGTATTAGTTAGGAGTTGTGTAGGTAAAAGAAGCAGAGTCATAACACTGACCTCTCTCTCAGCTTCCTTCAGCTCGGCCTCCTTCTCTTTCACCCTCTGCACAAACATCTGTCTCATCTCGTCCTCTCTCTTCTGCAGCTCCACCAGGAACTCCTGACGTTTGGCTTCATAGGTCTGCTGCAGGCTGAACACACACAATCACATATGACTTACAGGTCACCCCAGTTGTAGATTTTATTCCGTATCTGCGCATCTGATCCTGAGTTTTTCCACTCACCTGACAGGTTTGCACTCTGGGTCAGTGTCTTTGAAGCCCATTTCCTCTAGTTTGCATCGTCTGTAGAGCTCGTAATGGCGAGTGTGTGTTTGCTCTCTGAGGTCTTCCATGTTTACACAGATGAGCATCTCCCTCAGTTTAATAAAGTCACAGTGGTTCTCATTCTCAACTGACACACAGATTGAAAGATAGGAGACATGAAGAATAATTAACCATCAACCTGATATAAAATATCATACATTTTATGTGTTATACGTTTCTTCCAGATGTTTTTAGATCTGTTCTTTCCATCTAATATTAACTCCAGATTACAACTGTAAAAAGGTCAGTCTTAAAAGATTAACTAGTTTCCATTAAATCAACCTGAGCATTTGTATTTACAGTAATGTTGTATGTACGTAAAGCAAAGTTATGTTAGGAAAAATAAAATCAATATTTTATCTTACCTTGAACCACTCCCCAAGGATACTGACGAGCCTTCACCATTTTATTCCCGACGCTAACTTCCTCTGTGCTGCCGACAACTGCAAACGGCAAATGACCCTAAAAAACAATTTAGAAAAGATTTAAACAGTGCAGAAAACAAAGTTATAACACATAATATATATAACACAAACATAATATTACAACTTCAACTTGGCCTGTTTTAAGGAAAAAAAGCCTGGAACCTCTGAGCTACCAGAAGGTCATTACTTTATTTCAAAAATAAAATCAGGGTTAATTTCAAACAGCAAGTAAAGTACTCTCAGCTTATAACATTCCAAACATTTCAAAATAAAAGCCTAACTATTTTCATTTTCAAAAGCAAATTAATGATTTTTTTATTCATGCAATTAAAAATGTGATTAATCTCAATTCACTGTTGAAATTTAGAGATTAATTTTGATTATAACTTGTAATTGTTTGACAGCCCTAGTTTAAAGAGAAAGCCAGTAAAGTGTATAACTATATATTTATGCGTCGTCTCCCTTGGCAAGACTCTCTCACACAAACCTGCACATTTCTGCGTGTAAAAGTTACATTATTATAACTTTGCTGACGGTATAAAAAAAAAGAGGCCTCAAGTCTAAAAATAGCCTACTGCAAACCTATGGGAATATGCTGGATACTGTGGCTCTGTCAGGCTGTGGTAAACAAAACAACTCAAATCTATACAAACAAACCAAATCTTTCATATTAAGCTTTTACTAAAAACTTATCACATGACCCAAATTCTTATTTCACTATAAACGAGTATGCATTTTAATGTATTAATAGTAAAGTGAAGTCATTTTTCGCCTCCAGTTTATGAGCCCAGGTGAGAAGAGAGGAGGGGCCAGCATGACTCAGCAGACTGACTAATGAACAGATTGAGCTCACCACATTAACAGGGTCAGTTTTCTATCACCTGTTCCTTTGAGAGGACTCTACTTTAACATGTTGTAAGTGTCTGTTTGTGATTCCTTACATTCATTGTAGTGTTGACCTTGGCTACAGTTTCATCATCCAGGGGAAACTGGTAGATCTGGACCCCATTGCTGACCAGCTCGCTCATGATTTTGATCTTGAACTTGTGCAGCTCTGACTTGCTGATGGTGTCAGCTTTGGCAATCACCGGTATAATATTCACCTACGGCAAGAAGGAGAGGTTAAATTATTGCACAAAATAAACAATCATCCTATTCTAAACCCATTGAATATAAACACTTTGATGTGCAGACTCGAGAGACATTTAGACTTTTAACCCAAAACCCATGTAGGTCATTTTCAAGTGAGAACATAAATGACTCTTCAGAAGAGAATTACACAAAATACAAAGGGATGAAAAAAGTTTAGAGCATTTGTCTTCATGAAACTCCCTTTTTTTTTAACCCTCAAACTTCTTGGACATTACCCAATATCGAGATTCTTTTCTTCTGAGATTCTGAACAGATTAATAACTTTTCAGTCACTCCCTGCTAAATGCTAAGGCTAGCTCTTTAACTCAGTAAAATACCATATGAAGCAACAAGAAATTCATCCAGTCTCACAGTAGATCTTGAAGTATGTACTTATCAAAAATAGACTTTGAATCCATGGACCATGAATCCAGAATCCTTTTGAATTGAAAATAGATTCTGAATCGAATCGTGACCCCAAGAATCGAAACTGAATTGAAATAGAATCGAAACGTGAGACACCCAAAGATTCCCAGCCCTACTGTATTCTACGGACATCAAGTAAGAAGGCTAATCTCACTGATCAAACACATTAAAAAGAAAACCAGAAAATAGACTCCAGAAAAGTTCAAACACTTCAAAAAGTGTTAAATATTCAGCATCATTTGTTTTCATTATTGAATCTAAAGACTTTTGAATAAGTGATGTAAGTAAAGCAGGTTTACTGATGTTATTTCTGGAACCCACAGCCCACTCTGCTGTCCAAATCTTTCCACATTCCTCTCCTGCCTGTCTGTCTGTCTTTCTGTCTGTGTGTCCGTCCACTTGTCGTACCAAAGACGGGCCAGGAATGATATGTTGTCACTAGACAAGCTTCTGGGCCAGAGCACACACACATACACACTGATCCCACAAGAGAAAACACAACAATGCCAGCAGATCTGTCCCAGCAGCTGTCTGAGTGACTGACTGTCTCCTGTCAGAGCTGCAGATTCTACGGCTCTTTCTGTGTGCGTCTGTACAGTGACACAAAAGGACAACTCGAGTGTGTGTTTGTGAGGTGATTACAGCATTCCAACACGTTTTCTGCTCCATTCACACACAAATCCAGGGTTACTGACACCCCGAGCAGCAAAATCCCACAAACACACAAAAAAACAACACACTATGCACAGGGAGCATGGGAAAGTCTGTGACCACTTCAAGAGTGAGGGGAGGAGTTCAAGCCAGTCGGAAAAGAGAGCCTCTCCCGAGAGTCAGACAGAAAGCTCTTAAGAGGAAAGACGAAACATCCACAGCATCTCTAATACAGTTGGTTCCCACTTTTACATTCTCAGTTTGTAATCACTTCTCTTTCACTTTTTATTATGCTCCCATTGAAATGTATATATGAGAATTATTAATTTACTTATCTTCCCCATGAAATGTAGGTCCCGGAAAAACACAAGCCCAAAGAATTGACAGGACTGTTTTTAATATTCCAAATCAGCAGAAGTCTAATCGCGACCTGAGACATGTTTTATGTCAACGCATCATCATCCCTCCAAATTCAAATATGTTTTATGTAACTCTGCCCAAAGCTCATTAGATTTAGACCAGGTTGACAATTCATTCAAGTCATTGTGTAGCAAGGTTGAGGACTGTCGTTTTGGGGCTTCTTTTTTTTTTTTACTTACTCTGAAGAGTTCTTTAAAATCCGCAGAGCTTAAGAAAACCATCATCAGGATGCATTTTATTTTATAGATGCCACTGTCCCCTAGTTTGTTGCTAGATATTATTATTTTTGTGTCTACTTCTTAGACGACACACGTTTAGCTGTATTGTTGCTGTAACGAAAGGTTGCCATACTTTGTGTATTGTAGAAAAACACATTTCTATGGAAAACTGATACAACAAATACGTTCAACCTCTTAAGGAGCATACACAGTGATCCTCCACTTACTTTGCTGTCTAGTTTCTTCATGGTGACCAGGTCCAGGGATTTGAGTGAATGACCTGAGGGGGAGATGAAATAAAGGCACGCGTGGACTCGCGAGTCATGATAGTTGTGAAGAGAGCGCTTGATTTTCAGCTCCTCCTGCAGGTAACTCTCAAACTGTCTGTCAATATAATCGACCACCGGCTGGTAGCTGAGGGACAGAGACATAAAAGATGATCAAGAAAGATGGGTTTTATGAGTGATAAACACAGACACGAACACATAAGTAGAAAAATGATGAACAATATTTTCACTCAAAATCTTTCAACTATTCTGAGCCCTTTTTTTTTTTATCTAATACACCCACACACACGCTCCTCCTACCTTTCTTGTTTGTTCATCTGATCCCCAAATCCCACAGTGTTGACCACAGTGAGGCGCAGTCTGACATTACTCTCCTGTAGGTCGTAGGTCTGAGCTCGCAGCTTCACCTGAGGCTCAAAGTGGGAGGACTCAAAGTTCTCAAAGTTGGTATTGAACAGAGTGTCCATCAGAGTAGACTTGCCAATACCTGTTTCACCTACAGCCAGAGAAAAAGGATCGACATTAAACTTAGTAGTGTGGGAGAGTGTGAAACTGACCCTTCGATGCTTTGAATGCACTAATCCTGTAACTTTGTTTAAGAGAAGGATGACTCAATCCCAAAATAAAATTCACACTCCAGTTATGTTGGAGAAACCAGCAGACCCTTGGATTAAATCAAAAAACATGTGTGCATGTAGTCCGACGAGTGTGGTTTTATTTATTTTTTGTGTCTTATGTGCATTTGTGTTTGATTAAGTGTGAATGTTTGTTTTATTGTGTATTGAAATAAAATTACCGATGCAGAGAATATTGAAGCAGAAGCCTTGGTAGGTTGATTTATTGACAAGCTGATCTGGTAGGCTGTCAAAGCCCACATGTCCTGCCAGGGACAGAGGCCGAACTCCGTTATCCTGAAAAAGAATCACACAGACGGACGGACGGATCATTCTTTTATATCCTGATGTACTATTTTCAAAATGTTGATGCTTAATGTGTTAACATTTGTGCAGGAATTCATAAAGGAGACATGGAGTACAGTACACATTTTATGAGTTATAGAGCCCAGTCAATGACACATCAGGAAACATTTTTTTTGAATCTACAAACTCCAAACAGCTAAACTCACTTTAAATACTGTCTGTGGATAACCTTCCTTAAACTGTGACTTCAAACTCTGACCTGCCCTCCGTGTGAACTGGTGTTTACAAAGAAGTCACCTGAGAAGAGGGTTAACATTTGCCTAGTCATGGTGTGTTTTGTGTTGACGCGAAGGAAGTGTGTGATGAAAGAAAACTCTGGATGATTGTTCACTTTTTGAAACCTGTTTAATCTAGCCAGATGCCGGTCTGAACCACAGACTGTATGGTATGAACGGACGGTAAACTTAATACAAATCGTAGCTTTGGGCACTTGTCAAACTGCAGATGACTTAACTTTACCTACATAACAAATTCAGCATGACCAACATGCATTTATGATCAAGCACGGGGGCGTTTAATCAACAACACAAACCTTTTTCCCCCCCATTATCTCTACTCCAGGGATGGGCAACTTTGGTCACACCAAGGGCCACATTCATTTAACTCTCACTGCCAGGGGGCCAAATTGTAGTTTCCAAAAACGATTGAAATCAATTCTGTCTCAAATTTAACTCAACATATACCAGTGATCAAATATTATTATGGACCTGTTTCTGGTTTTCATGTTTTCATGGCAGATTTTCTCATGTTTTCTTCATGATTCCAATTAATTAATGTCAAAATTGACCTGAGGGCCACATTGAGGGTTGATGGGGCCGCCAGTTGCCCACCCCTGCTCTCCTGTATTGAATGGTTAGCATACTTTTAGCTGACGCCCTCTTCTGTATGTTATGGTGGTACATGTAACACGACATCCCGTTTGAAAAGTTTAAAATGTGAGTTGAAAAGCTCCATTTAAGGTCGTGAGGATATGACGACATGAAGGGTAGATTAGTTTGAGTTATTTTTGTTCATGACTAACACTTGAGTTAATGTTAAAAATAAATAAATAAAGGTAAAAAGTTAAGTGAGCTAGCGGCAGCTAACTTAATGATAGCCCCGGACACTCCCTGCTCTACTGTCACGAACAAAGTCAATCATAAAGAAGAAGAATACCAACCGGCTGCCGAGCTACATCTGTAGAAGCCATTGTTTTATTTCCAGAATAGATTTTCCCGACTTTTTAACGATTAAAATAAAGGGAACAATTGAACACAGACAGCTTTAACACCGCCTCACTGTGTCGCCGTCGACAACTGGGCAGACTGTACCACTCCAAACCATAAGAATAAGGACGAACCTGTTTTTTTTTTATGTGCTCTCAAAAACAATTAAAGACAAAATGTCCCGATAATTCAAATACTTTTACAGTTTTAAAGATACAAGTACACTACAAGTGAAATTAATAATGGCCAAACAATGTGTATTTACTGTAGACATACACGTCCACCCCCCTTCGTTGTGAAATGGTACAGCGCGACTTAGTTTTCCCACTGTCTTTCATGGCACGTTTCCGGCTCTCAGAAAAATTGTTTTGCCGAACTCAGCTCAACAGCTAAACTCAATCAGCTTCTCTAAACTCTGAGGTTAATACCTGCTTTTAAAAAATATGAATATGAGATAATTCAATATAGTCGTAAATATTTATTTCGGTACATGACCACAAAGCATAGAACATACACGAACAATAATAAAATAAAGAAAAAAAAACAATGAACATTGAACATTTCATTAATAGCTGCAAAAAAACAAAGTAATCTGATTTCACAACACAGAAAACAGTTGTCAGTTAACCAAATCAAAACAATAAAAGGAAAAAAATAAATAAATGAAAAGCTTCCATAAATGATTAATTATAGTCTAATTAGTTATTATAATACGTTGTCATAATGATGTTTTATATTTTTCTATTACCCTGAGTTTGAACAGTTTTTTGAATTTTCTAATTGAGCTGCACATTTTTAATTCGTTGTCTAAGTTGTTCAATAGGTTAACCCCTTTAACAGATAAGCACCTACTTTTAGTGTTAGTTCTTGAACACACATGCTCCCTGATGGAGCCAAATGAGGTGTTTGTTTTGTATGACGTTATTTTCCTTGTGGTTGTGTTTGTTGGCCCTCTACTGGGCACTATGTGTAGCCTGTGCATATACTGTAAAATGGGCGGATGATGTGGTTAAGGCAAGGCTCCAGGTGAGGTGGGACAGGTGATTGAATGGAGGCAAACAGTTTTTTTTTTGTTTTTTTTTACTGTGTCAGCCTGTCGGAGATAAACGCATCCAACGCGGATTTGTTTGTTTTATTTATAGACAGTGGTTCGTCATATTTTCCTTTATTTGATAAGAAGTGTTTAAAAATAAATGGATTGAAATATCCAAATCAAATCATCAATGGACTGTGTTGATTTCTTCGAGCTAAAGCTTCCACATTCATCCCTCCACATTCATAAAGCTTCCACATTCATCCCTCAAGTGACTTTTCTAAACAATATTGGGTTTGTTAAAATTGGCCACTACACTCCCCTTAGTTTAAATTTGAACTTGGAGATTGTTTTACATTAGCTTGAAAGGCACTACAAACTATCTGTTTAGTCTTTTTTTTTTTTAAATAGGCTAGATACATCAAAATATCACAATATATCTCAGATAACTGTTTTCGGATTCATGTGTTTCGCGGCGTGTACTCGATACAATAAACTATCAACAAGCTTAAGTGAGGTATTATAATGTGTGAGCAACACGGGCCCGAACTATGTTTCCAATCTCTTCTCATGTCATCACATCTCAGTCGACAGTTGAAATGAAACAAGACATTGTTGAAGTGTCTCAAAAATCACAGGGCGAATACTTGTTTGAGTTTATTTATTTGAAGTCGGATTCTACGTGGAGCTCCTGAACGCATCATGTTTTTTTTTTTTTTGCAGCGATGGTTCTGTTTTCTTGAGCGCTTGAGCTACGTGCGACCCCTATCTGCCACATCCCGACACTCCCAATGGAGGAGAGGAGGAGGAGGAGGAGGAGGACGATAAGGAAGATGCAATCAGCCGTCGTCCCGGACCTTGATGAATGATAGTAAAACTAACATGGAGTACATTTGAAACGCGATTTAATCATCGGTCTTTGCCGTGCTCTGCTCGGGGCTGTTCGGAGTGATGATGGCGTCGCAGTGCACGGAGCGAGCCGTGCAGGAGTTCCTGATGGAGAGAGGAGGGAGGGTCCGACAGATGGAGCTGATCGATCATTTCCTATCAATTTGCAGGGAGAATGACCCGTCGAAGAAAGGGGTGGACCGGGAGGTAGTGCAACGCATCGTGGACAACGTGGGTTCCGTGCAAGTGGAAAACGGCGTGAAATTTGTGTGCTTGGACACTGAAGGCATCGCGGCATCGGTGATGCGTGGGGACACAGACGGCCACGATCACGCGGAGTGCAACGGGAATAACCAGGAGACACTGGACAACAGCTATGTCAACATCAACACTGACAACGACGGCCCACCAGGTAAGGCTCACCTTTAATGTGTTTTTTTAGCCACAATTTATTAACTGTAAAATTAAATCAAATTGGGGAAACGCATAAGCTTTATTTTAAAATCTAATTTGCATGTAAATTTCTATTAAAATAATTGTGTTCCTATTATTATGATTTTCTTACGTTATTTATTTGTTTCTTTGATTATATTGTCTCCTACTGACCCTCTTCAAAGCCTCAAAATTAAGTCAATATGTGAAAGCCATAACATGATATAGCCTCAAGTTGTCAAAGTGCATTGAGTCATGCCTCCTATTTTGACCTATTTCTGTCCAGAAATCAATTAAAGTCTGGAATGATACAGTATAATAACACAAAGAGGATTACAAGAAGGACGTCTAGCATACCTGAGGGGATTATAGTGGAAAGGTTACTTTGGAATCAGTCAAGGCTCAGATTAAGCAATTGACACTGACTACTCTATAAAAATAAACATACAATGGTTCCACAGGAGTGTCCGTCGCAATGGCAGCCAGCCTGGACAATGACAAGCAGTCCAACGGCAATGACCACCCAGCAGCCCCCTCCCAGAATAGTAAGAGCAATTCATCAACTCCTACCCCGGGTGGAGGAGGGGAAGTGAAACTGAGGGACAGGAGGAGGCGAGAGTCGGCCCCGGTGATTGGGCTTTCAGATGTGGACCAGGCTCACCCTGCGGGGTCCCACAACCAGCAGGTAAGAGGGTCACGCAGGGTGTCCAAAGGGTCCCAGCGAGCCATGCTGATCAGCTGCCTGTCTGAGGACAGCCCCTTTGATGGGCTCGACCATATCGGAGATATCAACACGCCCAAGGGGAGCCGCAGGAACTTCATAGAGCTGATGATGAGCAGTTCTCCTCAGGTGGGACATTTTGTTTGTCTGGAATTTTTAAAAAAAGCTTCAAAAGAGATGATTATTATTTTCATATTATCTTTGTATGGCAGCTTTACAATGATCTCTTTAAGAAAGAGAAGTTGTAATTAGTAACCATCAAAGCATGTGAGAAAGTGAGTTTACAAGACCGTCCTTAACCTGTGAAGATCACTGATGAATGATTCAAACTTTACACCACGTTTTTTTATTTATGCCACTCCTCACTCAGTGATGTCACAGCAGGAGTGTGTGCTTTAATACTTGACTGACACGCAGTCATCCCTTAAGGAAATTAAGCAGGTTCCCCTGCATTGGCCTGTGTGCAGTTTGCAGCTCGCCCAAGAGCGCAGCCTTTGACAGCTGACAAGGTAGCGCACCCAAACCAGACATGAATTATTCATGAAGCATGACTTCACAGTGACAGTATTCTGTTTATATAACTAATAGATTAAACATGGTGATGTAATCCAGATCCCCTTTACCCTCTGACAGATTGACCTATGACCCTCTTTGATGATTGTCAATGGCAGCAGCCAACACAGATGAAGATTTAAAAAAAAAAAGTACTTTCCAATATTTTAAAAATTATTACCAATATTAGTTTGATACTTAATGGTGATAAACATTGGTGGTCAGTATTTTAGTATAAGGCTTAATTATGATAAGATAGCCTTTAATAAATGACAATACAGAATCTAGGTGCTTGTTGTTGTAAATTAACTCTTCTTTTATAATGCTATGAAGGTCCTGTGAGGAACTGTTGTAGCAGGGTGTTGGGGGGGGATTTTTGATATGCGCTGTCTTTATATGATTACAAAGTATTCAGCTTTAAATCTGTACTATTAAATTCAGTAATGAAAATGTGCCCGTCTATGATCTACAATGGTAGGTGCGGAGGTCTCTGATTAACCGTGGCACACGCCTGCGGGACTCAGTGAGGAGTGATGGAGATTCAACTTCAATCCTCTCCTCAAACACCGATGAGGACTGTGCCTCAGTGACCCTGGACCCGCTGGAACACGAGTGGATGCTGTGCGCATCAGACGGCCTTTGGGAAAGCCTGCAGTCGCTTCTCGCTGTAGAGCCCAGCCTGGTGACCAAAAAGGACTTTGTGACGGGTTTCACCTGCCTCCACTGGGCGGCTAAACAGGGCAACGCGGAGCTGCTCTCCCAGCTGCTGGACTTTGCCAAGGACAACTCTATACCTGTGAATGTAAACGTGAGATCGAGTGCTGGATACACACCGCTTCACCTGGCAGCTATGCATGGACACACACAGGTGGGTTGCATAGACAGCGGGGGTGTCATGTGTTAAGACATGCTCAGTGAAACAGCAGATCATTGTACACACTCCATCTGCTCCAGCTAGAATATTTAAAGTCTCTGCTCAGGACAGGGTTAATGATCAAGAAGAAGAGGGAGACAACAATGATATCCACACACAAGTTAACTATGATGATATGACACAAGTTCACACGGGTCAAAAATAGAATAGAATAGATGTTTATTGCCATTTGCACAGGTACAGGACAGGACAGGTACATTGGAATTTTTGTGCTTTTTCTCCCTGAGTCAGTTCTAAAAACAGTTAAAAGTAGATATGAAATAGGATAGCAATATAAAAAAAGAGAAGAAAAAAAAATAATAATAATTTTCAGTAACAACTAAGAAAACTAAATTAAAATAAACTGTACAGAAACTATACACTCTATTGAAGCAAAGATACAATACAAAAAATTACAAAGGGAAACACTGTACAATGAAATGAAAATATAAATATGTTCTCTTGTCCCTCAAATTCTGTACATCTCTTACATCTGTTATTGCACCTGAGATTATTGCACACACATTTTTTCACATTATATAATTGCACTGTTTTTTGTTTTTAAGGTTAATATTGCACACTTGTACTGCACTGTGAGGTGGTCAGATGTCCATTTAGTCTGTGAGGAGTGGGGTGAAGTACTTCCCACCTTAATGTCCTGTGCTACAAGTCTCACAGCAGCAGGGAAAAAGTGTTTTTTTCATGGTCAAGAAAAGTGCTTTATAAGTGCAGTCGATGTATCATTTACAAGTCATAGCCAGAGAGCAGCGCTATGGTCTGTGTAAATGACATGCATCTTGTTTCAGTATCTCAATGTCCCTTTCTGTATGTTTTGATTGACAGGTGGTTCGTGTGCTACTCTCAGACTGGGAGGCGGACCCCGAAGCTCGAGACTACAGCGGGAGGCGAGCCATCCAGTACCTTTCTCCCCCGCTAGCCGCAGATCTGCAGGAGGAGGGAGTGGTCACCTCACCGGGACCTGAGTCAGACACCGAAAACACCAACAGTGGCAGCAGTGGAGGGCGTGGCTGGCGGTTTCCCAGAGTCCTTCAGGGCAATCTGAATCCGCTGCGGCTCCTGAACCCTTCCCCTGAGGCTGCAGAGGACACAGGAGCAACGGAGAAGACTAAAGGAGGGTGGCAGAGGAAGTCATCTCTGGGTCGGCTGAACGCCCGGCTTCATCGCGGTCGCCACAGAGCCCAGATCATCCACAGCGCCTCCTTCAGGGACACGGGGGAGGTGGGAAGAGGAGAGGAGCTCCCCAGCAGCCCTATGCGAACACGACCACTATCCAACCTGTTTGGGTGACACAACTCAGAATCAACAATATTAACATTAACCAGCGTTGATTTACAAAATACAGTTTTCTCACATTTATAACCTGACAGGTCAGGCTTTTTTTTTTTTTTTTAAATCAGAGGTCACATCTTTAACTTATAGAGTCACACTGAGTTTATAATTATATTAATAGAGCATTTTACTTTAAATAAACGTATGTCAAATGTATGTTTGTCTAAAATTCTAACTTATTTTTTGTTCCAGTTGCAGTTTTAAAGTTAATCATATGTAGCATTTTATTTGCACAATAATTGCCTGAGTTTAAAATGAATTACTGCCCTATGATTTGTGTCTTTTCTTTTGTGTTTTGGAACAGGCAGCTTCAACTCTTCCTGAGGTTATTCTTTTAAACACTACAAGAGAACAATGTTTACAAACGGTAAATTGTTTGCAGAGTAAACTAATATATTCATAGAACTAATTCTGTAAATCTCAACCTCCTTTGATGGAGCGGTGCTGATTTTTTTTGAAAAACATGTCTGTACTGTGAATGGATCTTTTTTTATTTGATTTCTATGTAGCTGGTTTTATTATTCAAACTGCCGTTAGCACAGAATTGTCGTAGGTCCAAACCACCATGTCTCTCTGTCATTTTGGCACTCGTCACTTTGGAGATAGTTTTTAAAGATGAGAAGAAAATTGCTCCAACTTAAACTTTGCCGGCTGTTATTGGTCCTATATCATGTGTATATATGGGAATATTGTACACATGATTTTAAAGAAATCGAGGAATTTGTTAAACCCATTTGTATAAAACACTGTGTGTATATATATATATATTGTCAGAATGAGAGGGCTTGAGGTAGATCTCTACCTTTGGCGTTTGTTAATCAAGTTTGGAGACCAAAAAAGATCTAAAGTGTTCAAACAACGGGCTGCCAGTTTTTCTGTCATATACAAATACCTTTATAAGAAATGGTTACACATAAGGACCATTGTTAAGGTGAAAGACAAATGGAGAATTTACAGTTTACACCGTTTTTCTACTGATCATGCTGTACCTCAAATCCTCTGACTCACTGTAACAGGAGTTAAAGTGGTCTGGACCTATTTCTGCAGATTGCAACACTTTTTGTGCAAATCTTCCATTTTGAAAATTCTCTACACAATTTTAATCTGAAAGACTGAAACTAATTAATCTCATAGATTAACAATTTCATGGAGACCTGTCTTGTGTCACACTCAAATGGGTATTTAGGTCAATTTAAATACCTATTTTCAGGCTCGTTCCACTGCCTGAAAAATTGAGCTCTGATTAGTTTACCAGTAAATATGCAATCCACTTTCACTCTGGGCCAGATTTTATACAACAAGTTGCCTTTGTTGCCTCTTGCATTGTTCTGACCCAGCATGTACACAATCAGTAGTTCATGAATCATGTATGTAACATATTGGGATAGTAACCACTCTGGACCAAAACATGCTGTATGTTTACCTGAGAGGCACACTGACTTTGACTGTTTTCCCAAATATGTGAACCTTACTTGTACCTGATTATTGGCTCAGTTACAAATTGTGTATTTCATGAATGTTCCCTTATTATTGTGTAGCTTTTGTACTCAAATCATAGGGGGCGTCATGGATTTATATGGTTGACTCTTTTGATGTACAAATGTTTTGTGCACATTTGATGTCACTTTTTCAGATGCATGACTAGAGGATTGAAAATGCTGTGCACTGATGTTTTTTTTTTTATGTCTGTAAGTCATTGTTTGTGTCTTCTTTGTGAAATACTGTAAAGATATCATGTGGTGTGAATACACTGTTCCTGAGCCACTGTCATCTTCCTCTATGTTAAATAAAGCAATAGTGATTTGCAAAATACAGTAACAGAATGTTATTCAATCTGTTACCATCCAAGCAGCAACTGAGTATACAGAACATGTAGACACACAGATTCAGTAAGAAGGATTCAAACACATGATGGTCAGCATGGACAGTCCTGCTGACTGCTGACACTCCGTGATTGTCCCGGTCTGTTGATGCTGAATAATTGATGATCTGACGACCCCCCCCCCTCCCCCTTGTGCCAGCTTTGGTCCAGCTTCTAGAGTTTGCCCACAGCTTCCTATCGGCGAGCTGTCTATGTGTCACTGCACCAAATATATTCATAGACAGTCCTCATTCTGCACCTGTTCCGTGTATATTTTTGGTTTGTGTGTGTGTGTGTGTGTGTGTGTGTGTGTGTGTGTGTGTGTGTGTGTGTGTGTGTGTGTGTGTGTGTGTGTGTGTGTGTGTGTGCGTGTGTGTATTATTCCTACAGTAAGACCAAAAGCCTGCTCAAAATGAATAAGCGATCTAGACTAATCTTTGACCTTGTGAAATTACAACTATTTAAAAATTGCTGATCTTTGATCTTCTAACATTAAATAATATTTATATTGTTAAGATTCTGTTAGGCACTTGAGTGTCTTTTTCAAATCATTTCACTGTAGACAGGAGGTAAAAACGGACTGGATTAGTAAAAATGTTATTTATAAACCAGCATCTGTCATCATCATAAAAGGGATATGTGAAATGTATTCAAAATACTGAATGGATGGTTGCTGAGCAGAAAGCCACAGCTCTGACAATTGTCTCGACTGATGTTCTTCCAGCTCACTGTTCAGGTCTGTTGTTCTCTTCCTGTTCACCAGAACAAATCAACCACATAAAAGGAGGATTACATGTATACGCTCATTACAATCACAAATGTGTTGCTTGTGTTTATATGTAAATCCTCTTGAATCAGAGTGTGCTCTTGCTCTTTGGTGTTTCGCTGATCTCTGGTTTTGCCTCCCAAGTCAAACAAAATTTAGAGAGGTCAGCGAAGGGATGAATAGTTTCCTGGGCCCGTAGATCCCAGAGTCTAGTTGCCTGAGGCAGCCTGTTTGTTGAATTGCTGCTGATGGGGAGGCAGTAGAGAGGCTGTCTGACTGCAGTTACTGACCTACATACAAAGTGAAGGGACTAATGCCTATTATGTAAATTCCTCTGCAATCTTTTCAGAGAAACTGTGCCAACTTTTTTTGCCTGGGGCTTTCGCTGTTGGACTAATCCATGTCCAATGCATCCCCATCTCTCCGCTAACAATTATCATAGCAATGATGGCATTCGTTTAAAGCCTGACTTGGACCCAACAGTGCCAAAAAGCTACCAAGCTAGAAGCTAAAATTCACTATCTCAGATAGCCACCAAGCTGGTAACAAGCTGGGTGTCCCTTTACATGCTGAACAGTTCCTCAAAGAGCACACAAAAAAAAAGTCTACCCTTTAAACTTCCATGTTCAACGCTCTTTCACTGCACTATAACTTCACTTATTTGCACTATATCTCAAATTTATATTTGTTTAATTAATCAGTCATTGCAAAATAATAACTGTATATATTCTTTCAGTCACCACAACTGTCTATTTATTTATTATTATTATCACTCATTCACTGAACAGCAATTGCTCTGGCCACTTTTTGCATACTTCTCTCTCACATCACCACAAATATATTTTTGTTGTCGTTGTTTTTGTAAACGCTGCTGTTTAAGATTGCTGCTAACCAAGTTTTGTTGTGTCCTTGTATACAATGATAATAAAGACTCTATCTATCTATCTATCTATCTTTACATTGATGCAATGCTGAACAAATAAAGATTTATTGGGGCTACTTAAATGTTTTCATAATAATAATCATCAGAATCATAAGAAGAACAAAACTAAGAATAAGACAGGTGGTAAAAATAAGACACAACAGACAGTCACAATAATTTTTTTTTTTTTTAATGTTTTTTTTTTTATTAGGTGATGCAGAACAATACAAGACGAGTGAGGGACATGACAAGAGCAATAGTATGTAGGAGACAGGAGACACAACGATACAATGCACAGCATAGACAGAGACAAAACAGGCAAGCAGGGAGTAATAATAACGTTTAGCAATTTTGTATGTTGTGTGTGTGTGTATGTGTGTGTAATTCAAGTGTATGCTTTTATTTATTTTTTCCTTCCATTTTTATTCCTATTTATTTTTCTTTCATTCCATTTTTATTTTATTTAAAAAAAATAATTTATATATTTTTTTTAAAAGTCACTATAATTTCAATGTTGAGGGACATGTTTTGCCAGGCTCCTCTTGTCCCATCTTGCCTCTCCACATTTCCACTGATGTCCACACGGTGTCGCTGTGAGTAAATACTGTCCCCATGCTGCTGCTGCTCGTTGTTTCATTCTGAGGTCAAAGTTGACGACAAGCGGAAGTGGCTTTTGGTGGATGTATTATTTTTCTTTGCCTCCTGTGTTTTGGCTCCCAACAATCGATACAGTAAATCAGTCGTATTCTGTATTTTGCGAAGAGGCGGACTAATGTTAGGTAGGTGGTGATACATTTTGCAGTGACATCTGATGTTATCGCTTTAAAAGCTTTCCTGCTGCTGTCAGAGCGATAAAGATAAAGAGCCTTGAAGCTAACGATTAGCCTGCAAACACACAGAAAAGGTTGGTTGTAGTTGTTGACTGGAGCAATTTACTCCTCTTGATGTTTTGTCCGACATACAATTCGATGAACTTTTAAAGATTGCTCCCTTCATTTCTTTTGAAGCCGGATGGTGCTGCGGGACAAAAGGATAACTATCAGCCCAGCAAACAGAGCATTTGGAGAGAGTTGAAAGTGTTGTTTGAAGAGGGGCTTCTCGTCTTCAGGATCTGTACTGTGTGTACATTATCTCCAGCTTTCTTCAAATGTCTGCAACAATGACCACAATAGTCCACGACACTGCAGAGGCAGTGTGCCTCTCCGCAGAGTACAACCTGTACCTCAAACCTATCGCCAAGATGACCATCAGTGTGGCCCTGCCGCAGCTCAAGCTGCCCGGGAAGAGCATCTCGAACTGGGAGGTCATGGAGAGAGTGAAGGCCATGGTGGCTCCGGACCAGTTTTCATTCCTGCGGATCTCAAAGAGCACCATGGACTTCATCCGCTTTGAGGGGGAGGTGGAGAACAAGACTGTGGTGAAGAGCCTGCTGAGCCGGCTTGATGGGAAGACCATCAAACTGAGTGGGTTTACTGATGTACTGAAGGTAAGAGGCATGAAGGGACAAATGAATCTGTTTGTTGTTGATTACAGGGTCTGTTTTTGTTAAGGTTGGAGGCTGTAATAATAATAATAATAATAATAAGATAAGATAAGATAAGATATACTTTATTCATCCCAGCAGGGAAATGTAGGTGTTCCAGCAGCCAGCATACATACACACACACAACACAACACATATATACACACACACACACAACACACACAACACATATATACAAACACACACACAACACAACACATATATACACACAACACAACACATATATACAAACACACAACACAACACATACAAACACACAACACAACACATACAAACACACAACACATACATACAAACACACAACACAACACATACAAACACACAACACATACATACAAACACACAACACAACACATACAAACACACAACACATACATACAAACACACAACACAACACATACAAACACACAACACATACATACAAACACACAACACAACACATACAAACACACAACACAACACATACAAACACACAACACAACACATATATACAAACACACAACACAACACATACAAACACACAACACAACACATACAAACACACAACACAACACATATATACAAACACACAACACAACACATACAAACACACAACACAACACATATATACAAACACACAACACAACACATACAAACACACAACACATACATACAAACACACAACACAACACATACAAACACACAACACATACATACAAACACACAACACAACACATACAAACACACAACACAACACATACAAACACACAACACAACACATACAAACACACAACACAACACATACAAACACACAACACAACACATACAAACACACAACACAACACATACAAACACACAACACAACACATATATACAAACACACAACACATACATACAAACACACAACACAACACATATATACAAACACACAACACATACATACAAACACACAACACAACACATACAAACACACAACACAACACATACAAACACACAACACAACACATACAAACACACAACACAACACATATATACAAACACACAACACAACACATACAAACACACAACACAACACATACAAACACACAACACATACAAACACACAACACAACACATACAAACACACAACACATACAAACACACAACACATACATACAAACACACAACACATACATACAAACACACAACACAACACATACAAACACACAACACATACATACAAACACACAACACAACACATACAAACACACAACACATACATACAAACACACAACACATACATACAAACACACAACACATACAAACACACAACACATACATACAAACACACAACACATACATACAAACACACAACACAACACATACAAACACACAACACATACAAACACACAACACATACATACAAACACACAACACATACATACAAACACACAACACAACACATATATACAAACACACACACACAACACATATATACAAACACACACACACAACACATATATACACACATATCTCACCCATACAAAAAAACATGAGCCCGCAATACAGTTTGATATATGATATCTGCAACTCAGGCTAAAGTTTAAAAGTTTAAATGTCTTCTGTCCTTACTTAAAGGGGAGTCGTTATAAAGTGCAGTTGCAGTAGGTAAAAAAAAGTATTTTAAAATGTTATTTATTTTTTAAAATATAATAATAATAAAGTTTATGTATAAAGCATTTATTAAAACCAACGTCACAAAGTGCTTTACAGAAAAGAAAAAATCCCAACAAATACGCAACAATAAAATCCTATTAAAAAAGCATGAAAACTAAAACAACAGTGCAGCAGTCATTCAGTTAACAGAGAAAAGAGAAACAACCGAGACACAGATCGGCTAAAGTTAACAGTAAAACAAAATAAAACATCCTGGATGAAACAAGGATTATAAGAAGGCCTTACGATAAAAATGTGTTTTCAAAAGAAGATACTGATGTAGCTGTAGTGTGTAGAGCGGTTACAGTTTGTGCAATATTTTGAACAGTTCTCAGTATAATAACCATTCATTTGTATCAGAGTATGTCTAAAACAGTTTAAATAAATACATCATGTGACATGTAGGGCTTCTGTATTAGATTTCATGTGACTGTCCTTTAATAAACTACAAACTTTTTGTCTAACAACCCTTCTCATCATCACATATGAACCTTTTTCTACACTCAGGCACTTTAACTTATGTCAATACTGTCCATTTACAAACTCTGTTTTTGCAAATTTACATTTAATCTTTCATATTTAATCTTTGTATTTAAGATTAGTAATGCTAAATTAAATCCTGGTTGTATATATTCCCATTCTTAGTTTTGATATTTTTAGTGCTTATTTACTTTGTTTAAATTTGCTAACATTGTGTTTTTTACTCATATTGTGTGTTTGGATAACCTGCTGCTGTAACGCCACAATTTCCCAGTTTGGGATCAATAAAGTAATTCTATTCTATTCTATTCTTCAGGTTCGTGCAGTAGAGAATAAGGTGGACTTTCCTACACGACATGACTGGGACTCCTTCTTCCGTGACGCCAAGGACATGAACGAGACTCTGCCAGGAGAGAGGCCTGACACCATCCACCTGGAGGGACTTCCTTGCCGCTGGTTCACTGAGAAGGACAGCCAGTTCCCCGACCGGCCGTCTGAAGAGGTCCTCACTGCTGTGTTCCAGACATTTGGCAAGGTGGTACATGACTCTGTTTGTGCTTTTGAACATTTAATGGGAAATATACTGAAAACCAATTTAACATAATGACATTTGTTAGTTTGAAATGACAGAATGTAACACAGGTCTGAACTACACTACTGTTTGTTTTCTGTAAAAACAACAAACCATCCAAAAAGTAGAACTGATGACCTATTCTTCTTTTGTATTTCTTAACAAGAATACACATAGACAAGGCTGTATGAGTAACAGTCACTCTTAAGTTACATAACTCTACAAATCTAGTCATTACTTTTTATATAAGCAACATTTTCTGTTACTAAATGAAGTTGAAAAGTGTCTGTAACAGTGTTATAGTCCCCCGCATAACTTGTCAGTAGATAAAATATGCATTGATATTTGTGAAGGTTTATTTACTTTGTTTGAGATCCTGTATTTGTAATTATATGGACTAAGTATGGGTTAATCAGTTATCAAATTGTTCTTAACCCAGTTACATCTTACACAAACAGTCTGGCTAGATTAATCAAGATATCTAAAAAAGATAATGTAAATCAAATCGACAACATCAATACTAAACTGAGTATAAAAAAATACTCTCCTTTTTTAGTCTTATAATATGTCGTTTTCTTCTTACAGGTGCGTAATGTCGACATCCCCATGCTGGACCCGTACAGGGAGGAGATGCTGGACAAGAACTTCAGCACATTCAGTTTTGGGGGTCATCTGAACTTTGAGGCTTACGTGCAGTACCAGGAGTACTGTGGATTCACCAAGGCCATGGACACTCTGCGCAGCATGAAGCTGATGCTGAAAGGAGACGACGGAAAGGCGGTGGCCTGTAACATCAAGGTACTGCTGGCTTTGTTAAGTCCAGTAATGCACTCTCAGTATTATATTTCTTCACTCCATATGATCCATGTCAGATAACAGCCATATCTGCAGCTATGTTACTGGGGGGAAAAAAACAAAACAAAAATATGAAGTCAAAACATTTGAACACAGCTTCTAATTTCTTGCAAAGCAATAAGGTCATGCAAGAGGGTTCTTCGACCAATCAAACACCTTAAATCTGATAGGCCTCAAACTCATAATATCCTTCCTTCAAACTTTATTAACTATGTACATTTTTATCACTAATAACTACAGCCTTTGCAGTTGTTTTAACACATTGCTATTTTTGGTTTGATTGACCACTAAGGACACAGCAGACATCTGCATCTGTTTAATTAGCCACCGGTGAACTGCAGCTGATGAAGTGATACTGCAGGCTGGCAATTTCAGTGAGTAGGATTGTGTTGTCGGGGAGTCGCATAGCAACTTTAAGACCTTTAAGTGGAACCAGAATTAAAGCCGTGTCATCGTTATTTCCAAAGTAATGACGGTAAGGGGGAGTGCCTGGTCTCTTAATCCTTAGACTAAAGCTTCCCTGTCAAATCTAAATAAGGGTTAAAGAAACAAAGAGTTTCTACATAAAATGATCGGGGATCCTGGGAAACATTGTCAGTGGGTTGAGTTTTGATATTTCATAAATAGATTGAAATACATCTTATAATCTCTGCAGCTGTTATGTGAATTTGAAAAGTTAAATCTTGCTTGCATATGAAATGATCCTACCCGATAATCAGCATTATACTGAGTGAGTTTAAAGTTAGTGTAGTTATTTATATCATGTGGACTACCGAACAGTGGCAGTTCTAGACCACTTTTACTGAGGGGGGCCAAAGTGGGACCAGTTGTTTTGTTGCACTGGCCCCTGTTAGCCCCCTCCTAGAACTGCCCATGCTCCAGTATTAAGCCGTTTTCACACTAGGCAGGATTACGTATGTACACAGTCCGATGCAGCAGGTGGCAGTATGTGCATAGTTGGTCTGCCAAAAAGCAGAAAGAAGAAGATGCAACCACTCACCGACTGAGTCCGTCCTGCTAACTGTGGATGTTTTTGTTATTTCTGAGACGCCAACAACGACCTTCTTTCTACTTCCACATCTACCGTGCAGCCCAGAGGATGAAACCGTTTTTGAAGTGACAGGAGTCGTTTATAACTATGTCACAGAGTGGGTCACTTCCTTGTTTGTTCACATCTCCTGGGTACCGATACTTGAGTCCATGCCCGGACTCCAAGCGAACTCGGGCACAGTACGAATACAGTACGTTTGTGTTCACACTCATCAAATTGACTGGACTTTGGGGTCAAGCGTACTCAGATCCAGGCTTGGGTCCCTGGTGTGAAACCACCCTCATTCCATCCATCTCTTACAGGAGAGATGGCCTTGTTATCCCAGAATAGCCTCAATCTTTTAAGCGTCCATTTGTACGTAACAACAGAGAGCTGGATCTGATCAATCAAATTATTATATTTCTCCACTTTGACAAAATGTTGAATTTAGTTGAACTGGTCATGCTAAAAATAACAAAACTATGGCGCACAAGAAAAAAGTACAACAGATCCACTTAACCACAAGAAAACATGGAAACACTGCATTAGAGCACCTTGTCATCATGTGTATTTGTTTTCTTCAGGTTGCGTTTGACACCAACAAGCACCTGAGTGAGCTGGCTCTGAAGAAGAGGAGCATGGAGAGGCTGAAGTTACAGGAGCTGGAGAGGCAGAGAGAGGAACAGAAACGACGGGAGAAGGAAGAGGAGGAGCGGCGTAAGGAGGAGGAGAGGTATGACGGCAGCATCAACCCGAAGTCGGAGAGCCACTTTATGATCATTTAGATGAGGATAATACTTTAATGTCAGACACAGTTTGAAATGCTTTTCCTTTTAAGCGGCTACATTTGGAATATAAATAATGAAGATAAGTTTCTGAGATTACATACGTTTGACAAAACATCCTGTGACATAAAACAGGATTCAAGGCTCTTAGGCGTACGTTTGACTTTGAATGAACTACTACTATATTTATTTAATATGATATATAAATGAGGATGATATAAGATCAGAAGAACTTCAAAGAAACATTCACATCAGTGTTCAGTTGGATTAGAAAATACTGTGACGCTCCTCTTTTGTTGGATTGCTGTGTTGACAGGAAGGCCCCTTTTTTCTATGTCCATGATTTTCACCAAACTTTACTTGAATAAATATCAACATTTAATGTTTCAGAGATCCTTTTACTGAACTCTTTGCAAGCTAAAAAAAATCTGTTTTAGGCTTTGCAAATTCACAATGAGTGTTAAGAAACAATGAACCTTTGCTTCAGGAAACATAAGGAGCAGGAGGAGGAGGAGAAGGAGCGGAAGAAGGAAGAGAAGATCCGAAAGCGAGAGCTGAAGCTGCGTGAGCGAGAGGAGAGGAAGAACCTGAAGAGAGTGAGGAGGCAGCAGGAAGAGGAGCAGAAGAAGCTGCAGATGAAGATCGCCATGGAGGAGAGGAGGCTGCTGTTGGCGCAGCGCAACCTGGAATCCATCCGGCTCATCGCTGAGCTGCTGGCCAGGGCCAAGGTATGGAGTGTGCACACATACGAAACACATCCAGTTTTTTATGTTTGAACCTTTACTGGGCTTATGATGAATTTCTCCTAACTTCGCATTGTTTCCTCTGCCTCCCCAGACTCTGAAGCAGCAGCAGGAGGAGAAGGAGAGGGCTGAAAGAGAAGAGCAGGAACGGCAGGAGCGGGCTCGACAGAAGGAGGAACTCGCCCTCCTTCAGCAGCTGGAGGCCTGCCGACGCAAGCAGGAGGAGGAGCTCCGGAGGGTGGAGGTGGAGAAGGATCGCGCACTGGAGCTCCAGCGCAGGGAGAAGGAGCTAAGGGACCGGCTGCTTTGCAACCTGTTGAAGAAGAGCAGTAACAAAACGACAAGAGCTCCTCCAGGCACACAGGAGCAGGATGGGCCCGAAACAAGTGAGGAGTCCTCTGAACCTGTAGGAAATGAGGTGATGTTGGGCGTCCTGGGACTGGTTAATGGATTGAAGTCAGTTGAGAGTAAAAATAAGCCGGCATCCAAATCTAGTGGCAACTTGGGGACAAAGAGAACAACAGAGGGGAGGAGAGGAGGGGAGGACAGGAAGAAGGTCCGGGAGGGAAGGAGGGAAGAGGTGGCGAGGAGCAGACACAGCAGGGAGCGAGCGAGGGACCGAGACCACTACCACAGAGAGAGGAACTCCCATAGCCGGGGAAGGAGGAGGCGCTCTCACAGCTACAGCAGGAGAAGAAGAAGCTCCAGCCGCCGTAGGAGGAGTTCAAGTCATCACAGGAGGAGCTCCAGTTACCAGAGTGGCAGGAGACGCAGCCCAAGCCACCAGTGTAGGAGCGCCAGCTCCAGCCGGGACAGGAGCAGGAGCAGCAGTGGGAGGAGCTACAGCGGGGGGAGGAGCCGCAGGCATAGTCATCGCAGGCACAGCAGAGGCAGCTCCAGGAGCAGCAATAAAAGCAGAGAGAGGAGGAGTCACAGTCATTACAGCCGGAGGTACAGGAGGCACAGCAACAGCAGAGACAGGAGCCACTCGAGACGACGTTGATCTCATCAATATCATCCGTTTAGTTTGGCTTAAACTTAACGTTCAATGACTTTGAGCAGATAGATAGATATTTTTGGATTCATTAATGAAGTAATGCGATGTGGCAGCGTACCAAACGGCCTTTTTGCAGAACAGGGGCAGCTTAGCAAACATCATTAATCTTAGGTGTAAATAGATTTAGGTATAAATAGTCAAATCTATTTCACAAAGTCGACTAAAAAAAACACATTTAAGTGTTTCCAAGGCACGCACGTTTCTGCAGTTGATTGTAGAGAGTTGTTTTCCAACTTTAAGTTTGTATTTTTTAACATTTCATGGTACTGGATTGATGCAAGAACAACCTTTTTTTTTCAACATATATTGAACAATTTCAAGTTTAAAAATCCTGTTATATTTTAGTTCTCAGGAGATTATTACATCCCATATCTAAAAGACATGACAGAAATACTCTAAAACTATTCTCTGAATGTAAGAACACCTTGGCGTAAACTTAAAAGGGAAGTGAAATGACAAGCAAAATGTTTCATGTACTGCTTAATCATTAATATTCATTATTTTGGAAGATGACCCCCCCCTTGCTGTATTTGTAGATAGAGATGCCGGTCTAACCGTACTCTGAACCTGAAAGACGACTGTTTTGTGAAAACAAGTTGTCTTTGTGCATGATGATGACACTGAGGTATGATACGCTTCCTGGGGAACACTTTGTCTTTGTTGTTTTGATGTGTCACCACCCTGTTCATCCACACTGGTAGCCTTAGAGAGAGAAAATAAATCAGCATCTCCTGCTGACTTGTTGTCAGCGTGGACTTTCAAACACACTGCAGGCCTTCAGGCTGCCATAGTTGTGGAAGACTTTTAAAGAGGACTGTTCGACTTGAATGAATGGCTGCTGTTCCATTTTTAAATGTGAATTTAAGTGAGAAACATTTCTTTGTGTTTTTGCTGACCAGCAGACGGCAGATTTAATTTGACTTTTTGGTTTTTAACTGTTGTACATTTTGTTGTGACATAACTGATGTCTACATCATCCCTGAAACAAGCTGCCCCAATTTTTTATGATCCTGCATCGTTCCATCTTTCAAAGACTGAGCTTGTTGTTGTTTTTTTTTTAAGTAAATGTTTTTTTGTTTTTAAATATGAAATGATTTGAATGAGCGAGCTTGATACTTGATGGTAAAAGTCTAAATAATGATAGCGTGTAGACATATTCTACTTGACTCAGCAAGCGGTTCTTTGTGCACCTTGTGGAAAGTCTGTCAAGTGAAAAAAGTTCTGTTGGCATGGAGACATGAATGACTAGTCATGGCAAAGCTCATTTGTTCTGTGTACTGTATGCTCATGATCTACAAGAGCATGTTTTCCATTCAGGGTCAAAATAAAACAATCCAGGCTTAAACATTTCAGAAGATATGTTTCCTTTTTTTTTGTTAGAGATGGACTTGTTTCATCTACTCACTATAATATCAAGTGTTACAACCCAGGCTCAGTGAGCTGGACAAACTGAGAGACAACAAAGTTTTAAAGTTATTTAAGTGAACATTTATTGAAAACTAAGGCAAAATATCTTCATAAAAGAATATGCAGTCTGTAAATCAGTGGTGATGCAATGGTGACTGTGTGTGGTGTTGTGGAGTTAAAACAAAGACCACAAACCAAAGTTAGTGTTGACGAGAGAGAGAGACTCTGAGAAGTGATCTTAAATACCCAAGCCCAGCCTGTCCAGGTGCACAACATCAAACTAAGTTATATTTTATAGAGATATGCGGCTGCTCAGGTGGTCCTAGTTTCTGAGTTGGGAGGTCGTTCTTCCGACTTCAGTGTGTTCACATGCTTTCAGTTTGGAAAGTCATAATGTAGCAAAAAAAACGCGTTGCTGCTCTGAAGAAGCTCTGTTGAATGTACCTGTTAGGAGTTATATTTGAGCGAAAAGTTGATGTGCAATATGTGAATTAATAAAAAGTAAATGTAAATGTTTTACCCCCCATGTGATGACGATTCTGACGTCAAGTCGGCAAGTCACACACCTAATACTTTTCCGGGTGTCCGAATTGTTGTTCCGACTTGAGCAGGTGTCCATGTGCATTCTACAACCCGGAGACTCGTTTATAAGGCAACAGGAGGAGCACTGACACAGTCAGGGGTCGTCACAAGAGATCAGGAGTGTCATGAGAACAGTCTTTTCCTCCACTGTAATCAATTCAAATATTGTGTCAAAAGCAACTTTTGTGAGTCAGTATTTTAAAAGCTGTCCTTGGAAACATCTGCATGATTTAATGATGATAAAGGCATCAGTATCTGAAGACTGATGTCCACATTAAGCTCTATAAAAAGCACCTTTTATTGAAGGATCAAGGTGACAACTTTTCCAGCCCAGCTGTCACACAGTACGCCGTCAGTACGCAGCTGCTTTAATGACTGTGTGGGTGAATAATTAATAATAAAAGTGACCTGTGTAATCACATGTAGGCTTGTGACGTGACAGTCTGTGTCATTAGGTCTGGTGCTACTATTAGTCTCACAGCATGAGGTCAACAGGCCATATGGACATGTGAAGGGGAGGACATCTTTCATAGGACACAGTTTGGTATTCCTAAAGTGTCAATCACATCTCGGGGTCGTAAAAAACTGTAGTGAAACAGGATTGTTATGAGAATGCAGTGAGTGAATGTCTCCATCCAAGTGTGAGCAATGAACAAGGCCGCAGTGTATTGCCACAAAGTTGTTTCTTTGTCCAATTCAGACTGAGCCCTCATGCTCTAATCTGGGTTATCTGGCTGTAATCAGCTTAGCCCACTGCCACTCTCACAGTCTCACTGCTGCTGCTGGGTGGGCACTTTCTGTCGCTTTAGTCTGCTTCTGTCTCTTTATTGACACACACACCTGTAGAAGTGTCTCCTGAGCTGAGCGTTGTAGCAGGAGAGGTCACTTTGCATGTAGAGGAGTCTTAACCAGAAGTCCTGTGGCCATGGCTGAAAGTCTAGAAAAGGGTCGATCTGAGGGGACCCCTGCTGCAGACGCATATCCCAGAAAGATCCTGGAGTACATGGAAGGATTCCTCATCTCAAAGGTAACCAACACATAAAGTACATTCACTCTCCTCTTTGGGAATCAAATACAGGGGTGCAGACCACCTTTAGTCTGTTAAAAAAAATATAGATTGAACAATATTTTCCCCACCTCAGCTTGAGTGTTAACTGAGGTAATCGCATTCCTTTTACGTGATTACGTAATAGCATCAGACTCTGTAAAACCACTAGAATAGAGTGAGAGCTAAAACTATTACTTGATTAACTATTAAGCCAACTAATCTAAATCTGCCGTGTTTTCAAAAGAAGATTCATTGTCAACTTTTGTCAACAATTCTGTAAAAAAAAAAAAATCATCTCTCTCTTTCCCAAACCTGAGAATTGGCTACTTAATTAAGCTCCATGTGCTTGAGCTTTAACTTGTAGAGTGCAGGTTTTATAAAGTCTGCTCTTATTTATTTTTCAGCACATCAGCAAGGATGTTATTTTATACATACAAGCGTCACCACAGGATGAAAAAGAACTGAAGAAATAAAACCAAAGAGCAGGTCCATGAAAGAACAATTTGTGTGAAAACAAACAGTTCAAAGAAGGAATCTAGGCTAAATTCTAAACCTAAGATTTACAGGGTGCAAAAATATTAGGCTATATGTGAAAATGGCTCAGATAGTAATACGAATTTTTAAATCACAAGTCTTTTTCATCCATGTAAATCTCTACTCATACTTGGCAGAGCATGTTGACAAGCATGCAACAAATAATCGACAACATACAAATGGAAACTTCTGGTCATGTTTTAATATGTCTAGAGATATCATTCAGATGTAATTTGATAGAGGCCTGTAATTGATTTATAAGAATATTTTTATTTTATTTTATTTTCTCTGATGTATTTGCCTTTTTTTTCCATTCCCTCCCTCTCTCTCTCTCTCCCTCTCTCTCTCCCTCTCTCTCTCTCTCTGACTCATAGACTGTTTTCACCTCATGTGAGCTCGGTCTGTTTGATGTCTTGCTGGGTGCAGAGCGCCCCCTGTCTGCAGAAGAGATCAGTCATGCAGTTGGAGCCAGTCAGGACGGCACACAGAGACTGCTGGCTGCCTGCACCGGCCTGCAGCTCCTTAACGCACACACTGACGATGGTCAAGGTTGGCACACACAGAGACACACATACATTTTTTTTTAAAAAAGAACACAATAACTCTTAAACATTTTAGCTACCAGTAATATTAATTGTGATTTATTTTACAAGTGTTATGTTCTTTCAATTTAGGCTTGAAAGAACATGCATCTCAGCAAAAACAGTAGAAATCAACACTGAAAAATAATGAATAATACAAATAACAGGGAGAACTGAAAGAGTAACTTTATCACAATGTTTTTTTTTTAACTTCATCCTTTGCGTTATTGTATCTTAAATAAAACGGTGAAACTTTTCTTAGCACCTGCAGTGATTCATTCTCAGTCATCTCCTCCTCCTCCTCCTCCTCTCCACCTTTTTCAGTCTTGTACAGTAACACAGAACAGGCCAGTGTCTACCTGACCCGCTCCAGTCCTTTATCTCTCTACCAGTCCATCCAGTACAGCTCCAGAACCATCTACCTCTGCTGGCACTACCTGACCGACGCCATCAGGTCAGAACTCTGAGCTTATGTTACATTCATGTAGAAAGACACTATTCCTGCAAGATGTAACAACAGACAGTTTGTCAAGATCAAAATCAATTCAAAATCAAAACATTCTTGATTGAAGTTTGAGGCCAGGTTTAATTATAATGGTCTTGAACAGTGCTCTGCGCTGACTCATGATCTCACCTTCAGAGGTAGTGGGAGGCTCTCCCTGTGTCGTCTCTCGTTGTCTGTGTGTTCATAAACCAAAATCAAAGAACTTTTTCTGTATTTGTTTTCATTACTAGTCTCTCAGTAAATAACTTGGGGTGCTGGGTAGTTTTGTTGCTAAACCCCAGCCTTTTGTGTGAACTGTTAAGGCCTCCCCGGCGAGCCTTTGCTTTTGTTAAGTGTTTTCTGGGTCTCAGGACTATTTCGTTTTTGAGTCAGCTATTTTGTTTAGAAGATTGTTTTGGCTCTACACTATTTATCCCCCCCCCAATCTATCGCTTGCGATTTTTGTGGTTATCCTCCAGGATAACTTCAAGACACCCCTGGGTCCGCACCAGTGTGTCCCATATCCCCCTTTCCTGACATGGTCTATGTCAGAGTCCGACTTTTAAAGAAAACATTTGTATAGTCCTGCTGTAGAAAAAGCAGAAATTGAATTTTATCAATTTAACGAGCGTGCTAAGAAGAGTAAAGAGTACACAGGTGCGTGGTTCCATTTACGACCTGAGGATCTGGCTTCAGCTCGTCCTTGTCTGTTTGAACAGTGTCTCAAGATGGATTTCAGTCTCATTGTTATGTCTGAGGGAGGACAGCCAGCAGCTGTCACACTGTGTGACGGGATTCACTGAGACTGACAAGTAAATTCCATCTGTGAGCAACTGAGATAGAAAGATTAAATAACTAGTTGTTTTCTGAGAGAGTGTGCAATACAAACAAAGCAAATCTACCTAAAATAGATCATAAATGGAGCGTTCAGAGAGCGAACTCTTCTTTATTTCATCATTTTCAACTGTGATAACGAGATGAAGCTAGATTTTAAGTGTTGAAATAATAAATCCCGAGATCCAACATTTTGTGCTCTGATTTAGCAAATGTAACAAGTAAAAGAATACACATTACATGTGTAGTCCCATATAATGTCATACGTCAATATGCTCTATCTTTGCCTTGTTCTAGAGAGGGAAGAAATCAGTATGAAAAGGCTTTTGGAGTCAGTTCGAAAGACCTCTTTCAAGCTCTCTACAGGTAAGAAGCTGTCTTTGTTGTACGAGTGCGCACACACACACACACACACACACACACACACACACACACACACACACACACACACACACACACACACACACACACACATATCCTTGCTCATCTACATTCTGTCTCTGTCTCTTCGTCTGAAGCCTGTCTGTCACTTTCTCCCATCTTCCCCCTTAAAAACACAGACTTGTGGGATTTATTAGGAGGCAGGGGATGTCTGAGGGTGAGAAGAGGGAGAGGGTATATGGGCAGTGATGTGAGGAAGCTTGGAGCGAGAGTGAAAGAGGAAAAAAAAAAAAAAAAGAGAGAGAGAATCCATCTGCCGCTGTCCTTGAGGTCTTGTGTGTTTATGATAGCTAGTGCACACAGTTTTAACGCTTCACTGAGCTGCTGGTCAGCACTTTTCAGGGGTCACACGCTAAAAAGTTTCACACTTTGCTGCTAATTGGACGTGATCGGCTTTGCCCGAGGCTTTCTACTCTAGGAGGCTGCCAGTCTCAAAGGAACAGAAACCATCAAAGCTGACACACGGAGGGAATTACGTGCTAAAACATCCTCTCTGCTTGTCCTTATCTGGGCATGATTTGTTCAACCGCAGTGCTGTGATGGTGCGGTGTCTGATGTGCAGATAACAGATGTGAAACTGCACTTTTCTAATATGGAACTATAATACAAATGTACCAAGGCTTAAAGGCAGATGTTTAAATAAGTAAATTATCAGTCTTACTACCTTAAACACATAACACAGCAGTGGAAGGAAGCAGAAAAATCTGGATTGAGAAGTTAATTTAAATATAAACTAACATGCATTTTGTTTTATTTTAAGATTTAATTTTCCTACAATTTAGTTTTTTTTTTGTTATATGCACATTGTTGGGGCTTGTCACCTAATGTGCCCTACTGCACATGAATTTACAATCTACCTTTAATTGATTGAGAATGAAACTACTCAGTGGAAGAATTCCAACACCTGCACACAATTGACTTAATGTGGAGGAGCAGTTGTTTGTGCCTGCTGATTTCCCCCGTGACTACTAAAGGTGAATTAGCAGGGGGGAAACAACTGCTGAAGTCATTCACCAGGGCTCTCTGAGCGCTGTAGCAGGAGCAGGAGCAGGAGCAGGAGCAGGAGCAGGAGCAGGAGCAGGGTGATTCAAAGCTGGGCGGATGACTCAGACTCCTGTTTACTCATCGCCATTTAAACAGCCATGTAGTGCACCTGAATAATTTACAGCCAAGTCCTGACTTCAGCTTGAAATTCTCTCATTCAAACGCCCAGAAGAGATTTGGAGGGAAGATCAGAGGGGGAGTGCGCATTTAGAAGAGATTTCAAGATTTTGGGGGGAAATACAAGATGTTGCATAACAGTTTGATCCTACAGAGATCAGTGGTTATTATTTGATTCACACCGGGGAGATGTGTCACATTTTGAAAGCATGAGAGGTTTTATCTTACTGAAATAGATGTAGTGATTACTGTGAGATGTGGCCTTATAAATGAAAGAGTACAATAAAATAATAGAAGTGGAGCATACATTGAAGGTTTACACTGTGTGGAAAATGTAGTCCAGTGACCGATGTTTTTACATTATATTATCAGACAATACAAACTCCTTAAAAAAAGTTTGTAAATGTTATTTCGGTCCAATTTTTCGACCCTTTAATAGTACTTATAGGTGTTGTATTATACTGTATATCATTGGAAAGCCTGATTTGTAACCATTACAACGAGGTATAATTTGTAAAGATCGTGCATTCATGGAAAGAGCAACACAGCTTGAGTTGCTTGGTGGAATGGATGATTGCACTCTTGCACAGTAATATGGAAAATACAACACATTGGCCATTTTTAGACTTTATTCATTTAACACTGTCTGGGACCTCAGTACAGTGTGGAAGAGCCATACGAGGCCACAACAGCTTGGTTCCTCCTCCTCATGCTGGTCACCAGCCTGATCACATTTTGCTGTGGGGTCGCATCCCATTCCTCAACCAGGAGTTGTTGAAGGTCAATCAGCGTGGCAGTGTTGGTCACTCTTGCACGTACAGCACGCCCAAGCTGATCCCACCAGTGCTGTCAATGAGGTGCCAATCAGGTACCAGTCATACACCTGTAACTGACACACACCTGGCAGCACTTCAAGCTCAAAACAGGAGTGAATACCAACAGAAGAACATTGCAGGCGATTTTGGCACATGTGGACACATTTACTGCACTCTTCAGGTTTGCATTGCTTAAATGTGATGAACATATCAGAGTCCCCTAGATAACCTTTAATTCTGGTCATGATAACTGGGTCACTTTAATGCTACACACTTTACTCTATGTATTTTTTTTTTTGTTATATACAATTGTGGCACTATTAACAGAATGATACAAAAAGTGTGTATTGACACAGAACTGGATCAAACTACAAATTTGGATTTCTATTTGTGAACTGACGACTTCTAAAACTTTTGCCAAATCACTTGTCCAAAAAAAATGTCCTACTTTGGCACCCTCCTCTTTATGGGATCAAAAAGAGAATGGCCAGAAAAGACACAAAAAGTGCTCCAGTTAGCGGGATCAAATTAATATTCAGTGTGAAACTAGGTCAGCTCACAGTGGTCACACTTATTCATGATTACACTGATGGTGGACGTAATGATCTCCATTTGACCACACTTTAAATGATACCCCTCAGTCCTCTGCTACTGCTGACGGCTGGAGAGGCTAAAGCAACAGGACAAACAGTGATCAGGCAGCCAGGAAGCATAACTGTGACAGTGCGGTGCAGATATGACAGAGACCTGCGGGGCTGTTCAAGAATACAAGACATGTCTATGCTGAGGGCAAGCAGATCATAAACCATGTTGATTTTATAATGATGTAAACAACCGAGAGATAACCATGCAGAACACTCTGTCCTCAGTATGATCAGAGACAGGATGAGATAGTGTGCCTGTAAATGTGTTTAATCAGGGACAGAAAGGGCTGCAGATTTTATCGTTTGGGGGCATTCAATAACTCCAAAAATGTTCCCCAAATTAAAGCTGACAGTCTGCTGTTTTGGCCTCACAGTCATTTCATCTTTTCACATCCAATGTAATCAGAGTCTGAGGCCGCAACAATGAGTCACTTTCAAAGTTCTTCTGGAGGTCACCGTGTCGTCTGAAGTTGTATCAGATGGCTGATCACTTTGATACAGAGGAGCTGGGATAAATACAAATCTAGAGTTACAGAAGACAGGATACTCAGTTTGTGCACGTGCGTGTGCATGTGTGTGTGTGTGTGCGTGTGCCCCCATAGCGAGGCAAAGTGCTGGGTGATGAGGTGGAGATTCCTCAGAGCAGCAGTGGTCACCACAGGCGCTTCTATGCTGCTGCTGCTGCTGCACCCTGTCTCTCTCTCTCACACACACACACTCACACACACACACACACACACACACACACACACACACACACACACTGTGTCGCTACAGGGAGTGACTTTGGAGACGAGGAGAGGCCGTGTGTGTGTGTGTGTGTGTGTGTGTGTGTGTGTGTGTGTGTGTGTGTGTGTGTGTGTGTGTGTGTGTGTGTGTGTGTGTGTGTGTGTGTGTGTGTGTGTGTGTGTGTGTGTGTGTGTGTGTGTGTGTGTGTGTGTGTGTGTTGGTAGACATGGAGCAAACAGTCCCTTAGGTGACAGTTTGATAAAGAAAGTTTTGTTTCAAGTTTTGAGATGCTGTACTGCGACTCACTGTTTTCTGTCTGTCTGTGTGTGTGTGTGTGTGTGTGTGTGTGTGTGTGTGTGTTTGTGTGTGTGTGTGTGTCTGTGTGATTCTAGGTCTGACGAGGAGATGGTCAAATTTATGCAGTTAATGAACTCCATTTGGAACATCTGCGGTAAAGACGTGGTCACAGCCTTTGACCTTTCTCCTTTCAAGGTCATATGTGACCTTGGCGGTAAGTTTGGATTCACGTGGATGTGAGTGCGTGTGTGTGTCTGTTTGTGTGTGTGTGTGTGTGTGTGTGTGTGTGTGAGTGTGCGTCATCATCAATTCACCAGATCTAATTTCCATAAGGTTGTGGGTTCACAGTGATTAACATTTTAAATTGTTGCCGTCATGTGTTAGCAGGAGAGACAGCTGGCCTGGCTACAAAAGGCTTACACACGTGCACTAAACAGTAAAGTGCGCACAATACACACACGGCACAACAGTGACCTTTATTATACTCGCTCCAGCCTTAATGACTCTTTAAGTAAATCAGTCAGTGCTTCCCTAGTCACACAACTCAAAGTCACCTTCACCTGGAGTTCCCCTTCTGCCCTTCTAGAGCTGAATGAACACATTAAACACATTGATCAGTGTCTGAATGGGTTAGCTGTTACTTTCAGTATTCAGAAGACTAAAAAAGCGCTATAAGCTCAAGTCCAACATATATCAATTTTTACCAATAAAACTTGTACTATTCTCTGAAAGCTGAAACAAATATCAGATAAAAACAGTTGAGCCGCGTGGTTTTTTTTTGCACTGAAAAACTTGTTCTTCAGAGAGTTGGAGGCAACAGAGCATACGTTTTGCCTGCTGAGATCAAGTTGAGTGTCTGGCCATGTCTGTCAGAATAGTCTGTTTTTTCCCCCCACTCCTTGCCAGCTGACAGCTCAAACTCATGACTTTGTAGTTTGACATCTGAGAGAATGAAACAGTTCAACTGTTTGCTTTTTGCACTGCACACAGATTCTATTTTCTAATTGTAGTGAATCTGTGTTCAGTGTATGACCCTAGTTTGTAATTCTAATTGGCTCTATGTCATATAAATGTATGAATGTGAAGCAAAACATCAAAGTCTAGTAAGTCTTCTGTGCAGACAATAGTTTAAAAAGTAGCTACTATGACAGATATCCTCTTCTCGTCTCCTTTTTTTAAAAATTTAAAAAATTGCTTTCATCAAAGCAGTTGTCTTACATGGGGATCAAAGAGTACAGGGTTAGAGAAAATGTGAGGATAAAATTAGACTTAAAATAACTCAACAATGTGAGGCCAGGGCTGGCAAAGAAATGTAGAAAAAAACAAAGCCGGATCAAAATGACAGGTTGGAAGTAAACGTAAAAAAGAAAAAATATTCTTTTATCACAAGAATTTTCATCTCATGCTGAAACACCATGATATGAATAAGAAGCATGGGGGGGAGGGGGATGTCTGCTGAAGGCTGTCAGATTCTTTTTCATTTTGTCACATCCTGTAATCTTAACTTAACACTGAGGGAGCTGAACTTTGCCTCCACTCATGAAAGAAAGCCCACAAAAATCCACACTGTGGTAAATCAGGTGAAAGGTTGACATAAAGGCAGACGCTTGATCTCAGACTAATAGGAAATACTGTAACAGATAAAAATCCCATCCATCCATTATCTATAGGGCTGAAGCCGTTTCCAGCTGTCATTGGTCGAGAGGCGCTGGTCGCTATTCAATCACAGGGCTGACATACAGACACAAACAACAGTCACACTCACATCTACGGGATAATAAGGGAATGGGTAAAACTGCCCCTTCATAATAAAGAAGAAACTCACCTATTAGTAGTTTTTTTTTTTTAAATACACAGGTGAGATTGTGTGTGTGACACCACAGTTGACCACACAGGGGAGCTGTGAAGCCACTGAAAGCACCTACTTACACACACACCAACACACAAACGCAGGTGTAGACACAGAGGCACGTCCAAGACAGTCTCGCTGTCTCTTCTCTCCTCTCCTCTGTGACTTTCCTGGCACGGGGTTGTGTGTTCATGTTTATGTATAAAGGTGCATCACCAATAGGAGTGTGGACAGCAGGAGTGTGAAAAGGGAGTGACTGCAGTGTCCCAGTAAGACTCACTGGGCATCTGTTGTGTCTGCACACACCTGCTGCTTAGGGGCTCCCACTGTCTGAATGCTGTCTGTCGGTCTGTATACCTATCTGTCTGTCTCTTTGTACAACTTTCTGCAAACAATAACTGGCTTCATAGTCTGCCCTAAGAAGGTGGTTTGTTCCTTCTAACTCTCCATAGGAAGTCCTTCACCTAGCTGTATTTTAATGTGACATTTAACGCACACACTATAATTATATGGTTTGTTTAAATAAATAATAAACGTAAAGGTTACTGCGACTTAAAGGAATTTTTATTCATGGCTGTGACGCATAATGTGTTTTTTTTATAATTCATGAATTGCTTCGCCTAGAAAAGTCAGCCAGGGGCGAAAGTATTCACATTGTTTACAAAAGCAAATGTCAAGAAATGTATCACAAATGTATGCATGTTTCTTTTTTTAGAGAAAAGCTGCACAAGAAGCACGAGTAAAAAGTTCTCATGTTTAAGTTGACAAAGTTCTCACCTTTTTCACAAAGATCATTTACACTGCATTTTTTAAAGTCAGAATGCATTAGACCTGACCTGATGCCCACCTCTATCAGACTCCATTACAGTTTACTCCAGACAAACCTACTACTGTTTTCACAGGCTGATGAATACTTCACATTTTAATCAAACTAAACTTAATGGGTAAAATCAGAGAAGTTCCAAAATTGGATTTAGATGCAAGACGCAGCCTACACAGCCAGTATTCTAAGAAGTTTATTCAAGGCCGAACATACTTGTGTGCAAGTCAAAGCATTGACTTTAAGATATAACTCTAGGGGTTTAATTTAATAAACAATACTACATCTGCAGATTACTTTATTTGGGGTATTATGTAAAAAGGCAGAATACACAAAAATGAAAGACAAACAAAAAAACTGAAAAAAATATGACACAAAAAAAACTCACAAACACCCATCAAAGGATTTACTTAAAAAACTGAGGCAGCACGGTTTGCTTAGGTTCTTCTACTGAGTATTGTGTTGGTTTCGCTCCTCCTAGCTGCTCTTTGATTTTTTTTTCCTCTGCCGACCCTTGTTTGATGTAAGAGCCAGAGTACCTGTGTGTGTTTGCATGTGTGTTTGTGTGAAAAAGAGAAAGCCTTTATAAGAATACTCACATACAGTAACAGAGCAGCAGGTCATGTTGGGAGGAAGGCACTGCTGGGCTTGACTGTCTGACCTGTATATACAAACAAACACAAAGTCACACACACACACACACACACACACACACACAGAAGACTATTTGGCTTTGTAGGTCTTCAAAGTGAGATCCTATGATCCTCATTCCATCTTACAGCCTTTCTATTTTAAATTCATATTGCTTTATGAAGCATAACTGATAAAAATGCTGCCAAAAGCATCAAGTTAAAATCATATTGTAACACTAATTCCTACCTATGTGTGTATGTGTGTCACGTTTGTGTGTGCATGTCTTGGTGAGTCATTTATGTTTTTGTGCCTCTAATTTTCTAATGTGACACTGAAATCATCAGTTCCTTTCTATTTGGATAAATGAGTGAGTAAGTACTTTACAACAGTGGCAAGGAAAAACTTCCTTTTGACAGGCAGAAAACTTGAGCAGAACCAGACTCATTGGACGACAGTCATTGGTCCCAACTAGATGGGCAAAAAAAAAAGAGAGAGATTGAGTGAGACAAACAGAGAGACAGATAAGTAGACGTACACACAGCAACATAAAACAGAAACAGACACATTCATTGTTACAATGCAAATAAGTACAAAATTAAACCAGACAAGGGAGCACAGAAACTCAGATGGAAATTGAAAGTTAACAAAAAGCATTAACGGGACATGAAAGCAAAGACAAAACAGGAGAAGACAGAAGCCTGATGTGTCAAGTTTTCTGGCAGTTCAAGCTGTTGTATTAAGACCACACTAAGCGTGCTCCGAGACCGAGACGCGAGCGAGAAATTTAGGGATCGAGACCGAGTCAAGTCCAGGATGAAGGCAGGGCGAGACCAATACCATAAATATCAATGAAATCATCATATGGTGTTCAGCAAGAAATTGTAGTTAGAAAGAGGCATTTTCCTTCTAATCACAGTGATGACTTGGGAAAAATAACCTGTCAGTGATGGTTTTGACTGGTCATGATTTAAAATCCGGAGTCTAAAAACGAGACAAGGCCGAGTAAAAATGTTTTTGATTCCGAGACGAGACCTTCACAAAGTGGTACTACCACAACACTAGTTCAAGACTACAGCAGCATAACCTTTTGGCTGGTTCAAGGCAGCACTTACCACAATTTTCTCAAAAAAATAAAGTCTTAGGTCCACTCTTTCAAAAACATACACTCCTACACCTAAGAAATTGCTCTTTGGAGAGCAAAATAGTCTGAAACAGGAGTTAGAGACGAGGGAATGACAAACAGTGAAGTGCCGAGGGTCAGTGTCAAACCCATACCTCCAGCTTCAAGGACTATAGCCTCTGTGCATGGGCTTTCTGACGCCCCAGGAAATGCTTTTAAAAGAGAACAGTGATCCATCAATCTAATCTCCACTTTTCTTCAGCTTACCCAGGCAGCAGGCTAAGTAACTTAGTCCAGGCGTCCCTCTACCTAGCAACACTTTCCAGTATGGGGACCCTGAGGCGTTCTAAGGCCAGGTGGGTTATATAATCCCTCAAACAAGTTCTGGGACCGACCTCAGGGTCTCCTTCTAGTCGAACATTTGTGAAAAACCTCTAAAGGAAGGCGCCCAAAAGAGGTCCTTATCAGATGCTTAAAACCTCCACAACTAGCTCTTTTTGATGAAAAGGAGCTGCGACTGTACTATGAGCTCCTGCTGGATGGCTGATCTCCCTAACATTTCTAAGGCTTGGCCAAGCCACCCTATGAAGAAGACTCCTTCTGGCCTCTTGTATCTTCAATCTCAATCTTATACCAAAACCTCATAATCACAACTGATTAGTTTAATTCATGTTGAAGCCTAAACATATCTATGACTTAAGCAGACATTACAACCCCTTTGTAGTTTCCCTACTTTGGGCCCAGATTAAAGGCATTTTTAAGAGGTCATATTATGCCCTTTTTGGTGTTCATATATTTAATCTATGTACCTTATGTATGTTCACAATAGCTGAAGTTCGAAAAAAGTGTCTGTTTTCATGTACTGCCGCTCCATGCACCGGCTCACTTCTGACTCTCTCTCTCTAAGGCTCTGAAGTGCCCACGTTCAGAGTCCCCACGTGTGCCAAGTCTGATCTGATTGGTCGGCCTGTCGGCTCTGCTGTAATTGGTCAGTCGCTCAGCACGGTTCTTGGAAATGTCACGCCCCTTTTACCTTATTGGGAATGCAGCCACTCAGAGGGCCGGGGAGCATAAACATTAGCACCTTAGCACTACTGTGCTACCGCAGGCTACGGCATATCGTGGGCGTGCTACAGAAGTTAAAGGGCGTGCAACATGAGCTGCAGGGCTTGCCACAACAACCCAATGGGCTTAGATCAGTGATCTCACACTGACAAGACGTCACACTGGCAAATTTTTTTTCGAGGGGGGCTAGAACCGAGCGTTACATGCAGCTAATGCTACAGCTAACAGGAGGACGTAGGAGAAGCCACATTTCCGCGGACTTTGAATTTTTGCAAATAGATGTGCCTAAACATGCACAGGACACTTGGAAAACACACTAAAGGGCATATAAAACCAGAGAAAGCATAATATGACCCCTTTAACTCGCCAAAGAGGAGTTAGAATGCCCGTAAACATTGTAGATGTGCACTTACTGCACTCAAACCTCCTTTTTTTTTTCTTTTAGATATTTGATTGAAAAACAAGAATGTCACAGTGGCCCTAGAGGAAAACTTCAGGTATCTCCAATGATGAATTCCCTGAGAACTGTCAATGTACAGTATAATTCAATTTTTATTGCGCCTTAGAACAAATGCATTCACATATTCATTCGCAAATACAACTTAAATCCATTTCATCCAGATAACAATCAAATGGTATGTGCGTGATTGTGTTTGCTTTCAGTAGGAAGGTTTCTGTATAAATTGTCTGTCTCTCAGCCACTTTAAATTCAGTTCAATTCAATCTGCTTTATTTGCATGAATGTTAGATGAACCATATTCCCAAAGCCGCCACATACAAATCGTGCAAATAAATAATGGGTACATACCTGAGAGCAACTGTTCCACTTGCGCGACTCAGTGTGCTGTGTGTGTGTTTGTGTACACAATTTGTTTGTGTCTGATGCACTTCCTTAATGAATGTTGAGTGTATTCATTGCGCTGAAACTAAATGTAATTCTCTCTCTCTCTCTCCCTTTTTCTCTAGGCTGCAGTGGAGCATTAGCCAAACAGTGCACGTCAGCCTACCCAGAATGCACTGTGACGATCTTTGACCTCCCCAAGGTGGTGCGTACATCCAGGGAACACTTTGTCACCGAGGCCGACCAGAGGATTAGCTTCCACCAAGGTAACGTCATCATGACTGGGTGAATTCACTTGACATCATTTACAGCCAGTTTCAGCGAGGCACTTTATACGCACACACACACACACACACACACACACACACACACACACACACACACACACACACACACACACACATTCATAAGATTGTGGACAAAAATGTAAATTGTCTCAGAGGTACTTCCCTCAGGATGAAGTTGGATGAGATTTGAAAAAAATAACTTTCTCAGAATACTGAATGATGACTAGAATTAAACTAGACTAAGAATTGATTATTAGCCTTCAAACCGAAGTAGAGTAAAAATAACTACACTTGGATTAGTATAGTTCTTTTTTTCAGCAGAAAATGTAATACATGAGATTCCATGGGACATGGGTCTGTCCAGTAATGGGAAGAAAGTGAGGGGTTGAAAGTTGAAAAATTAAAACCTTATGCAATAGAGGGAAAGATTTGCCTGCAAGCTATGCCTTGGCTAGAAATAAAAACTAGGCCAATTGTAGTGATGAGACAGTGAGTTTAGTCTTTACTTTATGTGAACCCTCCTTCTATGTCATGTGCCTTAAGGATGACATGATGCAAACAAGGAACACAGATGCAAACAAAAGAAGTGGCTCTTTGCACACAAATTGTGGGAGAAAGTGGACGCTATTTGTCCTTCTGGCACTTATATATGAAGCATAAACTCCTGGCGACTGTGGATCAGTGGTAGAGTCAGGACCGTAGGGTCGGTGGTTAGATACCCAGCTCCTTCAGCCACATGTTGATGTGTGGCAAGACACTTAAAACCACGTTGCTCCCGCTCAAGTCATGTCCATAAAATTACACCACATGTGTTGCAAGAAACAGTCTTGCTAAGATCCCCACAAACTCCTGTTTCAGTAAGTTTTATTGAAAGAAAAGGCTTGGGACTGAGAGCCACAGACAGAGGAATTAGCCTTCAGAAATGGACTTATGTGATGTTGGGTCAAAATGTAACTATTGTGTTACAACTGGATTAGATTTAATCCAAATGTAGGCCTTGAGATGTGGTACAGCTGATCCAATCAAATTCTCATATTTAAATGTTCTGTGTCCACTTTCACCACTTTTGTATTGATCTGAAACAGATCAAAAATACAGACACATATGAACATTAATACCAAATTACTAAGTGTAAACTGACACACACACACACACACACACACACACACACACACACACACACACACACACACACACACACACACACACACACACACACACATTTTTCAGTAGTCTCAATCCCTCTTGGATTTATATCTTCAGACCATTTTGCACAACATGATGAATCTAGTTTTATTTCCTTTAAATAACAAGGGCAGATGTGACATTTGAATCCCAATTAAATTTCACCTGTAAATATTCTGAGACGTGGTTTTTTGTTACATCCTGTCTGCCACCATCAATCTCCTTTTCCTTCAGAAAGTGTAATGATGCGACAGAAAACAACGAGTTTTTGTCTTTCATTTCAATGCAATAACAAAGACAGTGAGCGTTTGATTTTGAAGTTCAGTGTCACACTTTACAGCATATCCTCATCCTGTGTTATTATTTCATGTGTCTGAAGTTGTATGAAGAAATAATGTGTGTTTTTCAGTACATTCAGGGACAGATTTCTGTAACTTTACCTTCACCTGCAACTCCAAAGTAAAAAAAACAGAAGAATGAGACACTTTTGATACCACCACCTGTACATTGCCATGCTCACGCAGCTGTGTACTTCACAGCTATATGAAACCTTGAGCTTTGTCGTGTCAGTTTTCAAGCAGTTTCAAATGTGGGAAAAAGTTCCCAGCAGCCTGTGATCTTGAAAACCCAGATCCAAAATCAATTCCTGCTTCTCCTCGTGTTCTCAGCCATGATAGCTTTGAACACAACGTCAGATCAACCCTGAAAACATTGATTAATGGATTTTTATCTTGTGTAATAAAAGAAGTGCAGAGGTCTCTGTGCTGTATTTTATATCATCATATTCATGTTTCTGGAGGGCTTATCAACAGAATTAGCAAGTACGTGAAATATTCTTTTCAGATAGTACCATGTCTTAGAATATTCAGTCCATTTTGGTCCATTCAAAGCAAGTGTGTCTCTGTCTGACGGTATATGTTTGTGTTTGTTTGTCTGTGTGTTTAGGGGACTTCTTCAAAGACCCCCTGCCAGAGGCTGACCTCTACATCCTCGCCAGAATCCTCCATGACTGGCCAGACGAACGCTGCATAGAGCTACTCAGTCGAGTCTACAAAGCCTGCAGACCGGGTCTGTGTGTGTGTGTGTGTGTGTGTGTGTGTGTGTGTGTGTGTGTGTGTGTGTGTGTGTGTGTGTGTGTGTGTGTGTGTGTGTGTGTGTGTGTGTGTGTGTGTGTGTGTGTGTGTGTGTGTGTGTGTGTGTGTGTGTGTGCGCTACTGTCTATGAGTGTGAAAGAGATGAGTTCGTCTTTTTTTCTTCCCCTGCTTGAAATGAGATGGCAGATTGTATCCAACAACGCAGCTGATCCCAGAAAAATCTGTCCCTCTGACTTTGATCAAAGACAGAGACACAAACACACAAAGGCAGCAGACGCTATAAGGAGGGGAAAAAAAACATCTCTTTTTTTTGTGTGTCTGTCTGTGTGTCTCCATGTAAGAGGATGAAACGAAAGAATTCAAGTAAATAGGGAAACCAAATATTACTGGACAGAAAATACAACCTTTCGTAGTAGGGAGAGTCACACAGTAGATCTCTTTAAATGCAAAAAAATTGACATGTAAATCAGGAGAGACACAGGTGCTACTACAATAATGATCTCTGTGTTCAAACAATTACTGCAGTGAAATGTAACAATTTTACTACTGAATAATATGAATAATACACCCATTAGCTTGGTCAAGATTTTAACTAGCCTGTTTAGATTGCTACAGTTCGGTATAGTTTGGTACAGGTTGGTAAACCCTCATCTTGCTTACCTTTCCACAGCCAACCATTTCCTTACCTGTTAAGTAAACAAAGGGCAACAATGGAGGACGTCCAGTATACGCCTTCACTTTCAGAATCGGCCATAGGGCGGTGCAACATGCTGATATTAGCTTTTAGACTTGATAACTGCTGTTGCACGGGAAGTGATGATTCTTTCGACCAATCAATGGACTGCAGTTTTTCTAGCCCCAGCCTTTAGTGTCAGATGCTTGAAAAAGCCAACAGAAGGGTAGCAAAAAAAAAAAAAGGAGATAACAGACTGGTTATTTTGGTATCATTTCCAACTTTTGACAGTGAAAACGACAATAAATGCGTCCCGTACTGAACTGAGCCGGACTGCTTTACAGTCAACATGTGCCCCCTTTCCACAACAGAACTTTATCTGGCTTTCCTTATTCTTACAGTATAATAATTTGAAGTAAACTATTTCATTTTGATAAATACTACAGTCATTCAGCGTTCCATTACGGTGTTGAATCTGAAAGTAAGGATCGACATGCTGCTGATATGTTTTCTAAACTTCTAGCTGGCTAAGCTATAGCAGGACAGTTTGTCAGAAAATGAAAGTAAGAAAAGCAAAAAACAAAACAAAAATGAGAACCCCTTTGTTTCATCCTGCAGGTGGCGTTGTGTTGCTTGTGGAGGCGTTGCTCCATGAGGACGGTTCTGGCCCGCTGACAGCGCAGCTCTACTCTCTAAACATGCTGGTGCAGACTGAAGGCAGAGAGAGGACAGCTGCTCAGTACGCCGCCCTGCTGGCCGCTGCCGGCTTCACCAACATCCAGCACCGCCTCACCGGGAAGATCTACGACGCTGTGCTGGGGCACAAAGAGACATGAAACTGATACATGAGGGTACTTAAGAATCCTTACTTTGGTTTTACAATCCATGATTTCTGGAAAGTAACTTTTACTATTACACTACAAAATTGTATTTCCTATTAAATATTTCTTTAAGGCTTTTTAAATAACAGAACATTTTCTTAAACAATATTCAAAACCACGCCAATTTCTCTCGGCTATTACATTCTGTTCTGATAATGGTGCATCATTTTAAATACATTCACATTAGAAAACATTAGTTTGTACTAATGGACTGCTTAAATATCAGTGGACCTGCTGTGTTAGAAATGTGTTCTTAGTGAGATTATAATAGAATCACCAAAAAGTGCCCAACGTCAACCATAACAACGTAAGCCTTCTCTCCTGGAGCCAGACTTGTATTCTAGTTATTATATGCCAGAATCAATTCTTGCTAAATCTGTAGTTGAGGATGTAAGCCAGTATTGACAACATTAATCCTGCTGTCTGCTGGATCATCTTCTCACTCAAAGCCTTCTCACACATGTAATATTTGTTTATCGTCTGTCTTTTGTTCTCTGCGTGAAACTTTGATGCTGCTGTCTTGAAAAAAGGGGATCTTGTATCTGAAAGAGAATATTTTCCTGGTAAAATAATGGTTAAATAAATACATAAACATTGTATCGATGTAGAAACTGTTAAGTAATTTGCCTCCCTTGATCATATACACTATACTCACAAATATAGTCAAATTGTTGGATGCTTAAATGACAGAGCACAAAGCCTCTGTTGTCAACTTTTGTCCACTGGACAAAAAGTTAGAAATCAACTCTTGACTGAGCCCAGGCTTTATGTGCTTTCTTTGTCTTGTGTTTATCTTGTTTAAGTTTCATGACTGGAAGAAATTGCCAGCACTTTGAGCTTGTTGTATTTAAATATATTTCAATTGTTAAAAAGAATCAAAGTGGAATTGACTCTCAGTAAGTCCATTGGCGTAATTAACTCTGTGGTAGCCAGGAGTACTTGTGTTGATTGTAACGCAAAAGTGTTGTTTAAGCATCTTTAAAATCCAAGAATCATTTTAGGACCAATATGTAACTCTGACACCTAGCATTTAAAATGGGTACTGCAGTCCAAATTCAAAACATTGGAGATCTCTTTCTCCCCCCCCACTCCCCTCCTCCTTAGAGTCAATCTGCACACATGTTGCCATGTCACAGACACTGAAGCTTCAGTGTTTATCCAGCTCTGCATCGGCCTATTTGTCAAAGCATCTCCAATATTTATCCTAGTTTGACCATGTTTCCACATCAAGCTTGTTAGAGAAATGCTGAGGTTTTTCTGATCGGGTGGAATCAGTTATATCGTGTTTGCTGTTTGCCTGGCAAACTGGGGGTCTCCTAAAAGACTGGTGGGGGTGCCACCTACTTCTTTGGTCAAAACAAAAATAAACCCTTCCGCACTGGAATCTAAAATGAACTATTTTAGGTCCTAGAACACCGTTAAGAAGAACTTTTTTAGCTCTTGCTTCAGAGTAGGTCCCATGGCGGTGCAAATGCAGTATGAAAAGAACTTCCTATGGCGTGTAGCTCTCAGGGAACTCCAGAGTGGATAGTTCCTTTTCAAAAAGTCTGCAGAACTGTTTGTTCTGAAAACACCTCATGAGCTGTATTATATCTGTAGCCCTTCCAATAGGGGGCAGTGTAGTGAACAAATTATAAAAACTGTTAAGAAGTAAGTTTTTTTTTATTACCAACATTGATTTTCAGTAGTGAGGAAAACATGGAATGTGAAAACATGCAAAGAGAGCATGCAAATTATAGATACGCAGTAAAAGTGCTTGAATATTGACTCTGCTAGTTCAGGATTTCAAGACATTTTCAAATTGAGTGTTATGCTAAGCTAAAACAAGGGGAGAAGTTACGCTTTTCACTATCATTTCTGGGTTACTGCATTATGTTAGTTGCACTACCAAAAAACTTTCCTAAGATCTAGACGTTCAAGTTAGAGAGTTATCCATGTCTCCTTCTAAATCTGAATGATTAGCCGTACCTGCAAAGGTCAACCTGGATAAGATGCTGTGCAGGGGGAGCTTTCAAGCTCATTGCTAAGAAGATGAGCTTTCTCACATATCTGTTCTCATCACTCAATCCTGAGCCCAGTGTCTGAACCCCTCGCCTTACTGTTCTTAACGGCCTATAAAGCTGTCTTTGTACTGTGCTCTTTGTAATGACAGACGTGACTCAATAAATCTTCTTCACAATGGTTTGCCCTATTTTTTATTTCATCCCCAATCTTCCTCTGTGCACAGGATGCAGATATGAGACTTTTATTAAATCTCAGCCTGTCATTGTGCCCGGCCTCTGACGTTTGCTCGGAAGCATTATGGTATTGATCAACAACACAATGGTTGTCATCGAGAAGCCGAGTTGGAATCCTGACAACTATTAGGGAAAATAATTCATTTTCAGTAGCACATTAATACCGTCATTTATTTGGGCATTAAATGAGCCTGCCAAAAAATAATTGCACAAACTATCAGTTGCCTGCCTGTGTAGCTGAAAAAGATGATAATCAGCCTTCAGACAGCAATATCGGCTGAACCTTGCTCTGCATTCATGAGACTGTGCCACTGCTGTTCGTCTTCTCTCTTCCACACACCCACTCGTTCTCACTGCCCTCTATATCCTCGCCTCTCCTCCCTTTTTTTGCAGTAATTGTGAATTAATCAGACTTCAAAGTGCAACAAATTAGAATTGATGTCAAATCCTTGTGGACAGTTTTACAGACAGTGGGCCTAATGAAGGGAAATGAAGTGCAGAGGCTGAAGACGGCTTGACCTGTGCTGAGGAAGCAACGCAGTGCAGTATTTCTAACGTCATGGTGGTTAACTAATACTGTGAAGCATTGCTGAAACTCACTAACCTGCAGTAAAAAATAAGTTGTTTTTCCTTTTAAGACTCCTTTTGTTACATGAGGACGAATTTGAATGACTTCAAATCTACAATCTTCCCTCTAACCTAATTTTCCTTCCCTGTAATTATTAATCCTTTTCTAAAACTTAAACCAGAAAAGATAAGAACAAGCTTTATAGTTTTTTAAGTCTTTGATAAAACAGGTAAAAAAAATGTTAACTTCCTCTGGATGAAAGTATCCCACTGCTACTGCTATTAAAGTAATAAATGCGTCTGGAAATCAATTCTGTTTGATTTTTCAGATTATTCACAGCAGGAGAAATGTCTCCTTGAATTATAAAAGAAAGGCAGCTCAGGACATCAAAGTAAAAAATAAAAAGAAATGTAGAAAGCTGTGTAAAGACTTACCGCAGGGAGAATCATCAGAAAACTATTCAGTCAGGATTTGAAACAACAATTTGGTCCAAACCTTGCTCATGTTTTTTCACCTGCAGGGTAGAAAATCAGCTGTAATTCTGTGCGAGGGGCTATCTCTCTTCAACTTCGTTCCCTCCTCGCTTTTTTTCGTCAATGATTCAGACTCGGGTCAATGTTTTTCCACTTCAGCAGAGAGAGGGGTGCATATATTCCACCTCTTTTCTGTTCACTTCCATTTACTGCTCCATCTCATGAGGCTATTATTGTGCCAGCCTCAGGTTCAACCTGAGTGAGTTTTATGGATGCTTCAAGAAAGTTAGGGCTATAAAAGTATGGAAATATGATAGAGAAAAGAGCGGACAGGTGAATTTAGGACTTCCAAACACCTCTACTTTTTCTTTTTTAAAGAGGAAAAATGGAAAACTTAAAATCAAGAAAAATAACCTCAAATTATAATTAAGTAAATAAGCATCATGTGAGGGTTACATTATGTCTAGTTATGGAATGAGTTAGGTTATAAAAGTATGTTTTATCATTGTCTAAGATCCTCTTCTCCTACTTTTCCTTCTTCTTTTTTTGTTACATTTATTGTATGTTGTTATCTGAGAGACAGGACAGTGGATAAAATAGAAAAATGGGGTGTGAGAGTGGAATGACATCAAGGAAAGGAGCCGCAGGCCCGGATTCCAACCCGGAGGGCAACAGCATCTGTACATGTGGCACACAACCTAACCACAAGGCCATCGGCACTCCAACTACCCATGCCCAATGCACAGACCTGTTTATCGTAGATAATTGAAAATAACTAATTAGAGTCAAGCAATAATAAATATATATATGAGTTAAATAATGGGTTAAATAATTGGTTGAATAATGATTTTTTTTTTTTATTCATGCACATTTGTTATTGCACATGAAAGCACATTCCCCTCCAGGAAACGTCAGGAATGATAAAAACAAGAACTCTCCTGCGTATCTCTTAATTATGGTACGGAAGTAAAAATTGTGACTTAAGGCCATGTGTGTAATGTCAGTTTGCGTTACATAATGTGACTGTGCGCAGGTCTGTACAAATGAGCAGGCTTGGGAAGTTGTGGGTGTTCACCTCTGTGTCTATGTTCACTTGCCTTTGTGTGTACTTTTGTGTCTGTGTGTGTATTATTGTGTGTGTGTGTGCTGTGTACTTTACTCTTCGGGGACACTCTAAATCTGCTCCACAAGTCACGCACCCTTCCACCCTCAAGCGCCAGGATGCCACTTTAAGATAACAACTTCAGGGTATTTCAGGGAATACACTCAGTTTATGCCCACAGACTCTGTGTGTGTGTGTGTGTGTGTGTGTGTGTGTGTGTGTGTGTGTATGTATCTGTGTACAAGACACAGACAGTGTACAAGAGACAGAGAGGATGTGTGTGTATCTCTGAATGTGTGTGAGTGTGGTGCTTATTAAGGCTGGCGGCTCTGTTAGTGATGTGGGTATGTTTTTGTTGCTAACTTTTCACAGGAAGCTGAAAGTTAAGACCTGTTTTGTTTTTTGGAACAGTAGCTCGGCGTAGTGCTGTGCCGTTTTCAAACAGGAATCTCCAGGAAAATCTCAAAGTGATCAGGATTGGAGCTGAATACAAAACAGGTCGTCTTCCACTATGGGAATTTATTTGCGTGCATTATCAGTGAATTGTTTTTTTCTTAACAGTGAGTATAAACAAGTTCATTTTTTTTCTCTTTTTTCTATGATATCTTCTGCATTACAAGTTTGGGTTTGACCAAAAACTTTAGGAATTAATATTTAACCTTTTAGACTTTTGATTGATCTATCCAAACCACATCCTGTAAAGCAGTGGTTCTCAACTGGTCGAGCGTCAGGACCCACATTTCTCATATTTTTCAATCAATCAGATTTATTTAAAGACAAATTGTGCAGTTTGGACCTCAGATTGTAAAAAGCGTGATAGAACAAGATGAAAAAAAAAGTGCTTCATATAGACTTTTGACAGTGTTTTTCTTCCAGGCACACATTCGCGACCCGCTGAAACGGTTCCACGACCCACTTTTGGGTCCCGACCCACCAGTTAAGAACCGCTGATGTAAAGGAGAGTCTAATCTTAAAATACCACAATGATTCATTGCTCAGTTAATGACAAGAAATGTTACATAATGTGAATGAATAACCCAGAACTTTACATTTCATTTTATTGCCTGAAAGCCACATTGGATGAATCCTTTAAATCATCCTTTTTTATTCATAATATGTAACGATCTCTATTTTATACTTTGAGTTGAGTTTCATGTAATTTGTTTCCATCGCAGGTCTGTCTGTAATTTCTATCCACCTATGTTGCTATAGTAACTTGATGTGGCACAGTTTTGCTTTTGAAAAGAAATAAGCGGCCTCAGATTTTCACCCACAGTTTACGTGTGACATGCCCTATTTATTTAGTATTTCAGTCATATTCCTGTGGACGAGGAACAGGAGCCTGTGCAGCACAGAGACACATTAATAGTAGGAAGTAGCTCCATGGTGTAGGAGAATACACAAAGTACAACAGCAGTTTGGAGAAGAATAAAGTGGGCTGGCATGAGGATGGGATAAAGACAAAGTGCCGAGGATATCTGTGCCTGCTAGCTCCTCGCTGTCACTCAGGAAACATTGTTCAAAGAGCTATTTGTTTTGTTGTGGCACAGCTGCATGGTAGCGAATGGTGTGAAGAAGAGAGGCTGTGATGGCGGAGAGATGAGGAGGAGGAGTGGAGAGAAAGGTGATCTGTCTTTTCATCAGAAACGCCATGAAGAAATACACAAACACGAGCACACACACGCACACGCCCATCACATCTCACAACTCAATAAAAGTGTCTCTTGGCTGTAAGCCGTGCTTTGTCACTTCCAAACACTTCCATAATTCATGGGCCGGTGACAGCAGTATTCAATTGAGGACAAAGATGTCTGCCCTGTAGGCTACAGACTCATATATACACACGCACACACACACACACACACACACACACATACACACACACACACACACACGGGGGAAGGTAGAGTTTTACATGCTACAAATACAGGAAAACAAAGAATGTATGTTGGTGGGGATCTTTGGAGAGACAAGGAAGCTTTGTTCCATAATGTGTGCATATACGTGTGTGTGTGTGTATGCGTGTGTGCGTGTGTGTGTGTATATAATGTTCTTCTCTTCTTGATAATGACTAATCCCTCCCTTTTTGCCCATGCTCCTCTCTGTCACTTGCTGTTGCTTCTGTTTTTTGTATCTTTGTCCTGCCCCTTAGCATGACTGAATACAGTCTGTCTCTCTCTCTCTCTGACACACACACAACACACACTCTCACAGTGGCAGACATATTTCAGCCAAAAGGTTGTCACTTCTGCTCCTGGCAACATGTCACCCAAACACATCCCCCCCCCCCCCCAAAAAAAAGGACCAGAGACAGAAATACATCCATGTCCTGGTTTTGACGTCATTTGATCCTTGTAGCCAAGATGAGGAACACACACATACGCACGCACGCACACACACACACACACACACACACACACACACACTCACACACCAACAGCCAACCGTTTGTCGTTATTAAAGTGATTATTCACAGCGTTGATGCTTATCCTGCCGGAGTCAAGAGAAGGACCGGAAGGCATGACACGTGTCATCGCAGCATTTGTACCAGTGGCACCGAAGGTGGCATCTAAATTTATTTACTTTGAGCTTTGCGATGGCTTCGGAAGGGGAAAACACAAAACATTATACTGCACTCGCACCACATGAATATAAAAGGACAAAGGTCTCAATTTTGTTGTTATAACTTATGGAACTCTGCAAATGAGGTAAAAACGAATGTAAAGTCATGCACTGAAATGTCGACGTTTAATTCTAAATTGACCGTTAAATG